ATCGAAATAAACCGTAAAATTAAGCAAATTTACGGACTGCCATCCGTTGTATGAATACCTCAGTATGATTGGTTGGCTTTGTGAGATGGTCCCAGTTAGTGTATCTGCACTGTAAACAAAAAGAGATAAATACGAAAATTACAAGGAAAATGAGAGTTAACATATATGAGTGTTCAAATTTGACTAGTAATGAATGTAATAACAGAATATTCTTTTACCAATAAGATCGGCTACAGTGCTCACAATGTATAATGGTCAACAAAAATGACAGACATGTCACTCCATCCTGGCCTAATACATTTGATTTTATTCCATACCTGAATAGTCGCGATTGTCCAAACTGTTTCTAGAGATCAAGGCGGAAATGAGCGCGGGTGGTGCCACCAAATCTGCTGAACGCTATGTCTGTATCATTATCCGCATCGCTCTCCGAGTCGGTGTCGAATTCATCCTGTTGCTCGGGGAGGTCTGTCACGTCACCAACTGCGACAACTCCGAGCATGCTTTCGTCAACAAAGGTGATTCTCGGTACTTCGTTTGTAGCTCGTGGAATATTTGTATCCTGGTTGACTCGTTCTTCATTGTCTGTCCCTGGATCATCTTAAACATCCTCTTGGAATGTTACTCTGGTACACGATGGCGTACTGGAATATACAGCTGGCGGCAGAGCTCCCGCTTTGTCTTTTGTTGATTCGCTTCTTACCGTCCTTGACAGGTCGATACCTGTCAACCAATTCCTTCATTGGAATTGGTTGAGGGTCTGAGGATCCAGGCACTGGATAATAAGACTTCTCAAGTGTGAAGTACTTCGCACCCCACTTCGTTGTTCTCTTTAAAGATTCCTTTAAAATTGTTCCAAAGTCTTTGGCATACTGAAGAGCGGTGAAAGTCTCGTTTTTGAAGTGGGAGACTGCATGAAGGTTCTCCACCTGAGTTGTTAGCAACGTACGCAGGTCAATGTCACCAAGATAGTCCTCGTTTACATTCTTACGGATTGCTGATGAGCCTCTCTCTGCAACGAAGACTACGCAATTGGTAAAGCATAGGTCCCGCGCATCCTTGAATACTTCCCTCCGAACATTTACATCGACTGGTGGGTGTAAAAGCAGTTCTACGAGACTATCGAGAGTCGAAATCGTAGTCCAACGCCAGTACTTTGCCTTGGGGCCCAATTTCAAGTGCAATTGGTCTTTTGCAAACACTACTTTGGTTGGATTTCCAGAAGCGATACTTTTCAGGAACTATTGTGTGGATTACGTAAGTACGTAGATCCTTAAGTACATCCAGTACTGAGGGTCTAGTAAGGCGCATTATCGGTTCTAAGGACAAGAGCATTTCAGCTTTGGCTCAATGTTCGCGAGTGATTTTCTTGATTTTCTTGCAGAATTTAAAAGAGCAGATAAAATTTGAAAGTCCTTAAAAAAAACTTTGGGGTCTCCTTTCAAACACTAAACAGTATTTTTTTCAAGAGCAGTAAACATTAAAAAAATGGCCGATTTAACAGTAAACACTTAAAAATATGGACAAATAACACTAAACACTAAACCCCATTCAGACCCTCTTATAAGTCAGCTTCTGGGTAACGCACTTTTTTATACCGCGCAATGAGTTTCTGGAATTCTCTTGCATGTGAAATAAGAGAATGTGATAATTTGCCAATCTTCAAGAGACATTTAGAGGAATTTCTTAGTAGTTTTAATTAGCAATACGATGTATTTTAAAATCTATTAGAATTTTAGATCCTTAACTTTAATGTCTTTAACATTGATTGTAATTAGTTTTTAAAACCCATTTAGTGGAAAACTAATAAATCTTATTATTATTATTATTATTACAATCCACATGGTGACCGACAACGAATATTTAAGTAGTTGAACTTGCGGGATCAGGTCCTTAGAGGACGCGCATGCTGCTAAGTTTTACAATATAACGCATCTTATTTTAACAATAGCAGGTAATTTAGTGTTAACAACTGAGTTGAAAGCGTAAATTGGCCACCGTAAGGGGTAACAAAAGCTGACGTTTCGAGCGGATTGTGCGTGGGTTTATATGCAGAAAGCGGAGTGACGCTATTGGTGGGAATATGGTGACGAGAGAACAGGAATAAATTAGTTGAATGAAAAGCGCTCGTTGATTCCGCGGGGATTAAGGGTGCCGATCTGGACTGGTGTTTTGCGGCTTTCCGAACTGCCTAGATGTAAGGAAAGGCCACAAACTGCCATGTGCTGTTTTGAATGATTAGGGAGATTAAAGCGTCTAACAACTGGTTTGGATGCGTCCTTGTCATTTCTTTCCACTTCGCGAAGGTGTTCTCGGAAACGGTAACCTAGTCGTCTTCCTGTATGTCTCGCCAATGTATGACTAATTGTAGTAAGTTGTAAGTAAGGTTTTGCATTGCCTTTGTGGGTCGCTTTAATGACTATGTCTTTGCGTTTTTGCGTATTCATCTTCACATCCATCACACGTCAAGAACTCCGCAACTCCGCAAGAACTCTAGCCAATTTACGTTTTCAACTCAGTTGTTAACACTAAATTACCCGCTATACTCTCCCACCGACGCAGCACTACAGTTTCTTTAGAAACATACCCCCTTTATTCATTTGTTATTTCAGCAATGTCCTGCGGCGAAGTTTAAAGAAAACCCAGAGGGAGAGCCGTATTGTTAAACTAGAGGTCTCCCTAAACTTTACTTGTGATCACCTTGTTTCTTCTCTTACCTCGGGATAATTCGCAGTGATTTTTTAAAATGCTATTCTGCTCACTGGGAGCAAGTGAATTCCTTGAGAAAGTCTCGAAAGGAAGTTTAGAAAGAGGCGATTAAACGCTTCAATTTTTTTATGCATTATGTCTTTGCCACTCTCTGAACTACCAGAATTTCCTCAAGCCATTTCTTGTTGAATTTTTCTTTGGTGTCGGAAAAGTAGATGTATCTGAAGGCTTCATGCGGGGCACTAGCCTCGACGTTAAGCCCCTTGCATTTTCATCCGCTAAGCTGGCCTGAAGGCGGGTGATGCCTTGTATGAGGCAAATCATTAGCTGGCTTTTGGCCGAAGTTTTCAATAGCCTCTCTAGTTATCACGTAGTCTGATTAAAAGCAAGAGTCAGTCAAAACAGTGAAACTGCAACGATGAAGTTTTGCACAGATAAAGGTCTGGTTTATCTTTCAACTGGTGATGTCGTTGTCGTTTTATAACAATATGTTTTGCAATGAAATAAAAGATACTCGTACTGTTAGTTTTTGTGATACATCAGCTTCCATATCCCAATTTTTTCAAACGACAGCGATCATATGCTATTACATAAGGCAATGGAAAAATTTGAAAAAAATTGAAGCAATGAAATGCTTTTTCGTAGTGGAAGTAAAATACTATATATCCGGTTCTTTCTTGGGTTCGATGCACACGGTCCATGTGTGCGGAGATATAAAAGAACTCCTTTCACATTGCTAAGGGGAGCGGAGACTTCCGCAAGACACAAACTGAGAGAGCGTCAAGCCGTGCTTAACTATCTTCTGACTGAAAACCTTAGCTTTAAGAGCAGATCTGAGAATTCGAGAGCTTTGGGGAAAAGAATCCGAGGCTAATGAACCGAAATCAGTGCATTAAAAAGAAAAGTTTGCAATGAACTCATATAGGAAAATTGCAAGGCTAGTGATTTTTCAACGGAAGGAGTGATCTTCATATGAATTTTAAAATCATGATGACCTTGGTTACACTTAAAATATTAAAGTTACATTTCTTTAGTTTACCGACAGCCATTACTCATTTTGGAAAATCCTGACCCCGTTTCACGCACGAATTGTAGAAAATTCAAACGTCACGAATTCAAAAGGAAACTCGTGTGCTAAGATTTTTACGAAATGAAAGAGAAATTCACGAGTCACTTGTATTTCAGGCAGCAAATCACGCCTCACGCTGATTCATAACTTCGCGAACGAATAACGCTCGCCTTAAAGGAAATTTCACCTGTCTCATTAATTTTGGGGTAAACACGCATGACGTTTGCCATCATCATTTCGCTTGAAAGATTTGATGAATTACGACATAAATTTACGTACGAATAACGCTCGTCTTAAAGGAAATTTGACGAGTCACATTAATTTTGGCCTAAACACGCATCACGTTTTCCATTATCATTTGGCTTGAAATATTTAATGAATTACATAACTTTACGTAAGAATAACGCTCGCCTTAACGGAAATTTCACGTGTCACATTAATTTTGGCCTTAAACACGCATTACGTTTGCCATCATTATTTGGCTTGAAAGATTTGATAAATTTCTTACCTAACTTTACGCAGGAATAACGCTCACCTTAAAGGAAATTTCACGTGTCGCATTAATTTTGGCCTACATGCATCACGTTTTTCATTATCATTTGGCTTGAAAGATTTGATAAATTACATTAGCTCTCCAGTCGTCAGTATCCATGGCTATTCGAATTTCGTCTACAGCATGAATACCACTATGAATCAGAATCGCTATTGGTCAGTTGATTAAAGTTAAAGTCTGATGAATGTAGAAATTCTCGCAACAAAGCATAAGGCTTGACTATAAACTCGAGTACGGTGAAATTGTAGTAAATGTCAGCGGCGATTCATGTATTTATAATTTGGCGCTTGTTATAACTTCCTCACTTATCGTCGAGTCTGGCTGAAATCAAGTGGTATTCAAGACAGTGTGAGAAGACGAAAGCGATGAAACTTTGTGCGCTCATCTTTCTGGTTTATCTCGCAATTGGTGCTGTTGCTGGGAAGAAAAACAAACTTTGCAGCAAAATATTGGACAAGTTGTCAGATCTTGAGGACCTGATTAACAAGAAACAGGACTGCTGCGAACCAAGTAAGATGTAGAAGATCGTTTCTGTTGTTTTTAACGTCACTGCTTTGTTGGTCCGTCGATTCTGAATTTTGGTTGGATTAAAAGTTACTGTTAACATAGTTTGGAATATTCACATTTATCCAGTTACGATTGACTGCCTAATAGTTTTCTTATCTCAAACCCGTAGAGCCCGTCACGCCCGCAAGTTCCTGCAAAGAAATATACGACCACGACAGGTAAGGAACGAACGATCGTTAAATTTGTGCCTGAGCGAGGGTGGGTAGCAAACAAACATATCGTGAAAATCCTTCTACAAGAAAAATGCGCGAGAGAAAAAAAAGTTATAAAAAGCCAGAAAAAAAAAAAGAACAAAAAACAAAGAAAGAAAGAAAAAAAAAACATGCATGCAAAATTTGAACGCAGAATAATTTATGCAAGTTGTAGCCCCCTCAGGCTCTGTGGTTATCTGATGACCCTCCCTTTTATACTCTGATAGCGTAGACTGACCACCCCCTCCCTCGGTTTCCCTTTAAAAACCTTGTGTTCCGCCCTAACTCTCCGACATTCCCCCCCCGGCCCACCTTCTCTTTCCCCCTTCCAACCTGGCGCTGACTATTGACTGTTCTCAGGAAAGAAAGATGAATAAATTATGCACTATTATGTCTCAGAGAGTTCCCGTTTTTATCTAGGGATTTATATTTTTCCTAATCGATACCGGGAATTGTGTGAGTGATTCAAGAGAATATAAGGTAGACTGGATTTGTTGGTTTGTTTTCTGATATCGTGATAGCGCGGGTCTGAGCTCCTGTTTGGCTGCACATGTAACAAGCCCTCACCCGTTGTAAATCTTAAGACGTCTCCGTCCTATTAACCCTGATTTAGTATTCCTATTGACCGCAATAGCGCCAAGCCAAGAAAAAACTTCTCCGGACGTATTCTTTACGATGTCACGCAGCGCTGCTTCTTTTTTGCGTTGCGTGACATTCCAAAGAACTACCGCGTAGGATTCAAAGAACATAACACACTGATACTCTCTTATTAGTGCCAGCCCAAACAAAGCGTATAACCTCAAGCTAGGCGATGAAGATGTGTCTGTGTACTGTTCCATGAGTGGGGAGCTTGGAGACTGCGGTGGTGGGGGATGGACGCTGGTCATGAAGATTGACGGTGCAAAGGTACAGTGAACCCCTATAAACTGGACACCCTTGGGACCGTAGTTTCTCAAGAATGTCGAATGAAAACTTTGATTCGTTTCTCTCACTCCTGTTTGCTTCCCATTGTCTCTTTTAAGTCAGTGAATATTTTATAGATCATATTAAAGGGCCACGCTCAACCAGCATGCAATACGGGCGTAGTGGACACTCTCAGTATTTTCTGGCGCGAGTTTGATGAAGCACTCATATAGCGAAGTGAAGCAAAACTGGGGCAATCCAGATTACTTTAGACACTAACTTGAAAATTACCTCATCTTGCAGCTCAACTTCAAGTACGATTCAAAAGCGTGGTCTTCCAGGTCTTCAGTGTCTCCCGAAAATGGAGACACGGGGTTGGATAACTTGGAGACCTTGTTACCAACGTACTGGAGCACGTCCTTTACCAAGATCTGTCTCGGCATGAAGGTCGATGGAGTAACTAGGTTCTTGCGAGTGAATAGGGCAGCAGACTCACTGTATACCCTCATTGCTGATGGCCAGTACCGTGCAACCTCGCTGGGTCGTGATGCATGGAAGGGACTGATTGGTCCCAAAGCCTCCCTCCAGCGCAACTGTAATCGAGAAGGGTTCAATACGCAGGGAACTTCAAAAGCTCATGCTAAGATGCGAATTGGTATCATCGCTAACGAGCAAAATGAATGTAATTCCCCTGATTCCAGAATCGGGTTTGGTGGATGGGGAGCGGTAGCCGAAGTCTCGTGTGGAAACGTAGCCAGGCACGGCGGGGACAACGGAGACCAAACCATTAAAGCCTTCGGATACATCTTCGTTCAGTAAAGACACTGAACTGCTCTGCTCAAGGAAAAAGCTGCATGCGACATAAAGCATGCTCTTATTTCAGTAATGGGGATTTCAAATGTGGGTTTTTGCTTTTGCTGTTAAATGAAGGGAAAATAAAAGTGGGTCAATGAATCTAAATGATGCCTCTTAACTTGTGTGTTGTAGTTACTCGAAGGAGAATCTGTCTTGTAGGTGTATAACTTTTACTCTCTCCACGAAGTTGCTTTTTTAAATCATATCAACACACTGTCTTTATGGGAGCCTTTTTTTCTCTTGACAACATAATTCGTTCAGCAAGGGCTAAATTTTAAAAACTAAGATTACACAAAATAAATGGCAGAAAATGACAGACCTCTCGTTATTTATCGCCTGAAGGAGAGGGGCTGGGGTCCTCAAACCGAAAGATACAAAAACAATGAATATATTATTTACCATATCTTTGATTCATCCACTATGTCGTCGAATAGGTGCCTAACTCGACCTACTTCCGTAATCGTCCTGCAGTATCCTTTTTATGGGCGCAATCAGTAAACAAGCGACAAAACAGTTAGGACCTGATGTATTTATTCTGCGCTTCTTGCAGAGCAAAAATCAATTCCTTTGCAAAATTTCCCTGTAACATAATTTCTCAGTGTGTATTTGCCACCCTCCTTGGCCCCACACTCGTTCCTTATTTTGTCGGAGACTGGGCCCCAACGTAATTAAGTTTTGATTGACACTTCACGTAATTAATCATGCATGTCGCTTTTGAGACGATGTTTTTTCTTAGAAGAAGGTGTAAAAAAGCACTGAGTGAAATGGAACAAAAAAATTTAAACTAGGAATGGTGTTTTCAAAGCCCTTCATGCTGGAGGGCCAGGGAGGAATAGATTAATTTATTTTCTATCTTCTTTGGTGGCATTTATGAAGAAATTTCATTTTAAAAAAAATTGTCACCTATAATTTATTAGAAATTACGACAAATACGCAAATTTGTAGAGTAATGATGAATTTATTGGATGAGATGTCTACTGAAAAGACAACGTTGTGAAAGGAAAAGGATGGACAGTTTTATTTTCATCAAATAACGACCAAAAGTAATGTATACTTTGTTACAGTTGAATGCAAGATTAAAGAGCAGAAAAAATAGCCGCCGAATACACGCAACATGAGCTTAAGAAAAAAAAGGAAAAAGAAGGAGTCCAAAAAATTTTTGTCCAAAAAATTTGCCTTCATTGAGATCACCCATTTTCAACGGCCCACCTCTAGAGTTTTGCACACGCGCCTGACTATCTCTTTTGACATCGGTCATCTAGCAGGAATATTTTGTGCTGGTGAAAAAGAGAAATTGAACTTGACATTCATTGAACACGCAACTTTGTGAAAGGAAGATTTTAAACATTTTTATTTTTATCAAATAACCAAAAATAACGTGAACTCTGTTTCAATCGAATGCAAAAATCGTCGCAAGTGATGGAACATCGAATGCTCGAAATACATGGTAATAGTGCGTACAAGAATATTCATATTTAGAAACAAATTACAAGAAACTGAAAACTTATTGACGAAATTGATATCTAGCTCAAGTTCAAGTTCTGTCATAAACATTAATTATCACGTTTTAAACATTCATGATCCGTACGGAACGAACGGATCGTTAAAACGTCATGGTCAAAGCTTTAATGAGATTCACGGATCGTCAACACAGCCTTACGACTCGTGAATATATTAGACGATCCGTGGTACTGGACATGCATGATCGAAGAGAGAGAAAATTGCGCGTCATCAATTTAATTTCTGACCACTTTTTGTTATATTAACAGAAATAAACTTATTTTGTTGTTGTTGTGTGATAAATACTTAAACAGTTATGCACCTCAGAGTCGGTGAAAGTCCTAGATATCTATCTCGCCGCTTCGCAGCTCGGTTAACATCCACTTCTATTCACCTCCACTTCGGTGAATAAATAACTCACCTGCATTTTTACTGGCACTGTGAATTGATTAATAACGGTAATAGGACTGAGTGGAGTCCAATTTGGTCTGCAATCATACGGGTGATTAACCAAATCGGACTATGACTGTAGACCGAATTGGACGAGACGAAGTCCCGTTACCATTATAAATCGGGCTGGTGATAATCAATCACGTTCGAGAATTTATAGTTCTAGTTTTAATTAATTGACTAACAATATCTTCAGGGCCAACTACACCTGCAAGTTCCTCGAAAGAAATATGCAACAAGGACAGGCAAGGAACGAGTGTGAGGTCAGGGCGGGGTGGCAAATACACACTGAGAAATTATACTACATGGAAATTGTGCAAAAGAGATGATTTTTGCAAAGCAAGAAGCGCAGAAAAAAAATCAGGCTCTAACTGTTTTGTCGCTTGTTTACTGATTGAGTTCGTAAAAAGGAAATGGGACTGCACGACGATTACGGACGTCGGTCGAGTTAGGCGCTTATTCGACGAGATACTGGATGAATCAAAGATATGGTAAATATATGCATTGTTTCTGTATTGTTTTGGTCTGGGGACACCCCCTCCCCTCCCTTAGGCAATGAATAACGACAGGTCTCTTATTCTCTGCCATTTATTTTGCGCAATTTTGGTTTTTAGAATTTGGCCCTTGCTGAACGAATTATGTTGTCAAGAGAGGAAAAGCACTCATAAAGACAGTATGTTGATATGGTTTAAGGAAAAGCAACTTCTTGGAGGGAGTGAAAGTTATACACCTAAAAGACAGATTCTTCCACAACTCAACTCAAAAATACAAGAGACAATATTTTAATTCATTAACCCACTTTTACTGTTCGTTTATTTCATAGCAGAAGTGAAACCCGACGTCTTAAATCGCCATTGCTGAAATAAGAGCTTGATCATTGCTCCATGTCGCATGCAACTTTTTCCTTGAGCAGAGCAGTTCAGCGTCTTTACTGAACGAAAATGTATCCGAATGCCTTGATATTTTTATCTCCGTTGTCCGGTGAATACGAAATGCTGTGTAGCAGGGTCTCGAAGGACTCGCTGTTTGTTTTCTTGCCTTATCCCAAGGCTTTCAGAATTGATCTAACAAACCATTTAATATGGTGGCTTTACATTGTGCAGGACGGCTTCTTTTTGATGGCTTCATTTTCGCCGCAAACGCGGAATGAAACGACAAAAATATGTAGTAAATAGACGATAGACACTTGACGAAATTAGATGAGGGTATTAAAAGCCGGTTCTCGATCATGGTTGCATAGTTTTAGTCGAATAATATCACACACGCGTTAGACTTTCCTTTTCTGTAAGTACAGATGATAAAATGATTTGGGGTGCAATTTGGTATTGGTAAGCACGAGGAAGTTTTTCAATAATATAGACAATAAAATTACACGAGCCCGTAGGTCAAGTGAAATTTGTCGTCTTTGAAAAATTTTCAAGTGCTTATCACGACAAATAGCAAGAGAAATCATGTTACTGCTTTTAATAATGTACATGAAAAAAACATCACAGAAGTCAAGACAGACAAACTTTCAAAGCGTGCACGCACTATTTGTAGTTTGCATTCCTGCTACAACTTTGCACTCGTGTTACATGAGAATGCATTTGTTTTCAGCCAATTAGAAGCGCAAGTAGATTATTATACAGAAAAGACTGAGCATGTTCATTACGCCTGCATTGCATCCTGGTTGAGCGAAGACCTTTAATGTGCTCCATAAAACATTCACTGATTTAAGAGAGACAATGGGAAACAAACAGGAGTGAGAGAAACGAATCAAAGTTTTCATTCGTTACATTCGAAAAACAATGAGTTGGTAGGGTTTTGAAACCTTGAACATGTTTGAAATACCTTTGCATCGTCAGTCTTCATGACCAGCGTCCATTCCCCACCACCGCAGTCTCCAAGCTCCCCGGTCACGTTCGTGTAAAGAATAATCACTAAGTTTGTGGGGCGAGAGAGGGTGGCAAATACACAGAAATTTTTTAGCAAGAAGATTAATCAAAGAAAAAATGATTTATGCAAAGCAAGAGGCGCAGAAAAAAAAGGGAAAACATCATATATCAACTTTCTCGACGCTGTTACAGGATCGCGCCTGAAAAAAAGGAAAAAAAACACATCCGTGAAAAATTTTCAATAGGTTTTTCCCTAAGTCAAATAACCTCGGGAGTTCGAATCGAAATCATTGCTGATCAAGAAGGCGATTGCAACTTTCCTGATTCCAGAATCAGATTTGGTGGAGGAGGGTCAGAATTCGAAAATGCGTGCGAAAACGGAGCCTCGTGGAGTGCGGAAAACGGGGACAAAAATATATCAAGGCTTTCGGATACATCTTCGTTCATTAAAGAAGCTAAACTGCTCTGTTCAAGGAAAAAAAAGCTGCATGCGACGTAAAGCGATGATCATGCTCTAACTTCAGTAATGGGGATTTCAAATGTGGGTTTTTGCTTTTGCATTTACGCGATAAAAATAATAATAAAAGTGGTTATCAGGTTACTTCAGATGCGTTGTAGTTGCACGCTCGTAAATATGTTTCTCTTTCACTCCCAGAAGCGGCCAAAAATTTAGAGACGCAATTTGTGATAATCGTTATTAGCATAAATTATTATAGCATAGCGCACGCGCAAGGCCTACCTATTTCCTAGGGAGCTACCATGTTAAAAATCCTTAGGCATTGCACGGTTGTGCATCTATCACATGACTTGTGCAATTTCACTTCGGCTGAAAGTTCCCGTTGAGCTTAGTCGTGAGTTTTAAAAACTTTCAAGACTTTTTCCCGGCTCTATCCCAATTCAGATCGACCTTTTGAAGCTCAAAATGAAAATAAAACATGCCAGGTAATAGTCGTTTCGAAAAACAATGAGCATGTAGTTCTTTCAAGCGACGAAATTAGTTTTAGAGTTGACGATAATTCATTCCCAAACGCGATGTGAGTTATGGCTGAAAACAAACCTAAGCTTTCTGACTTCAACCGAGGCTTTGCTAGCCCCAAAGAGTGACTAGCATCTAATTCTCCTTATCGTATCACCCCTGAATCAAACATGAAAGTCATGAGAATAGAAGAGATGATCACCAACTAAAGCAGCTCTTGATTGATCATCAAATTCTCCTTGTTAGCCTCAAAGCCGGGCGGGTAAGTCACTTGTGTGTGCTATTTTTTTCCTTTTCTCTACAGGCGAACGAACCTATGGTTTCCAATTTATTTACATGTTATGTTTAGTTTCTCTGTTTGATTTCTCTGCCTTTAATACTGCTGATAGTGCTGCCGCCTGGTGTTCGATTTGCCGCCTGGAGACTTGCACCGTCGTATCTTGCCCTTGGGTGGAACTGAAACGAATTACAGAAAATGCTGTACAAATGGAAGATGTTAAATGCCGCCTGGTGCAAAGCCTTGCCGCCTGGTGCTTTATAACCGCCTGGTTCATGACAATACCCCTAGTACAAGCTGTGAGTGAGGAAGAACTCTTGGACCAGGTCACACCTGCTGACTGGTGCTGCCGCCTGGTGCTGCTGACTGGTGGGTGGGTTGGGGATCATAATACTACAGAGCCGTACGGGAGATCGGTCTAATTTCATTGACACAACCAAAATACTCCGACCACTCCCCCTCCCCTCCCCGGTGATAAACAATAACCGGTCCTTGGAAAAAGCGTAAACCAAAGTCAAACGGATGTGTTGTTATTTCTAAAGCTGTATTTCTTTTTAAAAGCGGTAGCCTCTCTTCAAAATATTTTCAATAAGTTTAAAACATCTGTTTGTAGAAGGAGCAAGTCTCTCTACAGAGTGCTCTGTTCGCGGGCTTATAAAACTTATAAAGCTCTTGATTTTTAAACAAATTCCCCTTGTCAGTGCTTTAGGAAATATACACAAATTATTTGGAATAAGCTTAAGGGTTTAATTTCATTTCAAGGACACCTTGGTAAGTAATCGTAAAGCCACAACCAAAATGCTCTTAAAGATCAATAAGAGCAAAGACAGATATTTCAAGGAACCACTCAGAACTCAAAGTTAAGGCTTGCGCGGGAAAATGTGGGAAGTAAAAACGAAATTGATCTCACTCTTGCATCTGATTGGTCGAGAGGGTGACGTGAGTTGTGTGGACCAATCATAGAGCGAAGATTAAACAAAATCCGAGCGATACCGTATTACTCCCGACCCTCAACTGAAAATTAAAAATATTTTGACGAGTCTTTGAGTATTTCTTGTGCGATGAGTCTGTCTTGTTCGCTTTCTTTTCCATCTTCCTTGCTGATTCTCTTCAGACAAGTGAGGAGTTCACTAGCCTGATGTTTGTATTCACTGTAGTTAGAATTCAACAGGATTTGATGTAGTAATGATATGTATTCCGTTCTCATCTGTAGGAAAAAAAATAAAATCGTCTCAGTTGCGATACTCAGGTCTACTTTCTAAGACAAATGAATGAAAGGAGCGGGGTTTTAAAGAAACTGTGCGTCGGTAAAGGTGTGACAAGACAACTTGGCTTTATTAACTGTGTTGAGAGGGTAAATTGGAGAACGTACAGAGTTTATAAAACTGACGTCTCTAGCGTCAGCCCTTCCTCTTTCGCTCTGACGAAGGGCTAACACTTGATAAGTCAGCTCAAGAAACTCACTACTGTGGCCAACTCACGTTATTAACTCAGTTCATAAAAACCAAATTCTCTACTATTTAAGGTCTTTTAACATGGTGGGATTGCCAAAAATACAATAAAAAAGGTGAAATTTTTATGATTATGCCTATGCAAACCAAAAACAAAAGAAATCAAAGGGCCAACCAGAGGACAAATATCTCAAGAAGCCAATGAGAGCACAAAACAAAAATATACAAACTGCTGAAGCGCGGGAAAACGCGGGTGACCAATTCGCCATTGGTTGTGGCTTTTCATGTGATAGGCTGAAACGATGGCACGAGCTATCTAGACCAATCACGGAGCAAAGCAAAGCGCGCGTGTAATTCCTTTTATTGTGTTTTAACTGATGAATTTGAAGTTCAAGCCAGTCTCGGAGACAAGTTTATTACTAGTCTCGAGTAAGGGAAAATACGAGACAACGTTTCGCGCGAAAATTGGCATAAATATGTGACCACTTTCCAGTTCGCAAAGCTCGCGAAAAACTGTGAGGTACGAGAAACAGATAATGTCCATGGACAAACATCCGAGCATATTTTCGTGCCAAATAGAGGCTTCTGGGTTTAGTATCCTTCAAAAATTTTGCAACAAGCAGGAAGAAATGTCTACGAACAGCTTACCCTTTGCTGTGTGGGATGTTTACTATTTAGTATTCTCTAACAAGAAGTTTTGAACGAGCAAACATTTCCCTTTTCTATAAAAACAGCTGAACACTCTCTCATCTTAAATTAAATTCTAAACAAAGACTTTAACCGTTTTGGAAGTAAATCACTGGGGTTTATCACCGAATATTCCCCAGTTTTAACTGAGGAATATTCGGCCACGTGATACGTTTGGACCAATCTCGCGCGAGCAAAATTATTTGATGGATTATTAGAAGGATAGATATAAAGATATAAAAGGATAGATATAAAGCTGATAGATATAAACCGACCCCTGCCCCAGGAGAAAGATCCGCCATCTGTCGTAGAACAATTTCTATCAGGACTTTCATGTCTAAAGCGTAAAAAAACTCTGAAGTGTCGCTAGATGAAAAGATGTCCGTAACAAACTTGAGCACTGCGTCGGGAGAACTACGAGTATACTGAAACAAGGCAGTGGGATCCTCTGTAAAACAAGAATAACAAGAATCATTGTCGTTTTTACGTTGGAGATGAAATAAGTAGCAATTAAGGCGTTGGTCTCAGTAGATTGGAGTAGTCCATAGTATAGCCTTGGTTGGGTCATCGAGTGGTGGTCTTGGCAGTTTAAGACACTCAGCTTTCACAGTGTGATTAGGGCCGTTTATAGGAGGAAAATAATCCGCACCTTAGGCAAGCCGAAGACTACCTAACGCAAATTGGGCCATTTATACGAACACAGCTTAGATAAGCTGTGAAATGCTTCTGTAAATAGTTCGCGTCCTTTATTTAACACAGCATCGGGAAAACGCGCTGGTACGCATGCTTGTAACACGAGAGAAAGTTACGCGTGCAAGGGAATGGGAACAATAATATTTCCATAGTAACACTGTCGAAACAAAATGGGACATTTTTAAATTCCTACCGCTTCGCAGCTAAGAACACTACTGAAACGAGTAGTTGTAAATAGGACCTGAAAAAAACTCAGGCCAGTACGGGATTTGAATCCCATGACCTCTGCGATACCGGTGCAGCGCTCTACCAATTGAGCTAACAAGCCAACTGGGAGCTGGTCAATGAATTGGGTCCAAATAAACATCCTAACGAACTAACAGGTCCTATTTACAACTACTCGTTTCAGTAGTGTTCTTAGCTGCGAGGATCTCTTCATTTCATCTCTCCACCGCAGTGCAAATATATGAATTTTCATATATCTAAAATCATCATTCCTACCGCTTGTTTTCATTTTACGGGGATAAGCCCAAACCAATACGGATAAGATTGCTGTTTTCAGGAAAGTGTCGGTCGAACTCCATCGTCACATGTATCACTTAACGAAAAACGTATTGTGGTAACAGGTGTGCATTTAGTGACTGAAATTGAGCAGCCATAAAATGGATTTAGCGCTTCTTTTCATCGCTTTCTCAGTAGACAAACCCCCTGGAGATAAACAATGTAATTTGGTCTTATCAGCTGAGTTGATAACGTAAATTGGTTACCGTTAAGATTTTCAAAGCTGACGTTTCGAGCGTTGGCCCTTCGTCAGAGCGAAGTGAAGTATGAACAGGTACTAAAAGACTATCTAGCGTAGGTAGATTCGATGCAGAAAGTATGACTAACGCCGCAAAAAGTTGGCTCGGGGTAACATAATTCTCAAAATGTTTTCACTTATCCTTTAGCCATGATCGCACTAGGAGAAAGAACATTTTGAACGACTTTTTTTCCGAACTTCTACCTCACGTATGCATGGTTACATATCGATTGCGGACACTGGACACAATTCAGATTGTAAGGACGTTTCCTTGTGCCAACGAACTACGCAAAAAAAATTTTGGAAAATATGAGTTGGGTATATGCAACATAGCGGCCAAACGTCGGACATGCACAAGGGAATCAATTTTACTCGGCCGTGCCTGCATGACATATTTTTCTCGCAAAATTTCAAAGGAAAACATAGGAAACAATTGCTATTACGGAAACTATGCGGGAAGAAATTAAAACATTTATGACAATCTGTTCAAGGAAACAAAAGTAGAGGAAAGGGAACTCGAAACTTTTCGAACACAGAGCTTGGTGTACAATATGCCCCCAACCCCCTCCCCCCACGTTCCAAAACGCTCGACAACCTGTGAAAAATGCATCCGAAGATCAGGAAGACTAATAATACATTCTGTTGCTACTTCTGACCAACCTTCTCTGTTGAGAAGTAACACGATCTTCTCGCTCAGTGTCTTGGCAGCGCTGCGGGATGCTAGTACCCTCATTACAATGTTACTCTGAACATCTGCAGGTGAGAAAAAAGCAACTAGCTCGCACTAAAAGAAAATACTTTGACTGAAAGAGTAGGAGTCATTCTTAGTCGGCTATTGTTCGTTTTCAGTCCGTAGAAAATCATTTGAATGTTCATAGCAGTTTTAAAGTTTGTTTTGTTTCGTTTTGATTTTTTGTTTGTTTGTTTGTTTGTTTTACACGCGTGTTTTCACTGTGGGGTCTTCTGGGCCTCGTTGTTCAAAGCACTGTTAAGATAACTCAGGGTTAGTATGAAATGTAGTTTAAGATCTGAAGGTTTTAAAAGAAAATTCAGTATAATTATTTTCGTCTACAATTTAATGACTGGTTACTCTTCAAAGAAGAGAGAAAATTATCCGAGAAAGACTTTAAAACAAAAGGATAAAGAAACCTGGATTAAATTTAACCCTGGGTTAGCGCTACTCAGCTCCGAACAACTAGGCCCTGGTCATTACTCATCGAAGAAATTTGGTTGTGTTTATAATAAAATATACCTTATTTTCTCCCCTACCCACCCCCCTTGGCTATGTAGTATTCTAACGATGCCCCCTCATTACCACTCAATTTTTCATATCCCTCCTCTTTATACTCTGCCAGCGACGAATGATTCCCCCTCTGTTCCCTTAAAAAACCGTGTGACCCACCATAAATCCCCCCCCCCCCCCTCCAAGGCTATGTAGTATTCTAACGATTGCCCCTCAACCCTCAATGGCAGTTAATTTTTCATATCTCCTCCTTTTTACTCTGTCAGCGACGAATGATTCCGCCTCTGTTCCTCTTAAAAACTATGTGACCCACCAGACATCCTCCCACTCACCCCTCCCCACCAGGCGATATATATGACTAGTCCCTAACGAAGCTTGAGCAATTACCATTTCGACGTGAAGATTTAACACCATTCTCTCACTGCTACATTTCTTGATTAAAAACCGTGTAAATGAGCTTTGTGATCTTACAATAAGTTCTTGTTTCCTCATTTTAAATTCTCAGGTTCAACGCTGCATCCACACGTCCTTTGCACACTAACAAGTGCCTGTAGTAAAATGGACTTTCCGGACCAATGTCAGTATCTGAGCAACTACACACCTACCCCTCCCGTAACCCAACAACAGTCAACTGATGACAAGTTAGAGTTAATGTTAGGTAAGGGGAGGGGTGGTGCGCAGTTGCATATAAACTGATATTGGTCCGCCTTTCCTTACCTACAAAGTGGTGGTTAAATGCCAGGATAAGAGGTGTAAAAGCCTCCATAAATTCTTCCTCATGTTCAGATGTTTCAATGGCATCAATCAAAAACTCCACAAACGAATCATTTACTTGGTCTGATGATCACAGAAAAAAAAAACTGTTTTAAACATAACTCAAATAGAGAGAAAGTCTGACAAACGAGTAAAATGTAAAAAGGATGAATGAAAATAAACGGCCCCGGATGAAGTATAATAAAAAAACTACCACCTGGCTGAACATCGACTCACGAGCCACGCTAATGACTGGGCCGTGGAATGGCCCAGTCATTAGCATTAGCATTAACAGAATGGTAAATTAACAGGACACCTGCAATTGAATTTAGTTTATTTCCGAAAATGCTCGAGTTTATCATTTAACTGCTTTTCTGTCCTTTACAAATATCTATGAAGTTTCCTAATTGTTTTGCATATTTTCGTAACAGCGGTTATACCTTATGTTCCCTTTAAAATTTTGCGTGGAAAATTGGCGTGCCGAATCGGCCGACCAAAGCTGACCCCTTCGCGCATGCCTGACGTTTGACCGCTGTGTTACATTCAGCAGTATGATCTGACTACACGACCAATGAAACAAAGGAAGCGAGGACAGGACTCACCATAAACGGTATATGGAACAGATTCTCCAGTTGAAAAAATCATTGTCATTAATATTGCACAGTGACGCTGCATTGAAGCACCTGCAAGATCAACATCAAAAATGAGTTGGTTACCGACTTCTTTTAAGCAAACCGGTGAGGCGCGCTTGTTGATGGCATGTCTAACTCTAGATTCTACATTCTTTGATTTATCTCCTCTCACCACTCAAATATCATGAAACAAAGTATTAGAACCGCGTGTTTGATATTTTGTTTGACTACTTCCCTGCCTTATGGTAAGTCGGTCAGTTGGTCCGTCTATTGGTCTTTCCCTTGCGCATGCCTAATGGGGGGTCTATTAGTCTTTTGCTCGAACGAAGGGCTAACGCTCGAAACGTCAACTTTCAAACGCTTTACAATGATAATTTACATTATCAACTCAGTTAATAAAACAAAATTATCTTGTTATACTCCCCCACTATCACAGAATCACAGTTTCTTTAGAAACTTACCCCCTTTAGGCACATACATAGATATGCACATATATAGTAAGCAGATAGCCAAAAAGACGATCAGAAAGTCAGTCAGACGGACAGCAGGCAGGCAAGCAGACAGAAAAACAGGCAGACAGACAGACAGGCAGGCAGACATACAGACAGACAAACAGGCAGAGAGACAGGCGTACAGACAGAAAAGACAGGTAATTTAGTGTTAACAACTGAGTTGAAAACGTAAATTAGCCACCGTAAAGGGCAAAAAAGTTGACGTTTCGAGCGTTAGCCCTTCGTCAGAGCGATCGTCGTGATCGCTCTGACGAAGGGCTAACGCTCGAAACGTCAGCTTTTTTACCCTTTACGGTGGCTAATTTACGTTTTCAACTCAGTCGATGACACGAAATTACCTGCTATACTCTCCCACCGACGCAGCACCACAGTTTCTTTAGAAACTTACCCCTTTATTCAGACAGACAGACAGGCAGAGAGACAGACAGACAGATACACAAACAGATAGAAAGTCAGTGGGGAAGCTTTAAAATTATTTACTGTGGCCAATTAACATTATCAACTCATTTGATAAAACCAAAATTATATATGTGCCCGTCTGTCTGCCTGCGTTAATCTGTCAGTATACCAATGTCTAAAGGTCTTTCAATCTGCAAATGCATCAATACTTATCTTTCTGCAAATGCGTGTCCATCCTCTTTTTTTTTTAATTTTTTTAATTTGCTCTGTACATCAAACATTCTCTGGGTAAAAATATTTTTGGGTGGAGTCTTAACCCTTTCCACCCTAACATCAGTATGCACATTCTCCATACTGTTCTTTCTGCATTTCCTAAGGTGTTGACAAGAAGAATTTCTTAAAACAATCAAGGGCTTCTCTAGTATGTGATCATTTCCTTTATTCTCATGACCTTACTGTTTGATTTGGGGGTGGTATTGTAAAGAGAAATTAGATGCAAGCCACTCTCAGGGTCAAAAAGTTTAAAAGTGCAGGCACTACATTATGAACTTTCTTGGGATATCAATCAAAGTTGTGATGCCCTGAATTTTTTTTACCTTCTCTCCTCTTCATAATCTCCATTGCCAGTTCTGAAGGCAAGACAGAACACAGGAGCTGGGAGAGAATTTCCTTCTTCAAGCCACACAAACAACCAAAAATTTCAACTAAAAGTTGGCGCAGTGATTGTCTCTCTTCCTTGAAGTAAAAGAGAACAAATGAGCTTTGAACTTTTAAGTACACGTTACATTCAACCTCTTTAAACTCAAAATCTAATAATCAATTCTCCTAAATATCAGATGTACATTTCCTATAATGCTGGTGCCAAGAATTTGGTGAGCAGGTACTGGTCATTATTTTACACTTGAGGGGAAAAGGGATTGTCCGAGGATTTAAAGGGAATTACATGATTTTCAGAGGTAGGGGAGGGGGAACCAATTGTCGCTAACAGAGTTGATAAGGAGTGGGTGGGGGGGGGACTGCCATAGAAAATTGACTGCCAATGAGAAGGGAGCATTAGAATACTAAAGAGCCTAGGGGGAGGGGGAATAAGGTAAATTTTATTTTGACACAACCAAAATCCCCCAACCCCACCCCCAGGGCAATAGTTAATTACTAATCTCTAGGTCAACAATAATCAATTAAGAAAGATATTTTTTTTGTCTTGTAATAACATGAAACATTACTAGATTGCTTAATATTGTATCATTATCAGAAGGAGACATTCTGTCTTTGTCATAAGCATGAAAAAAATCTCCATGAGGTATCCAACCTCAGATCTTTAGATTCCAACCTCTGTTCTATGACTAAGGTGAAGAGGACTCTATAGTGTGCTAAAGCACCTCCCAGCCTTTTTTCAGGCTACCATAACAGTTCACTGGCACCCATTCCTACTCCTGGGAGAAGAGATACCTTGTAAGAGTAAAGTGTCTTACCAAAGAACACAACCTAATGAGCCAAACAGGTCTCAAACCCAAAAACAAAAAATGAAAAACCTGGCTTTGACAGTAGACTATTTGCAATCCCTCCTTTTGGGAAAAGTCCAGTGCATAAGTAAAAAAAAAAAGTGAGTGAGGTGATTGCTTCTATTCTAGCTCTACCAAATCTTGAAATCAACTTTTTTCACTGACTTTTTTTCCCTAACACAATGGACGATAAACAACTGTGAATACATGAAAGTCATATATTTGAACTGTGGATAAAGATGTGAATATGAAAGTAATCCTCCCAGTAATGAACACTACTCGAGCAGTAGTGAAAATAAGGCCTGAAAAAAATTCAGGCCTGTATGGGATTTGAACCTACGTCCTCTGCGATACCAGTGCAGTGCTCTACCACCCAAGCTAACAAGCCAATTGGGAGCTGGTCAAACTGGTTCCAAATAAACCCATGAAGTGGCGAATAAATGACTGTGAGTATATGAAAGTAATATATTTGAACTGTCAAAGTGGTGTTCATTACTGCAAAGATCTCTATCATATTCACAATGGACTATACTGAAAAAGAGGTACTGCTTGTAGTCTACTTGGGCAGTTGAGGGCTTTCTAACTATTGAAGACTGTATAATGTGCTTCACATTGCAGCAATATATACTTACCATTTGAAAGTAAACAACAAGCATGTTGACATAGTCATAATCATCAAGCTTGAAAACAGTTCGACACACAGCTGGATCAGCATCAAGCTACAAAAAAATACAGATTCACAAGACTTTTTTATTTCTTTCAGGTCCTGTTTGGGAAAAGTGAAGTTAAGTGATAATTCTGTGTTCTCATGTTTGTTTTTGATTTTTTTTCAAAATTCTCCTTGGCATTTTACGCATGATTTCATGAGCTGACGTTTAGTCAAGTGAGTTTAAACTAACCTAACTGAGCACCAGCTGATGAAAAACATGGTGTCAAATCTATGTCAATTGTACCTACTGTAGGAAGTGAATACACCTGTAATGTTACTTCATAATTATCAAACTATTCTATCCATGTAAATGGGGCATGAAAATGTCAACCAGTTAAGAGAGCTCTGAATGGCATGTACATATTTTTAGACAAATAAATCTTGTATGCTGTTAATAATTATAATCATTTCAAAAATTAACCCTCTACACCTTAACATCAGTATGCATATTCTCCATACTGTTCTCTAAACATTTCCTAATGTGCTGACTGGGAGAATTTGTCTAACAATCAAGAGCTTCTTTAGATGGTGATCATTTCCTTTATTCTCATGAACTTAATATTTAATTCAGGGATGATGCTGTAAGGAGAAATTTGGTGGCAGCCACTCTTGGGATTTAATGGGTTAAACAAAGGGGCTACCAAACTCATTTTTTAGTTATTTTAAATGGCACATAGCTGTAGTGTTGTTGTGGTAACCTTACATGTTGATAAGAGATCACATCATCTGAGAAATTTTTTTTTAGTCCTGGATAGAAACAAAAAAGTGTGGGAGACACCATTCATCAAAGAGCTGGAACCATTTTGAGCAGTCTTTCAGATTGTTTCAGATATTCTTTGGGTTTTTAATTTAACAAAAAATGCTTCAAACACTAGCTGTGTTATTAAGTAATGATTCAGGGGTGATATTGTGAGGAAAAATAAGATGCTAGTCAATGTTAACCCTATAACTCCCAAGATCTGATTGTTAATTCTCCCCTGTAGCTGCTACACATTTCCTTGTAAATTAGTTATGAGAACTTAGTGCTAGATCAAGATAGCAGCTTCTACCTGTTAAGATTGAATATTCTCAATACCTGTTTGCTGAATAATGTATAGATATTATAGGGAGAAGTTTCGTGTTAATCACTTCTGGGAATTAAAGGTTTAAAGGTTCAAGAGTTGAAGGATTTATAACACTTTATGTCACACAATGAAACTTGACCAACCAGAATACTGTGAAGATTTTCCAGCAGTTTATGAAGTATCCCTTCATCATCATGAACAGCCCAGCTTCTTTGCTGCGAGTCTTCCTTGTGTTCTGTCAGCTCATCAAGAATTGCGATAAGTTGCTGGCCATCATTGGACTGAAGAAGAGCCTCCTCATCTTCAGTGCGAGACTCCTGGTCAAGCCAATAGGGCAAAAGGATTTATAATTTAGTTCAAGCAGATGCTGTTATTTTATAAGTCTTCCTTTAGTTAAATATAAGGAATTTCATGAACACAAATTAGAGGGTCTCATTGGTGTTAACTGTTAAGCATAAAAGGGTAAATAAATAAGATATTAGGTGGTCAAGCCAATAAGGTGAGAGGAAATAATTTAATTTTTCCATTTCACCCCTTAAATCATGGGAGTTAAGGGGTAAAATGGACAAATAACAAGAGATAGTTTTAAAAGGTCACTTAATTTTAAAAGTCAAAATCATTAAGTCTTTACAAGAGACCATATATCCCAAAATGCAGGAGCAATTCAGACAAGGTTTTTGTTTATTGTATTCTGAGGAAAATGCAGCACAGCCTGCAAATAAGGAGTAAACTCTGCTTTCCTAAAGAAACAAGGGATGGGCTCACTATATGTTTCTAAACTAATCTTGCTGCATAGGCTCAAATATCTATTAGGATAATTAAGTATTATCAACTGAGTTGATAACATAAATTGTCCACTGTAAAGAGTTTCAAAGCTGACATTTCAAGCATTGGGCCTTTGTCAGAGCTCAAAACGTCAGCTTTGATACTCTTTACAGCGGCTAATTGACATTATCAACTCAGTTGATCATACTAAATTACCCTGTTATACTCTACTACCGATGAAACACCACAGTTTCTTTCACTGTCATCCACACATTTCTAGGATCAGCCTTGGAATTCAAGTTCACATCGCAGTGAATAATGCCATTATGGTGCTTCTTCACATAAGTACCATTTAGTGTCTCAACTAAGCATAACTTTGTAACCAGCCTGGGCCACAAAGTTTCATTTTACTGACCTTCTGATGTTCAAGATCTTGAATCAGTTGTGCCATAACATTGGAAGTTGATGGTACAGAGTAATGAATGTGTGATAAGACTGTATGGACAGCCACAGAAGACTTGTCATAACTCAACCCAGTGCTGCAAACAGTGATTAGATAAATTCAATCCCATTAAACATTTTAATCGACTAATCACACCATGGGAAAGCAGCAATCTTACCAACCACACCCAATGGTATCAACCACTGCTTAGGACTCAAGCAAGCAGAGATAACAAAGACTTCAGAAACTATTTACTTCTTGTTTTCTCTAATTGGATTGATCAGTTTTGTGTTATTGACCCTTGAAACAGAAGTTAAACCTTCATTTATTTTCTTACTTCATCCTAAGAAGCTCTAACAGCTCTGCAGCAATTCCAGGTCGTATCGTGACAGACTCAAGATCAGGTCTTTCAGGGATAGCTGGAGGTGGAGCAGATTCCCTTGCTTTTGCAGGCACTTGGTCTAAACAAACATGACACACAAAATAATTTGAACACAAAATCTAAGTAAATTTTTAATCACAAGCATGTGCATAACATATTCGTTATCTCCAACGTGCAATAGGAATACTCCCATTCACCTTTTGACCCCTAAAGGTCACTAACATTGAAACTCTCCTTACAACAAACATTGCAGCCACAAGAATAACAGAAATGATTACTAACTAAAGAAACTCTTGATTGTTAAACAACATGTAGCAAATGTATAGAGGACACTAAGGAGAATATGAATAGTGATCTCAGGGTGTAAGTGATAAGTGTTTTTACTAAGTTGATGAGCTGGTAAAGTCTCCTAGGTTATTGTGCAAAAATGTATAACAAACAGACAGAAGTCATATTTTGATTATAGACCTCCAAACCTTTCACTGCAGTATCCCATGTTGAAGCAGAAGTGGTTGGAGCTGCAGGAGCTGGCCTTCTCTTTGTTGTTTCCTTCTTCTTTTTATTCTTATCCTTGCCAGATGGAGGTGCTGGAGCAGGGCGTCGTGGCTGTGCTGGTAGATCAGCCTTGTCTCTTGAATTAATTCGATTTCGGTGCTCAAGTAATTTTCTTAAAAGGAGTACAATTGTTTCAATTAGTTTATACTTTTTTCCCACAAAATCTCGTGCAGCCAATGTACCTATAAGATTCATTTTATTTAGTAAATAAACCCCTTCAGGTGGTTAGTATGTCAGTTGATAGTGTCTGCCACTGAGAGATTGTTGGGAAAATGAATATTTAGCCTTCAAAAGCAAATGTGAAATTCTGGGGACAGTTTCTCAGCCATGGTCATTATCAGGAAATGCAATTCAGCAATCCAGAAAGGGGTTTATTCATTTCATAACCCACCATTACTTATTCATGTTGCACAAATTATTTTGCTGAATTTTTGTACTTTCTAAAACACCCATCTGATCAATATCCCAATTGCTGGGCTCTACAGATTTAAATAAGCTTGTTTTTCTTTCACCTAAAATATCAAAGACAAAAAGTGAAAGTCTTGAGCTTATTTTTCTTACAGGCTTTTTTCTTTTTGATGGAAATAAACAGGGGACAAGTATTGAAGCATCCTGTGATTTTGCACTATGTGACATAAATTAGTTGATAAAATTGCAGGACATTTGATGGGAGGGTTATAATTCCTTAACCCTTTGACTCCCATGAGTGACCAAGACAGAATTTCTCCTCACAACATCAATTCAATATCAACCAGATAAGTAATGAGAATAAAGAAAAATATCAATTTGGGGATAGTTAGTTGATCCAATATTAAATTCTAGGAACTAACATTATAAGAATTGTATGGTTGACAGTAAGGAGAATTATGAATTCGATCTGGGAGTTACAGGGTTAACAACTTGGTGGACAGAGGTACTGTAAGAATAACCTGAGCTCAGTCATATTACTTAGGTATTTAAGAAAACGAAAACAGTGACAGCAATGAGAATGTGGTGAAAAAAAAAATTTTAATCAGAAGAATAAACATGTGCATTTTAAAATTCTGCATAATTCCTAGCCATCCTAGGAAAAAACAGTATTTAAAAATCATCACAACTTTTGCATGGTATGAAAACTACATGCACACATGTAAAAGCCTGATGGCATTTTCTTGACAAATGCTTTTATTAGATTGGAAAGCTTTAGACTGAAAATTCAGTTTCATTGATTTTTTTGTCCATGATATGATTACTGGATACTCTACAAAAAATAGGGAAAATCAACTCAAATAAGCTCTTGAACAGAGAAATAGAGAAACCTGGATTAAAATTCAACCCTGGGTTAACACTAATCAGCCTTCCAACAACTGGGCCTCTTGGCCAAGAACATAATGCAACAACCCAACAGATCTCAAATGTGGACCTCTCCACAAAGAGGCCAGTACATCAACTATTGTATTACTGAGTCACCCATAACATCTCAAAATCCCTAAAAGTATTATCAATTCTCACCTTAAATTAGCTCTTTGCTCATGAGTATAAAAACCACCAGAAGCTGCCACTTGTGCATGGATGGCTTCTATGGCTCTGTCTACTGACTCTAACACTGCTTGTCTTTCACCTGGGTCAGCCTTAAGACAGCAGACAAAGTAAGTGTGCTAATTGTGTAGTCTTCAAGGCCATATCAAGATGATTTTGATTATAGAGGTAATGACACAACCAACAGAATTTCCTCTCTGGAGCCCCTTACTCTCTACAGCTTTCCCCCAGCATATTTAGAGGGTACCAAATAGGGATCCTGATCTTGTTTCATGCATGAATTTAAGAGAGATTCATGTATCATGTGTACTTTAAACAGTATTTCAAGCATTGAAAATTTAAAACTCCAAATCTCACATAACTAGGCCTTTCTATAAAAGTTTAAAGTTCAAACTATGTGCCTATTCTAGTTTCACTCCACTTAGAAAAAATATTAAGCCCCTTTCTTTGCTATGACCTTGGTCTGATTGTCCAGTTGTGAGAAGTCCTGAAAAGAACTGTATCCCATTGAGATAACTGGCCTTTCATAAACCTGTGTGCAAGCCACTGTTGTCATCAACGCTTTGGTTGTCTAAAAATAACATCAATCACTGATAACAGTGTTTTCCAGGACTTCTCTCATGACCAATGCAAATTTGCGGGGCAATGCCCTCTTTGGATGCCAAGTCAAACATAGACACTGTGGGTTAGCGTACTTTACTGATTGCAGGGCTTTCATTAACAACTTATGTGGTAGGAGAGTATTGTAAAGTACGAGAAAAATATTTACTTCGCCTAGACAAAAATTAGCTCTGCAGCCCATCGACATTTCGCCGGTAAATCAATTCTGCAAAGAGGCCGGAAAATTCAACAAGCTACGATACTTAATAAGCACCCTTTAAATTCATGCGACTTCTTAAATGAACTCTGACTATTTCCCTCACCGTTTCATTATCGACAGGTTCCAGGTAACAGGCAGGAACGAGTCCGACTGAACTATCTCGTGCGCGCATCCGCCACCAGTTCTCATCATGTTGTTCAATAAATTCAAATATATCCCCAGCATGGATGGGGAGAACCCCCTTATCTTTGCTTGTCAAATGATATATAGACCTATACATGACATAATCTTATAAATAGCGTAATTTAAAAACGAAAATTCATTTTCTTATGAAATGTAACGCAGAATATTATAGCGCAGAGGGCAGCCATTTTGAAATATTCCGAAAAGTCACGTTACCATATAATTGCGTGAGCGAATGGGACAAAAAGTTCTCGTGGGTGGGGTAGGTGAGTTATTGTTGCGACTTAGCCGACACCACACAAATGAATAATGCTTCTCGCACGCTCTGATTGGGTAGCTCAAAAGTGATTGACAATAACTTTTCATTAAAAAGTTAAAATTATCGATCGTAATGAAAGTAGTAAACCAGCCATTAGCAAACAAACTGTAGTTTTAAGATTTGTTATAATGTCCTAAAGACAATTGAAATTGTTTCGAGGTTTTCCAAGTTTCACAGTAAGAAAACTTCCACAGGATGAAGGAATGACAATAATGTTAATGAAGCATTTATATAAGGTATTCTCAATATTAATATCCTCAAATGTACTTTACATCACTTTGGAGGGAACTTTGGTCAGTTTCAGTCAATGAAATTTTGCAAGTACCCCCAAGTTTTGGAATCTTGAAAACAAGGCCAGATCACAACACCAAGAACTACACTCCCTGCTCCATGCAGGATGTGCATGGATTCTTTGACATTCCCTACTGACCAGTACATAGAAAATGCAGGAGTCAGGGCCTACAGGTTATGGTCCTTATCCAAGAAGACTAGAATGTCTAACTATTTGCCATGATCATAACAAATGCAGCACACTGTCCTCAGTTATTTTTAAGACTCCGAGTGTTGATCTGGTCAAGGACACAAACCCTCGATCTCTAGCACAGCAATCTGGCACCCTACAACCTGAATTAACCAGATGGCAGTAAGGAACCAGTGAATAACTTTTTCCCTCTGTCTTGATTACAGTAGTTGAGGGATAACAGCATAGCTAAAGCAAGGACACAGCCACAATTCTAAAGAGAGAGATCATGACATATCCAAAATATTAAGAATTTATTTTCCACATTCCTATAGTCATCAATGATATAATTTACAAGATAGACAGTTTTTAGACTGATTTTTCTTTCTAACTGGACTGAGGCACAGTTTCCAAATGAATATGAGCACAGTAGCTCTTTGGCCCCATCAAGAGACTAGCATCTAATTTCTCCTTACAATATCACACCTGAATCAAGCATTACAGTCATGAGAATAACAGAAATGATCACCAACAAAAGAAGCTGCTGATTGTTGCACAAATTCTCCTTGTCAGTAACATAGGAAATGTGTAGGAGGTAGTATGGAGTAAATACATATTGATGCAAGAATATAAAGGGTCAACAAGGGAAAGTTATTTAACATGTTTCATATGGTTAAAGTTTCCAGAAGTTGAAATCCTAATAAATTTCTAGCTAAATGTAGGAATTTTTTATTTCTTTCTGATATCTTCAGTCAAACTTGAATCCTTTTTTTGACAAGTCCTGTCTTGCATCATTTATCTCCTGTAAAAAGTTAAAGCAATGGGATTGTAACCAAGTTTGAAGTCAGTAAGAAAAAATCCACAACCAAACTCGAGAATACATTTGGCAAATTTTTGGAGTAAATCCTTTTCTCCAACATATAAAGATATATCCTTTGTTAAAAAAAAAGCTTCTAATGTCTAAATGGCGAATATCCAGCCATATCGACTTTGTAGAAGGTCAACAATGCACATTCCCACCATACAATATTGAAGGAACAGGTCTCCTTGGTTACAAAAGCAACTTGGTAAAAATTCAAAACCAGAACCTTGCAAATAGGGCAGAAACTTGGAAAATAGTACAATTCGAGCTCCTTACCTGTTTTAAAGATTCAGAGGCTTCTACACAATCATTGAAAGTTGCTACTCGATATCCAATAGTTGCCAAAGAATAACACTGAAGGGAAAAACAAGAACTCAAATCAATAAAACTGTAACAGGAAAAAATATATATAATTCTAACATAACCTACGGACAAATATAAACTCGATAAGAAACGCATAACATATCAACTCACCCCAAATACAATGAGAGCATAAATTGGCATCTGCAAAGGATAAATAAAAGCAAATATGAGTAAAATATGTTCGCTGTTTGCCACAATTCAAAGGTCTTGAAAGCCCGATACTCTTTCATAAAATGTTCCCGTGATTACCGGCCATATTACTTCCTTGGCTTTGTAGGATACTTTAAGAGGTAGGATATCTGTTAATGGGGTAATCCAGAGCGAAAGGGCTACTCCAGCAAAAATGATCCATTCTGTCAATTTAGTCATGTTTTCGAATGCCACAAGTTAAACTTCAAGCAGACAGTAAGTAGTGGTCAGTGGTCTTAGCCATGGACTACATAAATGTTGTGTAAGCTTCCAGTTTTCTCCTTCTTTCTCAATAAGTCTATCACTTTTCGTCAAAAAAGAAAATTGATTGACTGGCTGGTAATTATTTTGGTTTTAGAGATGCATGTCTTATTCTACAAAATCCCTTCATTTCTTTTCAAAAGAGAGGTGTTTAATTCCTTACTTTGCCGAGCAACACTGAAGAATGATTACAAACCTTAAAATGTGATTTGTGTAAAAATTATATCAAAGATCTCCCTACAATCACCCTGCTTTAATCAAAAACGATAAATGCGTTTTTACTTTAGGATATCTGTAAAGCACATCGTTGCATGGGATGCCTGTGACCCATGTAGTTGATTTTTCAGAGTGGGTCACAAATTGCAAAATCCACCAACTGAATATCAAAAAGTATGGTCAAACGATTGAGTATAACATGCTCAGCTGTGATTAATTTGCGTGTGTGTGTTTGGTGGTTATCGTTTGCCCATCCATTGATAGTGCCTGGTGTTATCTGTAGACAGATGTACGCATTGCGTACCTATTTTTATTTTATATTTATATATATATATATATATTTTTTTTTTCCCATGGTCATTTCAAATTGCAAAATCCACTAAATGCATCTCAAAGATCAGGGTCAAACAGTGGAATACTACATGCTCAGCCGTGATTGGCTTGTGTCCATCAGATATCTGCTCGATACTTCAAGCACAATCCAGTGATTTTGGTGGTTATACTTTGCTTATCCCTTTGCTCATGCCAAGTGTTATCTCCATTTTTTTTCAGGAAGATGAAGATCAACAAACAAGAGTCTGGAGATAATGATTTTTCTTTTTCATAATTCAATGACTTGAAAATTCAAAGATCTCCTACAATCACCCTGCTTTAATCAAAAACAATAAATGTGTTTTTAACTTTGGGATATCTGTAAAGCAGATCATTGCATGGGATGCCATGGGATACTTCCTATTCAATAAAACCCATCAAAACAACATTCAAATTGTACACAGACTGGACAATCGGCAGTCCCTCCTATTGGGAAAATTTAATCCCATGAGTTAACCCTTTCCCTCCCAAGTCAAATTTATAATTCTTCTTACTGTCAACCATACTATTCTTATAATATTAGTTCAGAGAATTTAATATTGGATCAACTACTTATTCCCAAATTTATTTGTCTTTATTCTCATCACTTATCTGTCTGATATTGTATTGATATTGTAAGGAGAAATTCTGTGTTGGTCACTCATGGGAGTTAAAGAGTTAAAGAGTTAAAAATAAAAAAAATAAAAAAATCAGTGAAAAAAAAAATTGATGTTAGCATGCAGCAAGGAACTACACCTTATGTGGGCCTTACCCCACGAATCCCACTTGGGGAGCTAACATCAACCTGTTTTTTTTGGGCTGATTTTTTCTTACTTATGTCAGACTTTACTGAAAGGGAGGACTGCTTTTAGTCTAAACACAAACTTTTATGCTTGTCTCACACTCAGAGATAGCAGACTTAAAAAATAATTAGTCAAGCAGGTCTCCCCAAAATTGTTATATATTGGCACAAAAAATATACCTGTGAAGTAACTGATTGTCACTGATAGGTAAAGTATATTCAATCATGCAACAAAAAATCTTTGATCTGTTCTTTCATCTGGGCTCTGTGATGAGATTTCTTAGCAGCATCCATAACAAATGAGGGAAAATCACTCGGATTAAACTTGACATTTTTAAATGTTAATCGGCAACCATAACATAAAGCTTCATGAATATTGTCTCTGGTTAGTGGCTGTTCAGCTAAAGAATTTGAACATCCACTTTCACAGCTTCCACAAGATTCAGTCACAGACTTAGGAGTAGTTTTGTTGTCTACATTGAGCTCCACTGCACTCAGACCATCAGTTAGGGTGGAAAGCAGAGTTGGATCCACATTGAGTGGAATGCCACAAAGAGCACAAGAAGCGACATCATCAGGGGATTCCTTCACAGATAGCTTATCACCAGTTCTAAATATTGTGCTGACAGTAAAAGGAAGATCAGCTTGAAGACCACTAACAAACTCTTCTGTTAAACGATCAATGCTGACGTGTGAATGGCTCATAGTGGACAGTGTTGGTATAACTACAGCTTGGACATTGTTAAAGAAATTATACAGAGCTATCTCCTTAGTCACAAATTCTCGCATTGGTCTGACAAATATGACATCGTCATGACGATCATCACTAAAGCCAGTGTCATAAGGCAAATCTCCACCCCTCCCTTGAGATACATTGGATAGTAGTCTCACTGACAGTCTGGAGGCACAGTCTGCAACCATTACTTTTGAATATCCTTCTTTCCTGGCCACTGTAAGCAACAGTTGGTTACGGAGTATCTTTAGCAAGTCTTCTTTTTCTGTCACTGATGGCATTGCGTCAAACAGGCTTTTTAATTTTTCACCTTTTTCTGACGTTTCAGACTTCTTGCAACAACTAGCATCATCTTGTGCAGATCGGGAGAAAATGTCCTCCAACTTCACCAGATGAAATGGAAACTCTGCTCTTGAAACTATGCCTCGAATCTGTTCGATATAACTAGAACGCTCCTCTTCACTTTGCTTCAGTACTTCTCCTTCATCGATGAAAGTGATCCCTGGTTCGAATCGGAGTTTTTTGTGAGCCGCACCACTCAAACCTTCACAAACTAAATGCAACATTGCAGACGAAGACAGACCTCCAGAAAATGCCAATAAAATCCTTTCTCCTGCCCGTATCACACGCGCTTTTCCGATTGTCGCACGGAATTTGTGCGTAAAATACGCCAGAAAACAGGACTTGCACAAAGGATCGTTGAGGCGAACAACCACGACTGCAAGGCTTGAAGCACACTTCATGCACGTTCTTCTACCGCCAAATTCTTCTTTAGATTGCTTTCCCTGTAGCTGAGATGGGACATTCTCTAAATCTTCTTCTTGAACACTGCACATTTTGTTTAGAAAGATCTTTGCGAGACAAGAATATACAATTTTTTTTACGAAAATCAGCCTTGTGGAACTTAATTCGGTCTCAGTCAGCCATGTTGATTATGCAAAGTTGCGCGCGTGTTCAGTACGGTGTTCCGCTGTTCAAGGTTACTCCCCGGAATAGAAACTCCACGCTGAAAGAAGTCGTGTCTTTATTTATGAAATCTACTCACCACTTGCGGCGAAATTCAAAACCTCTGAAAATGTCTGACTCAGTTTTTGTGAAATCTGTGCGGATTGCTACTGTTGTAACATTGTATTGGTAAGATTTACGTCAAAATCAAGACATACTTTAGGAATTATTTCTTTCAAGTTATTCTGATAAGTTACAATTAATTCTCTCTGATTTGAATTTCATGAGCATAACTAAAACTGCCACGTTACAACCCGCGAAAATTTTCAGTTTCGCTTTTCCTGTTTATTTTTTCATTCATTGTACTGTTGTTTATATATATTTTTTGGCGTTTTTATCATTTTTTTCAAGGGTGATCTCAATATCCATGGTGTTCTTGAACAAGTACCTTCTCAGCAGTCCTGACCTGAAGGTAAGATCTGACTGTAAATTCTCCCTTCCATCTGCCTCGCATTTCCTTGTAAATTAGTTCTGCGAATTTGGCTTTAGATCAAGGTAACAACTTCCACCAGATAAGTTTGAGTATTCTCATTACCTGTTTGCTGGATAATTGGCAGGTATTACAGGGAGAAGTTACATGTTGATCATCTCTGGGGACTAACACTGCTTCTCTTTTTTTTCAGCTTGATGCTCCACTGTTTGTCACTTGGTTTCAATGTGTTGTTTGCTTAATTTGCTTGTTCCTTCTGAGTTTTTTGGGAGATAAATATCCACGGATTGACAAGTTCCCAGCTTTCACTATTGATCTAAAGGTGTCAAGAGAGGTGTGTACAGTTTTTTCATAATTCAGTTGTCTTGTCTATTGTGTCATTTGCATATAGCTTTTTTTTACTTTTTGAAGGGTGCCATGTTGGTGCACCTGCTATTATTAGGAATTCAACTTGTGTGACTATTGGAAATTAAAGTATCATCTGTAATATTTCATGCTATGTGTCAGGTATCTTTATTGGAGCAAACTGTTAAATGCAATGTGTGCAACAAAGATAGGGGTTTCTTGGATGTACATGTTGAGCAAAGTTCGCCAAGGCTCTTAGAGGATTTCTAAGTTTAATTTGTATGATTGTAATTTGTACTTGGAAATCTGAGCATTAAATAGGAATCTCTACATCAGTGCTAAGGGGTTTTCATGTCAGACCTCTTGCATATTTGATCTTTGTATATAGTTGAGGCCAGATGTATGACACAGTACCTGTCACTTCCAAGATCTCAATAGCAATTCTCCTTTCTGTCTATGATTTGTCTATGATTTATTTCTCTTGATGCTAGTTGAGAATTTGGTGTTTATTGAAATCCAATGATAGCCTCCAGTTGAGGTGTCTCTTCATATATTCTCATCAGTTGTTTACTCAACACTGTATTGATACTGTAAGGGGGGAATTTACTTCATGGTCATGCATGGTAGTGAAAGGGTTGATTGGTTCATAGCTTAGTTATCATTGTTTTTGTGTCTCCAGTTAAGAGGTGGAGCCACAATGTCTGTGCTTTGTCCATTTGCCTCATTTCGATTTTTAGCCCTTTACACCCTAACATCAGTATCCATATTCTCTATACTCTTCCCTATACATGTCCTTTGGTACTGACAGGGAGAATTTGTCTAACAATCAAAACTTCTCAGGTCGGCGATCATTTCCTTTATTCTCATATCTTAATGAATAATATAGCAGTATTACTGTAAGAAGGAAATAGATGCTGGTCAATCTCAAGGTTTAACACGTCAAGTAATTTAAGGAGAAATTAGGTGCTGATCACTCTTAGGGTTTAAAGGGTTAGTGATCATGTTGTTCTTCTTCTCTGACATTTCTACAGGTTCTTCCATTGTCTATTGTTTTTGTGGGAATGATTACTTTCAATAACCTGTGTCTCAAGTACCTTGGAGTGTCATTTTACAATGTTGGAAGGTCACTTACAACTGTTTTCAATGTGGTAAGTACTATGATTACACTATGATAAGATACAACTAAGTTTTGAACTGCAATTTGAGGAAGGGTTTTTCATTTCACCACAGTTTTCTGCTTACTGTTTATTTGGGTTATTGTAATACAAAGCTGTAGGGGATTTGATATGTGATAATCTTGGTAGCAGTTTGTCATGAGACCTTGAAAAATGATGAAACAGAAACCTGCTTGTGTTTGTTTAGCTAATTTTACTGGAATGGTGAAAATAATGATACCAACTGAAAAAAGTTGTGAATGCAATAAAACAATAGAGTTTATGTTTCGCAGGCACAAATTTCTTTTGAGCCATTTTTGCAGTCATTTTCCCCCTTGCCTGGCTTGGGCAGGAACATAAGCTGGTTACTAAACAGTCAGAACAATAATGCAAGCATGCAAGGGAACTGAAATACATTTTAGCCTGTCAAAATCTTGCCTTCAGCACACAAACTGCATCACAGTGCCCGAAAAATGATAATAATGGATGACATTTTAGTTTAGTTAACTTTGCTCGGTTTGTTTTGTTGGTTAGATCTGTTCCTTTATTATCCTTGGCCAGAAGACATCCTGCAAAGCCATGTTCTGCTGTTCCATTATTATTTGTGGTTTTCTTTTGGGTGTCGACCAAGAAGGAAACTCAGGAGAACTGTCCTATCTTGGAATTCTGTTTGGAGTGTTAGCCAGCCTTTGTGTATCCCTAAATGCAATTTTCACCAAAAAGGTTCTCCCAGTTGTTGATAGTAACATCTGGCGTCTGCAACTCTATAACAATTTTAATGCTGTATTTCTTTTCCTGCCTCTTATGGTGATATGTGGTGAAGTGAAAGTGATCTATGGCTTCCACATGCTCAAGTCAGTATACTTTTGGGGTGTGATGGTATTGGGTGGGTTGTTTGGAATCGCAATCGGATATGTAACAGGCCTTCAAATCAAAGTGACAAGTCCATTGACGCACAATGTAAGTGGAACTGCCAAGGCTTGTGCTCAGACAATTCTCTCTGTGACAGTGAATCATGAGATTAAAACAGCTTTATGGTGGTTAAGTAATGCGTTAGTTTTAGGGGGTTCAACTGCTTACACATTTGTGAAACATAGTGAAATGAAAGCACAGCATAACAAGGCTGAGCAGACTCACAAAGGCAATGGAAACCACGGAGAGCAGAAAAATGGAGGGAATGTTGTTTAGTTTTTTTAAGTCTTGTTTAGTTGCACCTAAGGAATATTTCTTTCAAACTATTAACTTAGTTTGAAATTTTATGCTGCGAATTTTGTTATTCTCAAAATTAAAGTTAAATAATCCTCTTTGCCTCAGTTGTAACTTCAAAGATAAAATGATATTTATAAGTTAGAGAAAACTAGGGTCAGTTAACCCTTTAACTCCCAAGATCTGATTGTCAATTCTCCACTCTAGCAACAACACAATTCTTGTAAAAGAAATTAGGTAATAGATCAAGATGACATCTTTAACCTGATAAGTTTGAATATTCCCATTACCTGTTTGCTGAATAATATATGGATATTACAGGGAGAAATTGCATGTTAATCACTTCTGGGAGTTGAAGGGTTATTGTATATATTAACTTTTTGTTCAACATTCAAAGGTGAAAATTTTGTTGTTTTAAATATTTATGTGGAATAAACCTCTTCAATGCCTCTATTGTATATTCAGAGATAATTAATGGTTTTTAAGTTGGAGATGACTAAGGCCAGTTAATCTCGCTACAGAAGAATACTGCATGTTATTATTCTGCCATATTGTAACAGACATGAAAAAAAATCTGTTTAACACGACATCTTGAATTCTTGGTTTTTTTACCCATTAACTCCCAAGATCTGAATTTTAATTCTCCCCTCAGCTACTACAAATTTCCTTGCAAATGAGTTATGAGAATATGGTGTTAAATCAGGATAACATTTTCTATCTGATGAGTTTGATTATTCTTATTACCTACATCTGCTGGAAAGTGTGTGGTTATTATAGGGAGAAGTTACAAGTTAATCAGTTTTTGGAGTTAAAGGAATAACTTGCTGACAGAAGAATACTGTATTATATTTCTGCCATTTTTTTGAATAATCATGAAAACACTCAAAATAATCCTGATTTCTTGAATTCTTGGTTTCTTAAATTTTCCTGGTAATAGAAAGTAAAGATGGCTTTATTTCTCAGTAAAATTTTGTCCCTGATGTCTCCTAACCTTATAATATTCACACCAGGAACTTCACAAAATCTTGATTCCAGTGCTCAAAGCACATTACAATACTATAACAATAAAAAATTATTAAAAAAGGCACTTAGATACCATTGTAAATCATGATACAACCATCTTGAAACTTTATACAGTCTTCCTGATATGTATTTACAGTCACCTTGCATAGGATAATAAGAAGAATTTTTTATGTAATTGTCAACCAGTTGGAAGGCATAAATCTTATTTAATCACATTAGTAAATATGCTAAAAAGTAGTCAACACCCGCCAGATTTGAGCCAATTTTTTTTGCAGCTTCCTGACATGATCCACACAAGTTTATAATCTTATAAACTTTAAGATGGGTCATCAATAATTGTCTCAAAATTGTAAAAGTGTAGATTTTCTCAAATACCCATGAAATAATAAAACATCTTTTATCAAATTTCAGTACATAGATCAATTATTGGATAGATATTGTGCTTGGGGTAAATAATGTTGTGACTTATTCTTGTTATAAAGGGTGAGGTTATCAATGAATTATTTTATGGTTTCAATGATCTGTTTACTTTAAAATGAAGAAACATGTGGACACTGATTTGATTTGATTCTTGTGTATGGACCAATCACACTACAATTTTCAGTTGAGTGAGGTATGATGAAACTGCAGTAATTTGATGTCAAAATCATGCTGTTGTCATGTGTAACTGACTCTGTTACCTATGACATGTTAACTTCTTTTCACAGGCCTTCATGTTTGACAGTTGGTGACACATGGCTTGTGAGATTTGGTTACTATTGGAAACGATGAAGATTGGGTGTACCAACATTCTAACTTTATGATCAAAACTCTGTCAACAAATTTTTTCTTAGCCTCACTCAACTGATAATCTTAGTCAAAGTCCAAAACATACAAGAGAACATCAAAACCACAAAGGTATTACCACTGCTGTTTGCAGTTTAGTTTTCTGACCCAGTTAGCTTCCTCTTTGAAACACACAAAAAAATTTCGAATACACCTCTGATGTCCATGGTTCTCTGAGCTCTGTAGTAAACTGTTTAAAACTGAGTTTTCACTTTTTATAGCTTTCTTGTTTCTTAATCACAAAAACTTTCTAAAGATCCTCTGATTTCCATAGTTTTCTGAGCTTTATGGGTAACTGTTGCAGTTCTTTCCATGAACAAAGCTAAAACATTTGCTAAAAAAAAAAAAAAAAAAAAAACTTAAAGAGAAGTTCACAGACAACGTTGAAACAAAGAGAAACAAGGATGATTGAGGATGGTGAAGATTGGTACTGACTGAAAACGACACGCTTGCCAGAACCGGCTTCATAGGTAACTCATTCCCGCTACGGTATGGAAAACACTACTGAACTTTGGTGCGTTATGTAATTGGTTAAAACAAGTCTACTCATTCTCCACTCAATTCACTAACCAGATGTAAAACTTTGCTAATTCGGGTCTAGTCTTTTTACCTCCTTAAGGTCAGGTCAGGTCACGTGCGTGTATTTAAGCCAATGGTAACCACGCTTTTCCCCGCCCTTAGCTAGCATCACAGATGCGTCTCCACATGTAAGGTACACGGAAAATTCACAGTAATTGCTCACCCGTGCTTTGGAGCTATATCTGAACGTAAACCATGGGAAAGTTGCAAAAAAAGGCAACGAGAAAGTCGTAAAAATGAACATGTAACAAGCTGAACAAACCAGCTCTGTGAATTAGCGTAAAACGTGCGTTTTTAAGGGGATTTTCAGATGTTTACAAAGTACTCAGGAATTCAGCAATTTTCAGTGAGTGCCGTAAGTAATCCAAGATTGCATTGGTTTTACCTTATCACGTGGTTGATCCTGAAAACTCGCGTCACTCTCTCAACCAACCAGATGCAAAACGAACACCAATCATGACTTGGTTGCCAGCGTTTTGCTGCGCTTTTCTCAGGCAATCCGTGGTCGTTTTTACTTTGAATACCCATTGACCCTTTAGGTGTTTTCCTTTCTCCTGACAGGCTGTAGTGATTACTTTAGTTTTGGTATTACGACACTTAATCGCAAAGCGCTCTAACATGGTTCTCCGTAACAAGTAAAAGGGGCTCATTGGCAATCGACCAATACAAAAATGGAAACTAGTATTGTGCGGTTGAACGCAATATTCATTTCTTCGCCCAGTTCCTCAAAACTTCACTTCCTACAAAAGAATGTGGCACTCAGACGAAAGGCGAGGGGAAGAATGAAAATGGTGAGCGAGACTGGAGCTAGCTATCTTTTCGCTCGCGAGTCGCGAATCCCGCGTGAGAATGTGGGCGCCTTACAAGGATAAATCACCTAATAGTTTTTCAGTATAGCAGTTTTCAGATGCGACGACTGATTGCACATGAAATTAAAATCTTCTCTGCACTGGCATTACATCCAGTGAGGATATTAATATTTTTATTCACCCCCAACACATGTTCTACTTGCATAAACTAACGATCAATATTTCCCCCACAAAGAAAATAAGAATGTTGTAACAGATTGTAAAAAGAATGCAAAGTAGTCGCAACGGCGCGGCGGGTATTTGAGTCATTAGGGGATGCGTTAATGTAACCAAACGCTTAATCTTGCATGTAAAATTTTGTGCGGTAAACAAAAAAATTTCTTATAAATATTTCTCATATACTTTCTAAAAGTTCCCGTAATCTTCGTTCCAGGCCTCTCACGGCTCACAGATGTTCACAAATACGATCAATCTCGAGCCCAGGGTAATTTTGACTCCTCGCCTGCGGTGCTTGGCGACCATACAAACTGACAAGGAACCAAAATAACCTTGGGCTCGAGATTGAAATACGATCAAAAAACAACGATCTGGGAACGAAACTAGTATTTTCACTAATTGCCGCACTCTCTCCGTGACTGTTCCGCGCGTCTACTTTGCTATACACAGGGTCCTTCAGGCTGTTTCTGCAGTTATAGTTCCCATAAATTGCGCCCGTTTCATCGACTGTTCCATCCTCTGGGCCTTCACCATTATAAGAAAGCTAAGAAGGGACGTGGCCACCATCAAGTAAAAGGGCCCTGTCCAGCCGTACCTGTCAGCGATCCAACCCACAACGGGCCCTTCAATTATAGGGCCAACACCACCAAACCCTGAAAAGGAAAGGGGATATTAAACGTTAGAGCGCTTATCACCTGTGTGTTGGACAAAAAAGGTAAAGTAATGCGAAGGCATTACAGGAGGGCAAACTATTGTTTGTAAATTCCCGCCTCAAAGGCATTCTCTACACCCAGTATCTTCGCGGGTTTTGCTGTTCCCGTTGTCGTCTGTGTCCTTATTTCTTAGAGCCGCTTCTGTCGGAGTCGGGAAACCGCTTGTGGTCAAGTTGCGGTTGGTTGATTTTTCCGTCAGATTGGTGCAGATGGCGGCGCGAGTTTCCTTAATCGAGCACAGCGCGTATTGATAGAAACTCAGCCCCAACTGGAAATTTCTCAGACGAGCAATTATACACTACAATCTTCTTTCTCAAGATTTCGCCTAGCGTCCAAAACAGGTCTTTTTTTTCCTCTGCGTTTTTCACGCAAGCAGAGTGAAATGCGGCGCGAACACGAGGGGCCAGCGCAATGAGAGGGGCGCCCCTCGTGTAACCCTTGCGTTCACCTCCACGCGCCTGAAAGACTCCTATCCAGTAAATAAAAGTACACCCAACCCTCTAAATAAACAGGTTTGGGAAAGGGAAGGGGTTTATCCAAGCAACTAGATCTTGACAGCGACCCGATTCCTACCTACCATTGACAAGGCCAGTTGCAGCTGCCTGTGCATTATCCCGCTCACCAATCTCTGCAGGAATTGAACCACTCAAATACGGATCAACGCCACAATTGCAGGCTCCGGCCAGGAACATGAATAACGCGTTCACCATGAGGCCCCAGTCTCCCGTGTACTGGAAAAGAGCCATGAAAACTGTGCTTCCCAACAGAGCCAGAGTCACACCATATACAGCTCTACCCTGAAGTAACCTGAAACATAGTCAGTGATATTAATCTCTCTGAAACAAAAAAAAGGGAGCCGACGGAAAAGATTCATTTTTTCACTTTTCAGACGGGGGCTGGGGAGGCAAGGGGAGAAGGGGAAGGCAGGGAGAGGCGAGGGCCGGAGGTAGGAGGAAGTAAGAGGATGAGACCAGTGGGGAGGGCAAGGGAGATGAATGCAAGTAGTTCGTCAACGAAAAAGATTAGCTCTTGTTCTAGACTACGAGTATAGTCCTTGTCGTCGAAGCCTGTCGCGCGACTTCAAAAGAAAAATCAGCAAAAAACAAAATTGATGTTAACGCGCCGCGCGGAATTTCAGAGAGCGCACGAAAAGTGCCTCACTTTTTATTCGCTGTTTTTTTTTTCTTTTTGCTCGTCCGACGGACTTCGCCGAAAAAATAAAGATCACTCGTGGTCCATGTCTGTCCTAGAAGCTACATTGCGGTGTGCGCACAGGGCTGGTGATCCTAAGGTTAGTAATTTACTAATCAATTTGACTTGGCGTTGCAAATTCCGACTACCGTAACCGGTTTAAAATTTTATTCGTTCAAAGTCTCAGCCGCATTTAAAAGATTAGTCTTCACACCGAAACAGTGATACAAAAATGCAAAAATGGGAAATAGAGAAGGAATGATAAAATGTATTGTTGTTTTACGACTTTTATAACTTTTAATGGCGAAAAGGAAATGCTTATTTAGATACGGATGGTGCGTTCGTTTGTTGGTCAGACTTTCATAACATTTGGTGGCTCCTAAAGGAGCCGTTTGTTTTGGCGGGAAACCCACAAAGTGAGTTTACTTGCTGCTAGTGTACTTGGTCACAGCCTTTGTTCCTTCACTGACGGCGTGTTTGGCCAGTTCGCCTGGCAGAAGCAACCTGATGGCTGTCTGGATCTCACGAGAGCTGATGGTCGATTTCTTGTTGTAGTGGGCTAGGCGGGAAGCTTCGGTAGCGATGCGCTCGAAAATGTCGTTGACGAACGAGTTCATGATGCCCATGGCTTTGCTGGAGATACCAGTGTCAGGGTGAACTTGCTTCAACACTTTGTAGATGTAGATAGCATAGCTTTCCCTTCTCTTTCCTCTCCTCTTCTTCTTTCCATCAGCAGCAATTGCCTTTGCCTTTCCGGCTTTCTTCTCGCCTTTCTTTCCTGCAACTTTGGGAGCCATTATATCTGAAGAACAGTTGTAACCTCAATACCGGGCAACTCGATGCTTCTTCAATTTATAGTGAATAGACGGAAGGATCAATTATCATACGGATCGAAATCCTCGATTGCTGATTGGGTATCAACCCAAAATGACCGCAGAGGTCAAACTTCTTTGTATTTCATTTCTTTTGTAAACAAACCAGAGACAACGGTTATTGAAATTCAATCGGTCAACAAAGATGTGATTGGCGCTTTTCGATCCTTCGTGCATAAATAACTAACCATAATTATTGAAGTTCATTCATGCTCTTACATTCTCGCATCGAGTGAACCTTCCGAAATATTCAAACATGTCTGGTCGCGGAAAAGGTAAAGCTAAGGGCACCAAGTCTAAAAGCCGCTCATCCCGAGCAGGGCTTCAATTCCCAGTTGGTCGAATCCACCGTCTTCTCCGCAAAGGAAATTACGCTGAGCGTGTTGGCGCTGGTGCACCAGTGTACTTGGCTGCTGTGCTCGAGTACTTGAGCGCTGAGATCCTCGAGTTGGCGGGCAACGCTGCTCGTGACAACAAGAAAACAAGAATCATCCCCCGTCACCTTCAGCTAGCTGTCCGTAATGACGAGGAGTTGAACAAACTGCTGGCTGGCGTCACCATTGCGCAGGGAGGTGTTCTTCCCAACATCCAGGCTGTTCTTCTACCCAAGAAGACCGAGAAGAAACCGAAAGCCTAAACAAGCTTTCACTGCTTATACAAAACGGCTCCTTTAGGAGCCACCACATACGACAAAAGTCTCGATCAACCGTTTGTTATTCCTTAAAAATTCGTCAAACTTGCTTTAATTAAAAAAAATACAAATAAAATTGCCATAAGAGATACCACTTCCCCAGTTAAATAAAAGTATCCTATTCAGTCACTACAGGAAGTTTGGTCGCTACTTGTGGCAGTCGGAAAATTATGGTCAATTTTGTGATTTCAAATTCGATCTGAACATTAGGTGCTCCTGTCCCACAAGGAATTGGCGGTCATACGCTCATTTGGACGGACAATGGTTCGCCGCCAAAATCCATGTGCTTTCAAATGAAATTGATTCATGGTCAACGAAGTGTTTCGGTGATTTTCAATTCTTTCGCCAAACACCCACAATGCGCTATCCGGTTTTTCACCGGATCGATAAGAACGTTACAGAAATACCGCCAAAATTGACTCACACATCACTGATGAAAGAACTGATGTAAGATTCCAGCGTGGAAGATTATCTACACTGCGCTAAAAAGTAACTAATACATATATGCCGAAACTTTCCTCGTTTAATTTCCAAGTCCAAGACTATAATGGGAGTTTATCTGAACCGAAAGCGAGCAAAAGATCATAGTCCATTAGCGCGCACAAATTTTTGCGCTCCGAAGAACACGTTACCTACATTGTGCCAAACAGTATTGGATACTAATGTGTGACTAATCAATACTCGATCATCCAAAGCTTAAAAAAACAATATCTTAAAATATCTTGAGCTTGGTTATAGGATCTAAAGAGGGTACTAGGCATTAAGAACCATTATAACTCACAAATAGAGTGCACTATTCGCTTCCAATAGCTTACTATCATTTGCAAAACGAAACGAAATGCAAATCTTTAATCTGCGAAATTTAAATCTGTAATTTTCGAAAGAGAAATATGTAAATTACGAAACGAAAAATCTGTAATTTGCAAAGTAGAAATCTTATTTCGCAAATTACAGATTTTCATATCATTTCGTTCCGTTTACAGTAAGCCTTGAAAAGGAACGTTACAAAAATTGCGACATAATGTCCAAATGCGTGTTTGTGATCGCAAGGTCCAGTACCAAAGGTCAATCAGTCTTAGAAAGTAAACGAGACGCAGCAAGATCAAAACGGCCGCGAGCTTTCCCATAACCACTAATCCCAAACATAAAACCACTGGAGACAAGTAGGAAAGCTGTGTCCTCGCTCTTTGATTAGACACTTTGATTCTCTCTTCAAATTAAAATCGTATAAAACAATATTTCGCAACGAATTTTCGCAGAAGGATGCTGATACGCTGTGTTTAGTGCGGCTCCCGTCCTGGTGGGGTAGGTCAGTACATTTTATCAATGACGAAAACCATTTTATTGATTACGACTTTTTCAAGACTTGGTGGCTCCCAAAGGAGCCGTTTGTTTGTGTAATGAAGCGTCCGTCTAACCGCCAAAGCCGTACAGAGTGCGACCTTGTCTCTTCAGAGCGTACACCACATCCATGGCTGTCACAGTCTTTCTCTTGGCATGCTCGGTGTATGTCACAGCATCACGGATGACGTTCTCAAGGAAAACTTTGAGAACACCGCGAGTTTCCTCGTAGATCAGACCAGAGATACGCTTAACACCCCCACGGCGAGCAAGTCGACGGATGGCTGGCTTAGTGATACCTTGGATGTTATCCCGAAGGATCTTTCGGTGACGCTTGGCGCCTCCTTTTCCGAGACCTTTACCTCCTTTGCCGCGACCAGACATACTGATTGTTACTCGAGTGACTGAGTTATGACTGAATGAATTACGTTTCTGTTATTTTATAAGGGCAACTATGACCTCTCAGAAAACAAGACAGACGTAGCTTGGTATTGGTTGAATGCAGAACAAAGGGCTAAAGGCCAAATTAGTAATCAATCTCACAAACCAGCATGTTAGCACTCCTACTACTGCACGCTAACAACCTTTGCAATCAAACAAGTGTTGACATCTGTTTTATAAAAGTTCGTTTAAACTACCACTCAACCAGTTTAGTTGAGCATTCTCTCGTTTAAAGCAAGTTTTTACACTGCTCAAAGATGTTCCAAAGCCTTCTAAACTATTCCAGGTCGATTCGGATCGAAATACAACTACATAACTGTGATATTATATACAGTTCCCACACTCGACCAATCAGATCTCTTATTTTAAAGCCAATCAGATGCTAGCCCGCCAAGGTATAAATGGATTTGTAAGCAATCGGTATTATACTCAGTTAGCTTTCTTGTTACTCGAATCTTTTCAAAAAATGGCTCGTACAAAACAAACTGCGCGTAAATCAACTGGTGGGAAAGCTCCACGAAAACAGCTCGCCACAAAAGCAGCCCGTAAGAGCGCCCCTGCGACCGGTGGAGTCAAGAAACCTCATCGATACAGGCCTGGTACAGTCGCTCTTCGTGAGATCCGTCGTTACCAGAAATCCACCGAGCTGTTGATCCGCAAGCTGCCCTTCCAGCGTCTTGTGCGAGAAATCGCCCAAGATTTCAAGACCGATCTGCGTTTCCAGAGCTCGGCTGTGATGGCTCTTCAAGAAGCTAGCGAGGCTTACCTTGTCGGACTGTTTGAAGACACCAACTTGTGCGCCATCCACGCCAAGCGTGTCACCATCATGCCCAAGGACATTCAGCTGGCCCGCCGAATCCGCGGAGAACGAGCATAAGTGGACTGCATCAACATTCAAACAAACGGCTCCTTTAGGAGCCACCACATGAAAAAAAGCAATGATCAATGACTCCCTATAATACAATTGGGGTTTCAACTCCTAAGAATTGTCTCGCATCGACCTTCGTCAAGTTAGTGTCTTCCCTTGATAGGTTTTTTCTATCCTAGAATTACAGAGAAGGCTTCGGTAAAAGACTTCACGTGTTGATATAAAAAATTCGGTTCGAGAACGACACACTCTGTCAATGGTTACACATTCTCGTGTATATCATTTCAAAAGGAAAATTTTTATGATCGCTGTCACCATTAAATTTTTTGTGGGTGTGCAGTTTCAGCGAAATGATCATATACGTATCTTCGCATAAAAGATTTTTAACAGTCTGACCCTTAATGAATATTCTTTGGCGTATTATCCGAGATTGAAAAACAAACTCATACACACGCAAAACGAAAGTTCACTGTAGTTGCAGAGATAGCCAACCGTCGAAAGAGATAACATGGAAGCAAATTTTAAATGATTTATCCTAGATAGATGGTCCTAGTCTCCTTCGCAACCATTGTTTGGTCTCGTCACGCAGGAGACTTAAATGCTTCAATTTCTGCCAAAGTGCTCTAATAATTGAAATAGTAAAGAGGTCTTTACTGCTTACTAAGCTTGTCTAACGGATGAAGAAACTGTAAATTAACGAGGAAGCGTAGTATATGATCCTTTAAAAACCGACACGTCATGAAATTTTTCGAATTGATAACATTTTCATACTCTTTTGGAAAGCAGTCTGCTGTACGTTTAGTAAGATTCCAAACCTTGCAATTGTTCACCGATGTGTTTTCTAAATGTTGAGAAATGTTTCCACGCAAAAATTTATTTCCTAGATTTATTGTCAATTTTATTTTGTATTAAGTGAGTTGTAATTTCGTTACCGTTAAAGCACAGAGTCAACGTTACAATTAGAAGTAACATGTAATTGGGAGCGGCATAGGATAATCAAATTAGTTCAGCCAGCAGTGATGTATGAAATTAGGTATTTGCTAGGCGTTTAAGCGCGTAGGAACTTAACAGCATGATTGTCAAGTAGAGCCATATTTAATAGGAAATTAGTGCCTACGGATTGTTGTAGAACGTGAGTGAATCTTGAATCCCACATGGAACTACGCACCTGGGTGTGGATTTACTCAGCTAATAAATGTAACATTTTTGTAACCCTAAGATTAGATTGTAATAGAGTAGATAGATCCCAGAACGGAACATGTGATATTGAATTGTCGTCTATAAAGCCTGAATCAAGAGAAAGTATACAGTCCAAGATTACTGAACCAACGTGTGCGGAATTCTTAGCAACGCAAGTGGGAAATTCTGCGAAACTAAACAAGTTTGTCAAGAAAGGGGCAGTAATTTGAGGCAAGCTGTTTACATAGAGCCTTCCCACCAGCTGATTTGCACGCAGTTTACTTGGTGCGGGCCATTCTTTTAAAACGTTTCGAGACATTAAATATGTAAAACTAAATCTACTTATACCTTGGCGGGCTTGTATCTGATTGGCTATAAAATGAGTGATCTGATTGGCCAAGTGTGGAAACTGTAAATAATATCACAGTTATGTAGTCATATTTCGATCCGAATCGACCTGGTTTGTTTATAAGGCTTTGGAACATCTTTGAGCAGTGTTAAAACTTGCTTTAAACGAGAGAATGCTTAACGAAATTGGTTTTTGATAGTTCAAACGAACTGTCATCAACTAAATGTAAGCACTTGTTTGATTGCAAAGGATGGTAGCGCGCAGGCTAACAAATAGCTGTGCTTACATGATAATTTGAATAATATGTTTTGAAATAATTTGGCCTTTAGCCCTTTGTTCTGCATTCAACCAATGCCAAGCTACAACTGTCTTGTTTTCTAAGAGGTCATTGTTGACCCTATAAAATAACAGAAACGCTAGTCATTCGGGCAAAACTCAGTCACTCGAGTATTAATCAACATGTCAGGTCGCGGCAAAGGAGGTAAAGGTCTCGGAAAAGGAGGCGCCAAGCGTCACCGAAAGATCCTTCGGGATAACATCCAAGGTATCACTAAGCCAGCCATCCGTCGACTTGCTCGTCGTGGCGGTGTCAAGCGTATCTCTGGTCTGATCTACGAAGAGACTCGCGGTGTTCTCAAAGTTTTCCTCGAGAATGTGATCCGTGATGCTGTGACATACACCGAGCACGCCAAGAGAAAGACTGTGACAGCCATGGATGTGGTGTACGCTCTGAAGAGACAAGGTCGCACTCTGTACGGCTTTGGCGGTTAGACGGACACTTCGATACACAAACAAACGGCTCCTTTGGGAGCCACCAAATCTTATAAAAGTCGTGACCAATAAAATGATTGAAATAATCGATTAGAAAGATTGGAATCATATTTTTTCTTGCTACGTGAAGCGCGCACCCGAATGGCCACATTGAATTTCATTTTAGAGTACATTTTCTTGTCTGTTGAATTTGTTGAGTGTTAGAATTGATATAAACGGTCTGAGTTTTGTAATATTGTGGCTAATACAGCGAGCGAGAAAATTGCTTTCCTCAGTGTCTGGTTAGATTATTCAGTTTTGAAGTTCGAAAATTTGTAAAACAAGAAGTGGCCGTCTTTCGTTTTCTTGCGTAGTCATGAATCATAAATTTTCTCATATGTTGCAGCATGCTCTCTTTTATAGTTAATCACAATGCACATAGGCGCAAAAAAAGAGAACACTTCTACGGAGCATTGCCGGGTTTTTGGAAGCTTTGAACCATGCATTTTGTGGCCGCTATACTTACTGAGACGACCACAGGTGCAGCAGCGAATAACAAGAAAAATTTTTATATACCCTCCAGGCGTGACAAATTTTGCGCAATGTCTCTGATGTTCTTCCATCGAGTGGTCCAACGAAAAGAGAGAAACCTTTTCACTTTGTATCGCATTTGCAAGCGCAAAACATTCTAGACAGCTTTGCGTCATCGAGATCTGTCAAATATAAATATTCGTTGCTTTCTATACTTTGCGCAGTGTAGGTGATGAAAGAAAATGCGAGAAAATTTTGGCGCAATTCCTGTAACGGTCTAGGGACAATGCAGAAGAACCGGCTTACGTCGCGGATTTCTGCACATAAATCACATGTCAGAGTTGGTGTAATTTTAACTGAAAATTTGGGGTATTGTCACGGCGAAAGAATTGTGAACCACTAATAAAAAAAAAAAATTCATAGCCCACGAATCGACGTGAGTTGAAACGCAAGGATCTTGGCGGCTACCCAATTGGAGTCCAAAATCACTACAAAGAAAGACCGCCAAGATATTTTAAATCGGGAGCACATGATTCCATAATAACCTTAACGAATTTTAGTGCGTGAAAAAGGTCTTGACCAAACACCAAGCAACCACTCTTTCATGTAATTAATAAAGAAGATATTTTTGAACTGGAAAAGTGAGACAACTTCTGTTCAGGTTATCCTTTGAATGTTTGACGGATATGGAAGGAATAAAAGAACAATTGGTAAAGACTTTCATTGTATTTGGTGGCTCCTAAAGGAGCCGTTTTGTGTAAGTGAAAACATTGTCTAGGCTTTTGGCTTCTTCTCAGTCTTCTTGGGTAGAAGAACAGCCTGGATGTTGGGAAGTACACCTCCCTGTGCAATGGTGACGCCAGCCAGCAGTTTGTTCAACTCCTCGTCATTACGGACAGCTAGCTGAAGGTGACGGGGGATGATTCTTGTTTTCTTGTTGTCACGAGCAGCGTTGCCCGCCAACTCGAGGATCTCAGCGCTCAAGTACTCGAGCACAGCAGCCAAGTACACTGGTGCACCAGCGCCAACACGCTCAGCGTAATTTCCTTTGCGGAGAAGACGGTGGATTCGACCAACTGGGAATTGAAGCCCTGCTCGGGATGAGCGGCTTTTAGACTTGGTGCCCTTAGCTTTACCTTTTCCGCGACCAGACATGTTTGAATATTTCGAAAGGTTTACTCGTTGCGAGAATGTAGGAAAAAGAATGAATGAACGTCAGTATTTATGGTTAGTTATTTATGCACGAAGGATCGAAAAGCGCCAATCATATCTTTGTTGACCGATTGAATTTCAATAACCGTTGTCTCTGGTTTGTTTACAAAAGAAATGAAATACAAAGAAGTTTGACCTCTGCGGTCATTCTGGGTTGATACCCAATCAGCAATCGCAAATTTCGATCCGTATGATAATTGATCCTTCCGTCTATTCACTATAAATTGAAGAAGCATCAAGTTGCCCGGTATTGAGGTTGCAACTGTTCTTCAGATATTATGGCTCCCAAAGTTGCAGGAAAGAAAGGCGAGAAGAAAGCCGGAAAGGCAAAGGCAATTGCTGCTGACGGAAAGAAGAAGAGGAGAGGAAAGAGAAGGGAAAGCTATGCTATCTACATCTACAAAGTGTTGAAGCAAGTTCACCCTGACACTGGTATCTCCAGCAAAGCCATGGGCATCATGAACTCGTTCGTCAACGACATCTTCGAGCGCATTGCTACCGAAGCTTCTCGTCTGGCCCACTACAACAAGAAATCGACTATCAGCTCCCGTGAGATCCAGACAGCCATCAGGTTGCTTCTGCCCGGCGAACTGGCCAAACACGCCGTCAGTGAAGGAACAAAGGCTGTGACCAAGTACACTAGCAGCAAGTAAACTCACTTTGTGGGTTTCCCGCCAAAACAAACGGCTCCTTTAGGAGCCACCAAATGTTATGAAAGTCTGACCAACGTACGAACGTTAAAGGTTTTAAAAGTCGTAAAACAACAATGCATTTTATCATTCCTTCTATATTTCCTATTTTTCATTCTTGTATCACTGTTTCGGTGTGAACGAATGAAATTTAAAACAGATTTGAGTAGTCGGAACCTGCAACATCAATGATTAGTAAATTACTAATTTTAGGATCACTAGCCCTGTGTGCAGACCGTAATTTAGCTTACAGGACAAACATTGACAACGAGCATTCTTTCTTTCTAGGTGAAGTCCGTGGCGCGATTAAAAAAAACAGCGAATAAAAAGTGAGGCGCTTTTTGTCGTGCGCCACACTTCCGAAATTCCGCGCGGCGCGCCAACATCAATTTTGTTTTTTACTGTTATCTTCTTGCATAACTTAATCGCGTGGAGATAAAGGTTTTTTTTTCCTACAATTTCAATATGATTTATTTCAGACTTTTTTAATCCTAAGATTGATACGGTCATCTATGAGGAGTTCAGCGAGAATCGCTTGTGCCTGAGCTGAAAAGAACGAGTGGCTAACGCTTTTTTGCGCGTAGAAAGGTAACATCGGGTTAGATTCTGAATCGTCCCTTGTCGCTGATAGCGGGAAGGATGCTTATACACAATATATATTAATTAACTTCACTGATGCTAACCTTAAAACTGCTGAGCTATCAGTTCATGGAAGGGAGGCGAAAAAGCGGGCGTTCAGAAAACCGCGGGAATGAGGCGAAGGAAAACCGCAGCCCTGATAACCGCCGTTTTTGCTGGCACAGTCTTGGTCCTTTAACAACTGACATGACATAACATTTTGCAAACTGATAATATTTCATACTCTTTTTGAAAGCAGTCTGCTGTACGTTTAGTAAGATTCCAAACCTTGCAATTATTCACCGATCTGTTTTCTAAACAATTTTGTCAAGAAAGGGGCAGTAGTTTGAGGCAAGCTGCTTACGTGGAGCTTTCCTACCAGTTGATTTACAAGCAGTTTGCTTTGAGCGGGCCATTCTTTGAAAACGTTTCGTGATAACAAATATGTAAAACGAAATCTATTTATACTTTGACGGGCTTGTGTCTGATTAACTATAAAATTAGTGATCTGATTGGCCAAGTGTGGAAACTGTAAATAATATCATAGTTTTGTAGTTGTATTTCGATCCGAATCGACCTGGAATGGTTTATAAGGCTTTGGAACATCTCTGAGCAGTGTAAAAACTTGCTTTAAACGAGAGAATGCTTAACGAAATTGGTTTGTGATAGTTCAAACGAACTGTCATCAACTAAATGTAAGCACTTGTTTGATTTGGTAGCGCGCAGGCTGACAAATAGCTGTGCTTGCGTGATAATTTGAATTATATGTTTTGAAATAATTTGGCCTTTAGCCCTTTGTTCTGCATTCAACCAATGCCAAGCTACGCCTGTCTTGTTTTCTGAGAGGTCATTGTTGCCCCTATAAACGCTAGTCATTCGGGTACAACTCAGTCACTCGAGTATTAATCAACATGTCAGGTCGCGGTAAAGGAGGTAAAGGTCTCGGAAAAGGAGGCGCCAAGCGTCACCGAAAGATCCTTCGGGATAACATCCAAGGTATAACTAAGCCAGCCATCCGTCGTCTTGCTCGCCGTGGCGGTGTCAAGCGTATCTCTGGTCTGATCTACGAAGAGACTCGCGGTGTTCTCAAAGTTTTCCTCGAGAATGTGATCCGTGATGCTGTGACATACACCGAGCACGCCAAGAGAAAGACTGTGACAGCCATGGATGTGGTATACGCTCTGAAGAGACAAGGTCGCACTCTGTACGGCTTTGGCGGTTAGACGGACATTTCACACAACAAACGGCTCCTTTAGGAGCCACCAAGTCTTAAAAAAGTCGTGACCAATAAAGTTGTTGAAATAATCGATTAGAAAGAGGCTGGAATTATATTATTTCTTGCTACGTGAAGCGCGCGCCCGAATAGCCACTTCAGAGTACATTTTCTCGGGGTTTTGTAGAATATGAAGTGGCCGCCTTTCATCTTCCTGCGTGTCCATGAAACATAATTGTCTTTAAATGTTGAAGCATGCGATCTAGTAATGTTACTCACAATGCACAGAAACGCAAAAAAAAAAGAGAACACTACTACGGAGCGTTGCCGGGTTTTTGAAAGCATTGGACTGTGACATTTTGTGGCCGCTATACTAACTGAGACGACCACAGATGCAGTATCGAATAACAAGAAAAATTTCAATATACCCTCCACGCGTGACAAATTTGGTGCAATGTCTGACGTTCTTCCATCGAGTGGTCCGAGGAAAAGAAAATAAACTTTTCACTTTGTGTCGGGTTTGCAGGTGCAAAATATTATAGACAGCTTTGCGTCATCGAGTGCTGATCAGTCAAATATAAATATTTGTTGCTTTATTTACTTGGCGCAGTGTAGGTGATGAAAGAAAATCCGAGAAAATTTTGGCGCAATTCCTGTAACGGTCTGGTGACAAGGCAGAATGACCGGTTAGCGTCGCGGATTTCTGCACGTAAATCACATGTCAGAATTGGTGCATTTTAAACAGAAAAATTGGTGAATTGTCACGGCGAAAGAATTGTCAAAAAAATTAATAGATCACGAATCGACGCAAGTTGAAAGCGCAGGGATTTTGCTGGCTAACCACTTGCAGTCCAAAATCGCGTCAACGAAAGACAGCCAAGTTATTTGTGAAAAGGTCTTGACCACAATTTTAACTGCTGCAGCAAGCAACCACTCTATCGTATTGTAAGTAAAGTGGATGTTTTTTAACTGGGAGAGTGGAACCGTTTCTGTTCAAGTCATCTTTTTGTAGTTCTGAGTTTGAGTATGTTTGACGGATATGAAAGGAATTAAAAACCGTTGATAAAGACTTTAATTGTATTTGGTGGCTCCTAAAGGAGCCGTTTGGTGTAGGAAGTGGAAAACTTGTTTAAGCTTTTGGTTTCTTCTCGGTCTTCTTGGGTAGAAGAACAGCCTGAATGTTGGGAAGAACACCTCCCTGTGCAATGGTGACACCGGCAAGCAGTTTGTTCAACTCCTCGTCATTACGGACAGCCAGCTGAAGGTGACGGGGGATGATTCTTGTTTTCTTGTTGTCACGAGCAGCGTTACCCGCCAACTCGAGGATCTCAGCGCTCAAGTACTCGAGCACAGCAGCCAAGTACACTGGTGCACCAGCGCCAACACGCTCAGCGTAATTTCCTTTGCGGAGAAGACGGTGGATTCGACCAACTGGGAATTGAAGCCCTGCTCGGGATGAGCGGCTTTTAGACTTGGTGCCCTTAGCTTTACCTTTTCCGCGACCAGACATGTTTGAATATTTCGAAAAGTTCACTCGATGCGAGAATGTAAGAGAATGAATGAACTTCAATATTTATGGTTAGTTATTTATGCACGAAGGATCGAAAAGCGCCAATCACATCTTTGTTGACTGATTGAATTTCAATAACCGTTGTCTCTGGTTTGTTTACAAAAGAAATGAAATACAAAGAAGTTTGACCTCTGTGGTCATTTTGGGTTGATACCCAATCAGCAATCGAGGATTTCGATCCGTATGATAATTGATCCTTCCGTCTATTCACTATAAATTGAAGAAGCATCGAGTTGCTCGGTATTGAGGTTACAACTGTTCTTCAGTTATTATGGCTCCCAAAGTTGCAGGAAAGAAAGGCGAGAAGAAAGCCGGAAAGGCAAAGGCAATTGCTGCTGATGGAAAGAAGAAGAGGAGAGGAAAGAGAAGGGAAAGCTATGCTATCTACATCTACAAAGTGTTGAAGCAAGTTCACCCTGACACTGGTATCTCCAGCAAAGCCATGGGCATCATGAACTCGTTCGTCAACGACATCTTCGAGCGCATCGCTACCGAAGCTTCCCGCCTAGCCCATTACAACAAGAAATCGACTATCAGCTCCCGTGAGATCCAGACTGCGATCAGGCTGCTTCTGCCCGGCGAACTGGCGAAACACGCCGTCAGTGAAGGAACAAAGGCTGTGACAAAGTACACTAGCAGCAAGTAAACTCGCTTCGTGGGTTTCCCGCCAAAACAAACGGCTCCTTTAGGAGCCACCAAATGTCATGAAAGTCTCACCAACGTACGAACGTCTCATCCGTATCTAAATAACCATTTTTCTTTGAGCCATTAAAAGTTTTAGAAGTCGTAAAACAACAATGCATATTATCATTCCTTCTCTATTTCCAATTTTTGCATTCTTGTATCACTGTTTCGGTGTGAAGATTAATCTTTTAAATACGGCCGAGACTTTAAACGAATGAAACTAACAACTGATTACAGTAGTAGGAACTTGCAACATCGAGTCAAAATGATTAGTAAATTACTTACTTTAGGATCACTTGCCCAGTGTGCAGACCGCAAATTAGCTTACAGGACAAACATAGACAACGAGCATTTCTATTTCGGCGAAGTCCGTCGCGCGAGTAAAAAAACAGCGAATAAAGTGTAAGGCACTTCTTGTCGTGCGCCACACTACCGAATTTCCGCGCAATTTTTTTTTTGCTGTTTTCTACTTGCATAACTTTATCTCATGGTGATAAAGTCTTTTTTCCCCCTACAACTTTAATATGTTTAATTTCAGACTTTTAATCCTGAAATTAATACGGTCTTCTAAGAGGAGTTTTGCGAGAAACGCGCGTGTCTGAGCTGAAAAGAACAAGTGGCTAATCGCTTTTTTCGCGTAGAAAGGTTACATCGAGTTAGATTCTGAATCGTCCCTTGTCGCTGATCGCGGGAAGGATGCTGATACACAATACATTTTGAAAATTAATTTCGCTGATGCTAACCTTAAAACTGCTAAGCTATCAGTTAGTGGAAGGGAGGCGAAAAAGCGGGCGTGCAGAAAAAGGCGGGAATGAGGCGAAGGAAAACCGCAGCCCTGATAACCGCCGTTTTTGCTGGCGCAGTCTTTCGCTTGTCTCTCGGTCAGCAATTGAACGCTGATGGCATAGAACTGAAATGATTCACACTCCTACTAAAACAATTTCCAACCATTTTACCTGGTTACGACAAAGCCCAACGCGGTAGTACCCACGACTCCTCCTATTTCAAACACTGTGGACAAGTAGCCCGCCTGGATTTTGGTGTAGTTGAGCTACGAGTAAAAAGCATTTTTTAAACCATCAGATCTCAAAATCCAATCAACCACCTAGCTACTATTCATTGCGTCTAAATTATTTAACAGAGACTGTTTTTCTATCTGTTCTTAATTGTATACTCTTATAACAGAGGCATAACAGCGAGTTGGTGTTCGACTAGGAGGCTTATTAGAGAAGGGGCTTCATAGAGAGGGGGCTTCTTAGAGAGGGGGCTTTTTAGAGAGGGGATTATTAGAGAGGGGCTTATAAGAATGGGAGCTTCAAAGAGTGGGGGCTCCATAGAGAGGAAGCTCCATAGAGAGGGGCTAAATTGAGAGGGGCTAAATTGAGAGGGGCTTAACAGAGACAGGGACCAAACAAGAGCACGTGGGGTATATCAAGGTCACACTAGCCAAATTCTTTTGTACTCCCAGTATCGGTTTATTTCCTATTGTGTTAAAGTTGCTGGGTGAAATTAAAAGCATATTGTTGTGATCATGTCTTATTCTTTTTATTAGCCTGGGCCGGGTGGTTTAAAGCTATGTTCAGATGACCTAGGATTAATGGGAAATCGGATTTTAGATCTGTTATTTAGTATAATTCTTTTGGTCTACAATTTGATGATTAGATGCTCTGAAAAGAATAGCCCAAACGGTTCTTGAACAAAGGCATAAAGAAACCAGTGAATATATTGCTCACCTAGTTTTCTCAGTACGTACCGTAAGTTACGGAACCTTTTTTTTTCCGGCTCTGATTTAATATGTTCTCGCTTGGGCCATGAATTCAAGCAGAAAACAACTGGTCTGTAACCTACAGTACAGACCTTAAACTCGGGTGGAAGGAGGTGTAGGAACATGCCTAGAGTTATGGGAGTCATCTAGGGCAAAATACTTGAAAAGTCTTGGAAATACAATGAATTAATGTTAACCCTTTAACTCCCATGAGTGATCAAGAGAGAATTTCTCTTTACAAAATCAATACAATATCAACCAGATAAGTAATGAGAATAAAGAAAAATATTAATTTGGGGATAATTAGTTGATCCGATATTAAATTCTCTGAACTAACATTATAAGAATATTGTATGGTTGACAGTAAGGAGAATTACGAACTTGATCTGGTAATTAAAGGGTGAACTGCACTTACCGCTTGGTAAAGATACATCGGCAGCCACATGTACATACAATATCTGACCAACTTTACACAACAAGTAGCCCAGCTGAGTTCTGGGATCATCCTAAACACAAATCAAATTGTTAAGATGAGGCATTAACATGAATGAATTGCATACAGATGCAGAAGTTTTTAGGAAGTGGAGCCTAAGACCTAAAGCAAACCCATGCACACTGATGATATGGGCTCATTTATTGAAAGGGCAGCCAACACTATCCTATGGAAAAATTTCTATCCAGGGGATAAATGATGACCAATATAAAAATTACACACTTATAATTGGCTGAAAACTAGTGCATTCTCTGGTAACATGAATTTAAAGTTGTAAAACGAGTGCAAAGTTGTAACTCAAGTGGTGCACGCACCCTTTCAAAATTTCATTTGTCTTGACTTTCTGTGAAGTTTTTTTATATAGTTTTACATTATTACCAAGTAATAACATAATTTCAAGTGCAATTTGATGTAATAAGCACTTGTAAATCAGTTTTCCAAAGACTACAAATTGCACTTGCCCTACAGGCTCAGGCAATTTTGTTGTCTTTGAAAAATTTACTCATGGGTATTAACACCAAATTGCACTAGAAATCATGTTATTACCTACACTTACTACACTTACTGCACTACCCACCAAATAAAGATTTATCCAATGGATAGTGTTATCCACCCTATAAACAATTAGGGCCAGTTAAGAAAAGCATAGCAAAAAAGAAGGCCTTACCTTAAACTCCACAGTTGACTATAACTCAATTGAGCTGGTGGGTTACCAGTTTCTGGAGTATTTGAAGGGGTCTCAGCTGATTCTTCAAACAAACAGAGATAGGTTATTTTTATACATTCAAATTGCTATCACTTCTCTAATGGGTCAAAAGCATACAGCGAATTTTCAAAATCAGCACCTGGGATGTCATCTAGCTGCAGATTATACAATAATCATATGTCAGGGAAACTCATGGTCACAGGTAATCATGTCATGTATGAATGCAGTGCATGATTTCTAAGGGTAATCATGTGTTTCTCACTGATTTGTATATTTTTACTCATTTAGAAATAAATAATCAGTTTCACTTACTGTCATAACCATTTTTTCAAAATTAAATGAGTAATAAGACAATTATTAAATTCAGTTTTGGTGATGTTCAGAATATTTAAGTTCTCGGTTACGATTATCAGCCAAAGTCAAAGGCTGAGGCTGATAACCCCTACTCAACCCTGATTATTCTGGATATCACAAAAATCTAATCCAAAAATTGTTTTTAAACAGGGTGCTGTGGTGCTGCCTCGAAGGAAAGTACTGCAAGATAATTTGGTTTAATCAACTGAGTTGATTAAATGTAAATTGGCCACTTTGACGAGCTATGAAGGTGATGTTAAGAGCATTGGCTCTTCATCCAAGAAGAGAGCTAACAAAGGACTTATGCTCAAGGCAACAGCTGTAGAAACTCTCTATAGTGATTAACTCAAATCATCAACTCAAATAATAAACATAATTATCCAGAGACAAGATAAAGGTGATAAACAGGTTCTTTCTTCTCCCACTTCCATACATTTTCCCATGCATAGGTTTTGAAAATACAGTTGGAGCATATCAGCTAAATTATGTTATCCTGATTAAATGCCAAATCCTTTTAACTTAGCTAAATCAAATTGTATTAATAGTGACTAGAGAGGAGAATTATACATTTGATCAGGGCAGTTTTAGGGTATAATTTACCTGCATTAGCATCAGGAATCCCAAGTTCTGAAGGAGAATTGAGGAACAAGTAATCCAAAATACCAATGATACCCTACAAAAGGAAATTACAAGCAAAAGGTCTGTCTAGGTCATAAGATCTTATACCACTTCAACACTGATCAGCAAATAGCAGAAGATCAATGTACAAGCTATAAAAGAAGAGAAGGTTAATGACAAATTGCCAGTTGTCTGAGTTTAGTTTTACATATTTCAATGAAGGCTTTTTTTCCGAGAGGAATCTCTTATAATTTTTTTTCTTTTAAAGAAAGTTTAGAAATGCAAGGTTGTTAACCATTTGACTCCTAATAACTAGAATCTAATTTCTCCTTACAATATCACCCCTGAATCAAACATAAAGGTTATGAGAATTAACAAAATTATCACCAAACAAGAGGCTCTTGACTGTCAAACAGATTCTCCTTGTCAGTACCTTAAGAAACGTATGGAGAACAGTATGGAGAATATGCATACTGATATTAGGGTGTAAAGGGGTGAAATGAATTCATAGAAAACCTACCACAATAATAGATGGTATCAAAAAGATCATCTTCATATCTGGAGCAAACATAGACAGTAGTTGAACCTACAATAAAAAATGAAAAATAAAAAAAAAAAACACTTTTCATTTATTGAAAAAAATAAAATGAATTGATGAAATTTACCATGAACAGAAAACTCTTCTAAACCCTTTAACTCCAAAGTGTGACCAAGACAGAATTTCTCTTTACAATATCAATACAAAGTTAAGCAGGCAAGTGGGGAGAATAAAGAAAAATGTCACTTGGAGAATTATTAGTTGATCCAATTCCAAGTTCTCTGAACTAATATCATAAGAATTGTATGGCAGACAGTAAGGAGAATTACTCATAAGATCTAGGGAGTGAAAGGGTTCACAGCTGCAGTACTCACAGCCATTGCTGTTCCCAGAATTCCTCCTGCAAAACTACTGGTTCCAAACAAACCAAAAATGGTCATCCTTTGCTTATTGCTAAACCATCCAGTCAGTGATTTAACAGCGTTTGGCCAGGCTGTAGACTATGATGAACATTTATTTAAAATTGAGTTATTACAAATAACATCTTAATTGTAAGTGGAATAAGAACAAATATGGTAAATTCTGAGCTTAGTAAAGAAATAGTGCAAGATGTTTTTTCATCTTGTCTGAGCGTGGGATAAACTAGGAAAAATTCTGAGTCCTGGGAGGAATTGAACCTCGAACCTCAAACCTTAGGATTCTGTGCTCCAATTGCTCTTATTCCCCCCTGAGTGAGCCAAGTGAGACAAGAGCCTGCTTATGTCAGGGATGAGCCACATAACTTGTGGAAAGTAAAATATTGGGATGAATTTGTATAGCACATTCTCCATATGAATATTATGCTCTAATACACTTTATGGTACTTTTTAAGGGACTTCAGCTAAACTGCATTGAGCAGTTTACAACTTTTTGTTAAGGAATTTTGCAGGTGCCCCCAATTATAACTTATAAATATTAACCTGAGCTGTTCCATTCAAGAAAAGGAGAACTGAAAACATGAATACGCTGTTCCAGTAACCAAAGGAAATCTAAAAACAAATGAAAGTTAGACAACAATTATTGTCAGTAACTCATCAAAAATATCAGCATATGTGTACATGCGTGCCTTGGGTTTTGAGGATTTTGTTCATAAGAAGCCCTTTTTCTTTAGATCTGTTATCAGTAACCAAAATAAAAGGAAACAAAGTTCATGACTTTCAATAAAAATTATAATCTCAAGTCAGAATTAATTTCATTGAACATTATAGTCTGGGCAATGGTCAACCTTTTAAAATTGTAAAAGTCCTTTAGTTCACCCAGGAGTGATTAAAATGAAATTTCATATTACAACAGCTATATTCTTTTAATCAGAAAGGTGATAAGAATAAATAGATACAAAATATCAACAAGTAGTAACTGTCGGTATTCTTATAGGCAACAGCAAATAAGCCAATCAGATTGCAACATAACTTCTAATTGTGATAAAAAATACTAACTGAAAGTCAGAATAAACACATGTTATTCTGCCTCACCATTGATAGTGAAGAGCATATCAAACAAACAGCCAATGCTCTCCGAGGCCCATATTTGTCACCAAATGATGATAATGTCATCTATAAATAATGAGAATACCTGTTAAAATAACTAACAATCAAAAATGCATTCAATAAACATCTTAACCCTTTAAATCAGAAGAGTGATCAGCCTCTAATTTCTCCTTACAGTTATATTGCTGTGTCATTCATTAAGATCATGAGAATAAAGTAAATGATCAGCAACCTTAGAAGCTTTAATTTTAAACAAACTCTCTTTTTCAGTACTAAAAGAAAATGGATAGAGAGGAGTATGAAGACTATTGATACTGATTTAAGGGTGTAAATGCATAGGTTAACCCTTTAACCCCTAAGAGTGACTAACATCTAATTTCTCCTTACAATATCACCCCTGAATCAAACATTAAGGTCATGAGAATAAAGGAAATGATCACCAACTAAAGAATCTCTTGATTGTTGAACAAATTCTCCTTGTCAGAATCCTAGGAAATGTCTTGGGATTAGTGTGGAGAATATGCATACTGATGTTAGTGAGTAAAGGGTAAATAAATCTTAAGAGCAACCAGTATCTTATTTCTTCTTACAGTTATACTGCTGAATCATACAAAGAAGTTCATGAGAATAAAGGAAATGATTGTGAATCCTAAGAAGCTTTGATTGTTGAACAAATTCTCTTTGTGAGTACCAAAGGAAACTAATGTATAAAGCTAAGAGGAGTATGGAGAATTTGCATACTGATGTTGAGGTGTTAAGGGTTAAGTTTACTTGAAAGCTCTTTGTTGTTGGCTTAAAACTTGTAAATCTGTGACCAAAACAAAAAAACCAGAATTAACACCATTTCAGTGCAAGAAATTTAGTTTGAATCTGACAGTTGGTTAGTAACTAAAGACAAAATTGAGACTGGCGAGATGGTAAGGCAGTCTTGCCTGAAAGACAAAGAGCCAAACTAACAATTCCAGCCACACAACTCTGTATTCTTGCCTTTGGATGACTCAGATTATTGCAGCGTGATATTAATCCCAGGAAGATGTTTTCTTGCATTACAATGACCACTTTTTGGAAGACCCTACTAACCTCATTGTGATTACCCTTCTCAACCCTTTGACCCATGAGAGTGACCGGAATCTAATTTCTTCTTACAATAAAACCCCTCAATCAAACATTAGGTAGCGAGAATAAAGAACATGATCAGCAACTAAAGAAGCCCTTGATTCTTAGACAAGTTCTCCACATCAGCACCTTAGGACATGTATATAGAACAGTGTGGAGAATATACCAACTTAATCTAAGGTTAATTAACAGCAGTCTGAATTGAATACCTGCATAACAGCATATGGCAATAAGAAAGCTGTGTCCAAAAAACCAAGTTGTGTTCTTGATAAATTGTATACTTTAGCCATATCTGCTTTGACCTAGACATGATTGATGCACAGGAAACACAAAACAAACTTTTACTTATTGAGTAATTAAATTCAGAAAAATTCCCTGAAAAAAATAGCAGTTAACTGGGCAAGCAACGCAGAAGAGGTAACAGTTCAAACTTTGGAAAGATCTTCATATTTAAAAATTATTCACCCAAGTGGAGGTGATTAGTGGTGGGTATTTATCACACGGCAAAGCAGTGAGATATTTAACCAACACTTTTCACCATTTCTGAGGTGAATAATTGTCTTAATATGCACCAAACAGATACCAAAAAATAAGTATATTTCTTTCAAAATACCAAAAAAAGGTCAGAGATATAGAATTAAGTTGTAAGATCTGCCAAATCAACATGGCTCAGGGCTCAACTTTGAAAGTTCCTCATAAATCATGAAGTGCTAGTTATTTAAAGGAGGTCTAACCCAAACTGCAGTTTTTACACAAGCATCAAGCTTTAAGTATTATCTAATTACATTCCTTTCACTCATTAACTTCCACAATCTGATTGTTAATTCTCCCCATTACCAGCTTCCCATTTCCTTGTAAATTTAGCTCTGAGAATTTTGTGTTAGATCAAGTTAACAACTTCTACCTGATAAGTTTAAATATTTTCATTACCTATTTACTGGATAATGTAAGGATATTATGGGAAGAAGTTTCAAGTTGATCACTTCTGGGAGTTTAACAAAGGGTTAAATAAATTTCCTTTCACTCTTAGCTTTCAGCCCTCTTAACACTAATCACAAAAAAAAACTGTTCAGATAAAAGGTTTGTCTAAATTAAATATAGTTTAGAATGCATTTTAGTTAAGCTGCAGCTAAACTTTATTTAAATAACGAGCCCCAAGAGTCTTTTTTTTTTCTATTTTTCTTTTTGTTTTTTGTTTTACTTTTGAAGTAACAAGGTAGAAGATATTTTGGAAAAAAACTAGTTGTCATGGCTACCTTTCTAAGTTGGAAATTAACGATTTGATCAAATTCATGATGTTTCCATTTCATCTCCTCCAAACTCCTCTGATAAATCAAGGCGTTACTTACTTACAACCTCGTCAAATAAATGCAAAACAGATTCAAAAGCGAAACGCTCTGCTGAATTTTAAGCCCACAACCAATATTTAATTTGCTATTTTTAACTTTCTATGACCTCGAATATCTGGATATTAGACGTCTTCTAAGGAAAATAATTTAACATGTTTTATATTAATTTATAGTTTGTAAGACTGGATGTTCAGAGAGGTTGATGCGATTCTTACCACTCCTAATGGTTTGCGAAGCAAGTAGGTTGACGCGTAACTCAGCCAGTTCAACAAAAGAGTAAAAAACTGTCGGCTTTTATACCCATCCATTGTCGCCATCGCTCATTAAACAGAATTAAGGTGATAACGAATAAGTGAAGTTACGGAAGAGAGAAAGGCCTTGATTATCGAGAAACAAATAAGATTGGGCAACTCCACAACACCATCGATCAGGACGCCATGTTGAATTTTAACCAAGCGAGGATTGGGGCGAATGTAAACCCATGCTGCGGAAATGCGGTCATTTAATTTTATTCAAATCAAAACAAATTGAAAACAGTCAGCAAAGGTAATTTAAAATTTCGGAGGTCTTTCAGAGCAATTTTTTTGTCTTTTTCCTCTTTTGGGCCTAGTAAAATTGTATAATTCAAATTGAATCGCAAAATTTTATTCTGGAAAAATTTAACTTAGTGCTAATGGCAGTGAAACAACAGGAGTGTGAGCTATCTTTTTTTCCTTGCATGTCATGGCGGAGAATTGTCTTTGGACGTGACATTTGCACAGATCAGACAGATCAATTCACAGATTTCATAAGTTAAAAGAATATCATTCCCGTTCGTAACTTGAGAGAATTTTGTTAAGTTAGTTTCAGTCTTGTGATTTAAAAATTTAAAGGCCAATTAAGGCGTGAACGTCACCTGGCAACAGCCAATCAGAGCAAAGTACTAGCCAACAACTGGAAGTAGCAAGGCTGTTTTTTAAAGAACGGCCATTTTGACGCGACATCGCTCAACGAACGCTTTCGCTTAAAACGAAACGGAAAAGAGACGCTTTATTTGTAAAATGTCGAGAAGGATTCATCCCGCATTTCAGAGTAAAACAGTGGTAAAATTGGAGTGTAAATATTGCGAGAGAAGCATTTGTGCCCGCGGGATGAGAGCACTTCTGCTGGCCGACACGAAAGTAGAGTTGTACTCGACGGATTTACCTCCTGAAAAGTGAGCAAAGTGTATTTTGACGCGGAAAAATTACGTCTCTCCTATCCTTTGTAGCTTTGTTGCATTACTTAACGCTGTTTCATATTTTTTCCAGCTCCATTCAGTTAATAGGAACAGATTACTCCACACAAAACTGTGAATGTCGGATCAAAGATGTTGCCTGTCTCGGGTGGTAAGTGTTGACTGGTTTTCACGCTGAATTGGCTTTACATTTATTGAGCACATCCCTGGTTTTTGTTATGTTCTCTAAATAGAGTATTTTTGTTTGTACCAGTGGAAATGTCGTTGGATATCATGTAACACTTCCATGCCAGTCTTGCATTCGATCCTGCAATAACGGCCATTTTTGGATGTTTCACTCCAATGCGGTTCATCCCCTGGAAAGACTCGATCAAACAGGTATGGAAACGAAAGCATCGATACGGAAAGCTTCCGTTAACTTTTCTCTACATAAGGATGTTATTTAAAAGTTATGTTACTCAAACACGTGGAACACCCATCTCAAACAGCTGATGTCTAGCAAAAGGTGTTCCAACTGGTTTTGTTATGGATTAAAATTTGTTTGCTTTAATTTGAAATGTTAGCAAAATCCATTAAATGATGTGGCTTGATTGCAGCTCTTTCCTTTGACGTCAATTCTGTTTTCGAATATGGCCTTTCGTTTGTTCGAATAATTTGTATTGAGGCTTTCCAAACAATTTTCACTTTCGAGGAACAAAAATAAATATTAGCAAAAACAATGTTAACCCGTGACTGTTACCTCCCGTGGTCATCCATTGTCATCTGCAGACAATTGAAACTCAAAGATAAAATTTAAAACATTTGAATATTTTCGGAAAAGTAACTTTTTCACAATACTTTGAAGGCTGCTTCATGTTGTTTGTTCATGCAATGCGTCACTTAATGTCTCGGTAATGTTGTGGACAGTTAAGGAATTTTTTTAGTGTGAAAGGTCGTGATCTAATGGGCAGAAATTGATAGAATTTCTCTGATGAATAAAACTAAGATTTTGTAGCATGTTATCATTTTGGTTTACATGCCTCAAAACTATCCTTTACAATTGAAGGTCTACAAGACATCAATTAAGTCCTGGGATAACAGTTTCCACTCGATAAGTTTGAGTATTCTCATCACCTCTTGTTGGATAATTTATTGATAGTAAATAAGGAGAAGTTACATGTTATTCACTTCTGGAAGTGAAAGGGTTAGACACATATGAACCCCATGGAGTGTTTTGCCTAAGAACAGAACACAATAACCCATCTAGGACTGAAACCCTGATCCTAAATTCAGCATGCTGACTGCAAGGTCACTTTATCTTTCATCATACAATTAGACATTGTTGGTTGAAGTCATGATTGAAGTTTATTTCTTTCTTGTAGGAGTTCAGATCATGCTCTGGGGATCTCTCCCCAACTGCAAAGAAGACCAGGAAATGAGTGATGACGACCTCATGATGGAGGAGTGCTTGAGATGAATTTATAGAAATTGAGTATTTTATAAAATGTAACTAACAGAAAAGTAATATTTATATCTCATAGGAGACAAAATCAGTGTAAATATGGTTATGTTGTATAGTGACAGTGATATACTTCAGTTGCACGAATTCTTGCACGGTGATATCAGTAAAGAGCATTTTCAATTGTTATCTTGTAAGATCCCTGTGCACATTGCAAGAGCTGATCTAGCAATGATTCAAACATTTATTTCTAAGAATAATGCTGTTACAATTTGGCTACTAGACGTGATCTGCCATTCATGAAAGTTCATGTGATTGTCCATGTGACATGAAAATATCACGACCGTAGGTCCACGTCTATCAGTTGTGTAATTTGCCACAATTTTAAAAATCACCCACTACTTATGGCAGGGTGACAGATTTTGGAAAGGTAGCTTTTGTAATATGGTGAAAATGATGAGAAATGCAAGGAGCTCAAAATGCTATCATTAACAAACCTAAATAAGCTGTTGGCAGTTTTATTTTACCTGTCTTTCAGGCAATGTAATTTGATTCATAATTGAAGTGAGTTGGTGAATCCCAAAATGTCAGATTTATTTGACTGAATTCACTTGTGTTTATTTTGCTGCTGTTTAATTGTTGGTTTGATTTAATGTTAAAGATGGTGATTAAACATAAAAACTCATTTCTTCGTCTTAAGAATTTTAGTCAGTCTTTGTAGCTGTTGTGATGTCCAAGGAATTTAAGCATTTCTTTAGATGCAAAAAAGGTTTATTTTAAGATTTAATGACTTTGACATTCACCACTTGTTTCTGGAAGTTTATTTAAGTTTGAGATCAGGCTGAGATGTCATAACATATACATTTAAGGTTTGGTCTGTGCATTTGATAAATAAGGTCACTGGTTGATTTGAAACATGCACAGTTTCATTATTACGCATGCTAAAGAGTGAATATTTTCTTAGAACATTAACAGATTTTTTCACAAATGATTAGTTATTTGAAAATCCCAACTCATTTGTGGTTGGTTTAAGTACGGGTTATTAAATTTACTCTTTTGTTATGAGAAAAGCAAACAAGTTTGTAGTTAGTTGTACTTAGGAAGTAACTGACTATTGACCAGTACCAAATAAATAATTTTAATTGTTAATATTCAGTAATAGTTGCAGTTTTTTGTATGTCTGGTCTGCAGGTGTAAGTCACCCCCAACCCCTTAAAAATTGGCTGAATTATCTTTGTTGGGGATTCAACATAGTTTTTAAGGGTGGTGGAAAACCTGGAAAGTCCTTATTTTGACTTTTTCCAGGACTGGAAAGTTGTGGATAAAAACTACAGATCCTGGAAAGTTCCCAAAATCTGCTCTGCTCAAGCAATAAAGTTTTCAGAATTTTAAATGATAGGAAATGTACTGTAGACCATAAGGAGAACTGATTTTGAAATCTTGGGGATGAAAGGGTTTAAGGTGAAATTTTTTAGTCCAAGAAAAATCAATATGAGTTCTGGAAAAGTCCTCAAAATTTTATTCTGAAAAAGGGTATGAACCCTAATTCAAAATAATTCAAAGAATAGACTTCATTTTTTTTCTAGGAAGGGAGACATAATATTTCTTTATGTGGATTTTGTGCCTTCCTCCCCTCCTGAGAGTCTAACCCTTTCTGCTCAACCTATGCTTGTATACACTCACCATTACCCCTTAATTCCCAAGATCTCATTTTTAATTATCCCCTCTAGCTTCTCCTCATTCCCTTGTTAATTAGTTTTAAGAATTTGGTGATAGATCAAGAAAACAAATTCTACTTGTCTAGGTTTGAGTATTCTCGTTACAAGTTTGGTAGATAACATAAGGATCTTATGGGGAGAAGTCACATTTTAATCAATGAAAGCCATTGAAAACATGCTGCTGCTTCTACAAGCCATTGACAAAAGGACTTGCATATTATTTTTTATCTTCATCGTGAACACAGAGATGGTTTAAATGTAATTCATTTTGCTGATCACTGAAAAACCTTTAGAATGATTCTATATTCATTGTCTGATTATTTTTCAAATCAAATGAAAATAAACCAGTCTGACCACAGTTGTTCTCAAAAAATAAAGGACAAGTCTTGCAGATTACATCAAGTTAAGGCATTCACATGCTGACACTCATTAGCTCCTAAGATCTAATTCATAATTCTCCTGTCCGATTACTATACATTTCCATGTAATTTATACAGGATAATTTGGTCTTTCATCAAAGTGACACCTTAACTGATAAAATTGTCCCCTCTCCAAATCTGTTAGTGAGACAATACAGTATATGATTGCTAAGAGAAGTGACTTGTTAAAAACTTCTTTAAAAGTGACACAAGTGACATGTTTAAAAAAGCAACGCTGTTCTCTCTCTGTTCATCCTTCAAATTACTCTTTTTGTGTGAATCTCAGTGGCCCTGTGATCCTGTGTAAATAAAGTGATGACTAGAGATGAATCTGTCTTCTGAACAAAGAAGAATATGATTTTATAAGCCAATCTTCCTACTAGAGCCCTTAAAGATCTATCTAAGATACAAAAACATCAGCCTTCATTTGACAATTAAATATGCTGACATATTTTAATGCAGACATTCACTGTAAAACAAATATGTCCAGTCTGTAACAACAGCAAACCACTCTCATCTTGAACTGATTTTTAACCATACTTAGAAGGTTAACCATATTGAAGGTAAGATTAGAAAGATTGGGAAATAACCACTTCATATTTCCTTGGGGCATAGTTGATCATTTGACACATTTAGATTGAATTGCATGCAAGCATAAATATCTTATGGATTATGATTATCAGAATAATTATAACGTTTGGTTTAGATTGAATTGCATGCAAGCATAAATATCTTATGGATTATGATTATCAGAATAATTATACAGTTCAGTTTACTTCATTCTGTGTTTTCATAGATGCACATCTTTTGTGCTTACATCACAGCAAGGCTAGAAGTAATTATATTAATGGGTGATACTCTCATTTAACTCTTTAACTCCCAGAAGTGATCAACATGAAACTTCTCCCTATAATATCCTTAAATTACTCAGCAAACAGGGAATGAGAATATTCAAACTTATCAGGTAGCAGTATTCTCATAACTGATTTCAAGGATATTTGTAGCAGCTAGAGGGGAGAATTAACAAACAGATCTTGAGAGTTAAAGGGTTAACTACCACTAAGCCAATAAATTTGATTTTGAGTGGACTGGAACTTTTTTTTAATACAAATCAATCATTTGAAATGATGCTTTTTTCTAGAATTTTTAGCTGCACATATCACAAAACATTTCCTCCAAGTCATAAGCAGGTAGCTCTTGCATCCCGAGGCATGACCATACCCTGTATTCTTCATTCTATCTTCCATACATTCTACAACCTGTTGACAAAGAGAATTCCTTTAATAATCAAGAGCTTTTTTAAGATGGTGATCATTGCCTTAAAATCTCCTGACCAAATGCACACCTTGGGGGTGATATTGAAAGTGGCAACAAAATTCTTCTCACCTGTAGATGTCAAAGGTTTAAATTTTCACTGCTGTTCGTTTTATGAAATAAAAAACTCAATGAATGTAAGAAATCTGCATCTGCTAGATGGGTCAAACATTCAAAGTAAATAAACCCATGCAAATACAAAATTAATTCATTATTCCGCATGAATCCTTCATCAATGGTCAGAATAAAAACTATCATCCATAATAAATAATTTTCTTAATATTGGAATTGATGTCAAGGGTTATGTAAGTAATGGTTAAAATAACCTTAGTGGTAACTGATCTCTGAAACACAAGTGTTCTTCATGTCAAAAAAGAGGAGAGCAAATTGCGCAACTTTGACAGATCAGACAAACACAAATTCAAAACTTGTGAGTAAAATGCAAACATAGGTTTACTAAATTGTATCTTCACTCAATATTATCAATGGTCTTGGAAAATACAGTGACAGTAGTCCATAGAATTTTGTAACAACTGCATGATCCCATATCAAATGGAGAGGATGTAGTGTATATTTGACCTGCTTAGTCTCAAAACATACAACTTCTATAAAATAATTTGAGGCCTAATTTAAATACTAAAAGGTCCATAACTATAATATTTGGGGATAAAGGTAATTTTCATGTTATCAATCAGCAAAGTATATTTCACTTTTTTTATGAGTGCATAAATTAGGGTTAGGCAGTTTTATAATAATTTTCACAACATACGCGTGACAAAAGTCAACATAGATGTTTTCAATGTAAAAAAAGATATTACTGAACGAAATCCTACAAAATCAGGCCTAATGCTACCATATATGACGAAAGAGGGAACGAGTAAAATTCGGATCAGCATATACGGACCTGTCAATAAGCTATTTCTTGATCAAACAGATGAGTACTTAACAGATTTACAATTTACTACTACAATAAACCTCAAAGATGGAAGTTCCTGGATCCGCGATTGAGATACACAAAAAATTGTCCTAACTTTTTCTAGCTATACATGCAAAACGCACCACAAGTTAGGAATTACCCTAAAACACACAAGGTATGTCTTTGTAACATTCTAAGTTTACAAACAGGTTGTTGAACCGTTCATGGGGGATTCTGTGGTTCCGAGTATGAATTTTTAAGACTAATAACTTCTATAAACACTAGTTCTGGATTTCTTCAGCAAAATGCTATGACTCCTTCTTGATCCCATGCGTGGTTATTCCATTTTCCAGAATTTCTCCTCCGGAAAATTGATTATCTTGCATAGATCCGCTCGACAAAGATGTGACAGCTGTTAAAAGTAGCGCTTGGTTACCATCGCTGTTTGAGTTCGTAAACTGTACATTTATTTCTGAAGGCACTGAAATTCCTCCGTTTGCGAAGAGCGACCTTAAAACGTTCAATTCTTTCTGTAGTAAAGAAACCTTACTACGTAAATCTTCGTTTTCTTTCGTTAAATCTGTAACCCTCCGTCTGGTTTCCTCGATTCGTTCTTTGGCTTTCATGCGACTTTTCCTCACAGCAATATTATTTCTTTCTCGCTTTTTCACGTAATCGTCGTCCACAGATTTCTCCCCAGGACGTTTCTCTGCTTTTGAAGTTTTCGTGTCTATATTCTCCGTTGATGGCTCCATTTTTCCTCGACAACCTCTACACGATCTGTTGCCCCAAACGGCTGGAGTTATTTAACTTTGATTACCTAATTCCCTCAAAAAAAGTTCGAAGCTTGCGCAATAAGTTTATCGATTGCGCAAGCGAGCCATGCGTAGTGAGTATTACGCATATTTTTCTTTTATGACGCTGAAGTCCTTGCTCGAAGGCTCAAAAACCGCGTAAAGGTGTGGCTGGGGGTCTGGTGAGGGTGGAGAACCTAATCAAATGGCCCACAATGCAACACCGAATGGAATAGTACAAAACGAAACCGCAGTTTTTTTGGTTAAAGAAAGAAAATCAAAGGGTTTTCGGCGGTAAAACATAACAGAAAAGCGAAAGCCTTGAAAACATATAGGTTTAGTCTTGAAAACGACGACGTTTCGACGTCGTTTGCTAACGTCATTGTCGAGTTAAGATAAAACACAAGATGTGCATTCAGGAAGAATTTCTTCGAGGCATGAATGCAAAAGTACAATAAAGCAAAGATAAAATATTCATTTCAAGAAGAAGAACAAAATATCCCAGTAGAGTGACTAAGTATAGGTATTTGCACGTGGCGTCACGCGAAAGACGGCGTCGACAAAATCTGCACCGGGCCGGATCGGATCACGGACAGGTTCACGAACTAGATCATAGACCGGATCACAGACAGGGTCACGGACTGGATCGTGGACCAGATCATGAACCGGATCACGGATAGGATCATGGATCGAAAAGCGGATATTTTGCACGTGATCCGATCCGTGATCCGGTTTGTGATCTGATCTGGTTCGATCCTGGGTTTTTTCGACGCCGCGTAAAAAGTTTAGCAAGAACAGGAGTCCTTTTGAGAATTCAACTTCGGTTTCAATTTCCTAAGGAAGAGCATTTCAAAAAACCAGACGAACAAACTTTGATTTTTCAACACTTACAGGGTAATTAAATGATTTCTGTGAACAAATTACAAGAACTTTTTTCAAACGTGCTTCGAATTGTATTGATGTGTATTTTTAGAGACAGACTTGTCTCAGGAGCACAAGTTGATTGTATAGTATCAAAAAACATGGCGAGAAAGGAATTGATTGCTTTGGCTCAGACACCAAATTAAATACAAACATTTTATGTCCACGGTCAGCTCTCCCTGCGATTTTTTTTCTTTTAAAGTGCCTTTGAGTATTCACCATTTTGGTTAAATTTATTTTTTATTTTTACTAGCTTTTGAAATTTATGAATTCTTATAGTTAGTAGCCTGGCGAGAGGAATTCGTTCGAACAATACTTTGACAAAATAACTGCCATAACTAAGCAGGCAACACCTCTTGATTAATTAGAGGCACCCGATGGAATTTTTAGCACTTGAAAATAGAAAAAAAAATCAAAAATACAATAATTACGTTGGAGTTTGTGGAGGCAGACATCATTTTGAAAAGAGAAGCACGAAAAAATATCGTATTAGTGACAGAACCAATGCAGGGAGTGCGTTGATTGGTTATAAGACTTGTTCTACAGAATTGAACCAATCAGTTAGAATCCAATTTGAAAGACAATGCAACAGGGGTATAAAACACAGGAAAATTATTCTCAGTTCCGCTAAATCTTGAACATACGTTCTTCTGGAAATTAAGAGCACGTCCTTCGCAAAAATCGAGTTATTTGAATAAGATGTCCGGTCGCGGTAAAGGAGGAAAAGGTTTGGGTAAGGGAGGCGCGAAACGTCACAGAAAAATCCTAAGAGACAACATTCAGGGCATAACTAAGCCGGCCATAAGACGTTTGGCCAGGAGAGGTGGTGTGAAGCGCATTTCAGGTCTCATTTATGAAGAAACTCGCGGAGTTCTCAAAGTTTTCCTCGAAAACGTTATACGCGACGCGGTGACATACACTGAACACGCCAAGCGCAAGACGGTGACCGCCATGGACGTTGTATACGCGCTGAAACGACAAGGACGCACGCTGTACGGCTTTGGGGGCTGAAGAATGAAGAACTGACATGACAGAGAAACTGTAGAGTTAGCAAGCGTGTAAAAGGAAAGACTGAAATTTTTATTTTAGCTTCCAGCAGGACTGCAAGCTCTTAATTATGTTTTACTTTTGTGTACATTATTCAATTTCTAGTTTGAAATTATTTTCTCGTTTGAAATAATGTACTTTGTAACGTCCCATTACTTCCACAAGTGATAGCTGTTTAATTTTGTTTCTTTTGTATCTGTTTACCTATTGTTGCCTATTTTTTTGTACTTGTAGCAAGACTTAATGTTGTACAAATAATGCAGAGAGAATTAAATCGCTTCTTTTGTTTGTACATTTGTTTGTAGTCCATGTTTAGTTTACCGCGCCTCATTTGCATCTGTGAGGGGACTAGGGCGAGGTGAGTGCGGTGTTCTACTTTGAAGTGCAAATATGTAGCATGAAAACCTAAGGGAACCATGTTTAGAATATTCAAACATATTTTTAGAATAAAGCAGGTTCCACATGCGTGTCGAAAGAACAGAACCAATTTAATCCACACGGGCGATTGGAACATTAGTTAACATCACAATTAGCGAATGAGAACCCGAAACTGTAAAAGGCTCGGAATAACCCGAATGATGCTTTTTGCGCCATTCACTCTGGCGAAAAGCTAACGCTCGAAACGACAGTTTTAAAATACATTATTAACTCAGACTCTAAATTCAGTAGCCTGCGAGCTAATATTATCTCGTACTCAGATCCTACGGTTTAATTGTGACGGAAATGTAAGTTACAACCGCTTGGCCGTGAAAGGGGTGGGCACGAGACTATCTACGAGCAAACCTTCTCTACCCATGAGAAGGCCTGAAACGAATCGGGGAGAGGTCTGCCGGGTTATCTGGCACCACTTGCCGACCTCTAGCTGACTGCCCTTTGCAGGACTATAGAGAATTGGCTGCCATTGCAATTGCCATTGCCACGAGGCAGCTAAGGATCATATGAATATTACAAAGACTTATGGGATAATCAGGTAAATAAATTTTATCATGATAACCAAAGTCCTCCCACCCCCAAACCCCCCTGTTCTGCGATACACACTGATCGGTCCGTGACCAAGCTACTTATTTTTTCAAAGTTTGTTTTAAAATTATAGAACATGAACGAGAAATTAAACGAGCTCCACAAACGTACAGTTACGCGTGTTGAGCGAATGGATGTAATCAAGTAAGACTCATAATTATTGTCTTTTAATTTCCCATCTCAGCACCTGCCGCAACCATCTGCCGCGATGCAAGGACTGTTTACTTCAACGTTGAATGACGGAGGGTACTATCGTTGTTATCCTCAGTAAGGCTTGTGAGAAGTTGGCCTGTTGAAATATCGCAAACCATTCACTATTTGTCTGAAATAGTGGCTTCTAGCAAAAATCATGAACAAGTTGTATTGTAACCAGTCTAAGCAATTTTTGCCCATATTCACTGAACTTGAAGATCTTCGTTCGACTTGTATCGCCAACTGCGTCTTTAACATTTTTCTTACTTACACCGCCTTCATGTTAAACATTGTGACAATCTACGCCATATACAAAACTTCAACAATGCTAAACACTTTGAAAACTCTGCTCCTAAGTCTCGCCTGCTCAGATGCTGCTGTTGGTTTGTTTAGTCAACCATTATACACTTTCTTTCTGATCAACTGGCTTCGACTAGACAATCCTAGCTGTAACGCTAAACAAGTGCGGACGATTTTAAATAGTTTATTTTCAGGTGCTTCGTTCCTTGGTGTTGTGGCTGTAAGTGTAGACAGGTTCTTAGCTGTTCATCTTCATCTCAGATACCAGGAGCTTGTGACTCACAGGCGTGTTGTTATTGTTGTAATTGGCATATGGGTGTATAGTGCATTTCTTTCTTTAATAATATTGTGGGAGCTTCTTAGTACTCGGGATCTTATACGCACAATAAGTGCTGCTTTCGGTTTTATTATCACACTCGTGGTGTACATCAGGATATATCAAACAGTACGACAGCACAAGAATCAGATTCAGTCCATGCAAATACGAAACGAAGCTCAGTCTGAGGAGATAAAAAACTTTAATATCCTCATTAGATCCACAGCTGGCATATTCTACGTATATCTCTTGTTTTTAATTTGTTATTTGCCCTACTTCATTTGCAAGGCTGTTATTCAAATCTATGGTTCGAGTATCGTTTTAAAGAAACTTTATCTTTACTCACTGACTCTCGTGTTCCTAAATTCATCTTTGAACCCTGTAATTTACTGCTGGAAGATGAAACACATTCGACACACTATCATAGACATACTGGGAAAGATGTCTTGGATCAGCAATCGGCCATTTCGGATCAACTACAATCGGTCATCGAATGTCGTTCATATTGATAACTGATCCACTCTGTGTGGCTTAAAAAGACTATGCACGGTAATTGTTTATGACAAAGTGAAATGGGGACAAGCAAGATTGTACATAAACTAAGTTATAAGACCCGGTAGCCAAATAATTGCGTAGTTCCAATTTTAAGTACACAATAAATCGAATAATAGGGCAGGAACTAATTTTGGCAAGAAAGCTGGTTTTGTCATCGATAGATGGTGATATTGTAATTATGGTTGCAAAGGAGCTAGTATTTACGAGAGAAGAAAAAAATCGATGTTAATCATTAGTTAATGAGGGGATTTAAGACGAAAATGGATTGATCGATATACTTGAAAGTTAAACAAACAACGAAAAACATCGAGTTTGCCTTAACACTTTTGAGGTAAAATCTTAGTCGAAGCAGAATGCTGCATATGAAAACGAAAACGGAGGTGGCTATAGAGTTATAGATTAGCCCGCAGATGTTTGCAGGTGGTTCTTGATAATACCGTGAGTTTTGCCGGAAAACTTAAAATTAAGTATGTTTTTTTTTTCTTGTTATCTCCTTTCGCTTAAATGCAAATAACAGATAGGTTTTGCAACCAACTTGACAATTCTTTACAATTTCAAAACAAATTAATGGGTCAATAAAAGTGAAATGTAGTGAAAACGATACTCTCGTAATAAAAGCGTTCAAAAGTTTATTTGTTCAGATAATCGACGGCTTCAATTTTGGGCAAATCTATGATGATTGCATGGCAATTTGAAAATGTCTTTCAACATCTCGGAGAATATTTGTAACAGCCTTGTTTTCGCCTGGCTTTAAGGAAAAACGGAAGGGTCACATTAAGAGTTTTGATAATTGCATCATACTATCAATACCGTGTCCCTAAATTGATCATCTTAGTCATTCTCATTACCTGCTTGCTTTAAACTTTCTTTAAATTACACATTAATGGGGGAGTTAAGGAGTTGACTGTTAATTGATATGAGCACCGTCTACTACTCCAACATGCTATTTTTAGCCACTTAAATTACGTGCACTTAAATCTTCCTGCAAATTACCATAAACCAAGAAAGTACTATCTCGATCAGCATGGACACGCGATAAGAGAACTGTCGTAGTAAAATTCAGTCATTTAAGATAAAAGTTCTACGCTACCCGTGAGGGAGCTGTTCGCGGTAAGTGTCCCTACTGTCGCCAGCAGCTTTCTCCCTACCATCACACGGATGCTATTATTCCCTCAGGCCCATATCCGTTTTGTTTTTATCAAGTTCAATTTCCACCCCCGCCACCTCCACCGCCAGATCAGTTTTGGTGGTTGGAATTACAAGGTCTTACCGTGGACGGGTATGGGGCAGAGGAAGATGATCTCTTTCCAGATTATGTTCTACCTCCACCGCCCGCTGGGTGGCAAGCTTTTCGCCTCGGCCATCGTTAGCCTTTTTTATTTCAGCCGTATTTACATTCATTTAGCTAAGTATATTCTACAGGTATTCCAAACAAAAAAACAAAAAGGAAAAAAGGCTTATTGACTCCCCATATTTAGTCACAGCGGCATTTTGGTGTTTTATGTTAGCAACCTTAAGAATATATCCACTTACGAATATATCCACTTATCTAACCGCATATTCATAAATCTTTTGGCAGCTGGGGACAGCTCCGTCTAAGTAGGGAGAATTTGTTAAATAATAAAATTACAATTATAGTTAATCTACAATATCGTAAGGGTTTCCTTGTGTTGGTGTCGGAAAAAGGAATGGAAATATTATATTATTTTAAGTCACTTAATGCAAATTATAAAAAGGGCAGGTTGATTACTTCTTACTCCTTCTTGGTGGTCTTATCTTAAAGGTTGAGTTTGGTCACGTTCTTCTTGTGAGTTTGATCACGTTCTTCTTGTGAGTTTGGTCACGTTCTCCTAGTGAGTTTAATCACGTTTTGCTCGTTGTGATCGTGAGGTTGACATGGAACTCGTGATGAGCCATGTTCCTAATTAAGTTAATTTGTTAGTCCAGGATGAGTAAATCTCCCTGGTAATAGATCGCGTTCGACACCTTCTTGTCCCCAGAGGTAATTTAAGGTGTAAACAGGTGATACCCCTCATGTTTCGCAACCAAAAGCAATTTGGGGGCGGTACTTGTGAGCGCCTTTCTTCTTTAACTCTTGTGACCAAGATGTTGTTATGTAAAAATCTTTAAAGGTGGTTTTCTCTTAAGATACCTTTTCAGTTATAAATAATACTCTGAACCAAGGTTATTTGTAATTTTTATATTATCGATCTCGTTTCTGTTCTGGCCGATCTCAACCGTAAAGATATGAAAATTAAGGTATAAATTGATTTTGTAACTGCGTAAACAACTCGAAGGTGCATACTCAGTATGTGGGAACTGCAATACGTAGTCAAGCGTGATTCGCTAGTTGAGATGTTACGATGACGACACAAGAAGATTGACGGCTTAGAAATGTCATCCGCAGTGTCACCTTCAGCGGAGACTCTAGTTTTCCCTGTTGGATAGAAGCTAGTCCCCGTTGTATCAATTTGTGAAGAAAGAGAATAAAGAAGAATTAACCTATCAAACGACGAGTGTTAGAAAATTTACTTCTAACACTATGGGGAACTAAGGCGAGGTTAGTGTGGTATTCGCCTTTGAAGTGCAAATATGTAGCATGTAAACCTCAGGGAACCATGTTTAGAATATTCAAGCGTAAATTTTAGAATAAAACAGGCTGCACATGCGTGTCGAAAGAACATGACCAGTCTAATCCACATGGGCAATCGGAAGAGTGGTTAACATCATAATTAGCGAATGAGAACCCGAAACAAGAATAGGCGGACTGTCAAAAGCATGGAATAGCCTGAGTGATGCTTTTTGCGCCATTCACTCAAACGCTCCAAACGTCAGTTTCAGAAACTCTCTTCAGAGTCCAATTTACATCATCAACTCAGATAAAATCAAATTGTCTCGTAAAACTCCCACCGAAGTAGCATCACAGTTTCTTCGAAAACACACCCCCTTTGTTCATTTGCGGCCCAAGATAATCTCGTTCCCAATTTTTTTACTGTAACGGAAATGTAAGTTACAACCGCTTGGTCGTGAAAGGGGTGGACACGAGACTACCTACGAGCAGTCCTCTGCTCGTAGGAAGACTTGAGGCGAGTCGGGGAGAGGTATGCCGGGGGTCTGGCACTACTTGCAGAACTCTAGCTGACTACCCTTTACAGAACTATAGAGAATTGGCTGCCATTGAACTGCCAATGAGGCAGGATCATAGGACTATTACGGAGGCTTATGGGGGAATCAGGTAAATAATAATTTCATCGTGACAACCAAAATCATCCAACCCTAAGCAATTAACCCCCCCCCCCCCTTCGATAAACAATTATCGGTCCGTAACTTAGCCTCATATTTTAAGTTACGCGTGTTAAGCGACTGCAGATAATCAAGGAAAACCGATAATACGGACTTTAAGATTGAGGACGGGGGCTTCTATTGAGAACGTCATAACGGAGGAGAGCCTGGCTAGAGTAAGGCGTCGTTTAGGCGGGAAATTTGGCGTTAAGATCCACTCGATCCAATACGTTTAGAATTTGGAGGACGTCTAACCATCATGGCTAATTTTAGGGAAATGCGTGATCTTTTCACACTTTATCATTCATCAGAGGTCATGATGAAGAGTTCATTTTACTGTATGATGCACTCTCTTCAAAGTACTTACATCTTCCGCATGAAGACTATCAGCGATTTTCCTTCGACCATATGGAACCTGACCAGTGTAAAGCACAATTCAGATTCTGTAAAAACGACATCTTTTTGCTTGTCGATGTTCTGCAAATACCAGCAGATTTGGTTAATTCTCAAGGAACTATTTTTGGTGGACTGGAAAGCTTAATTTGTATTTTACTCAGAGAATTGGTATATCTATGTCAATACAGTAGTTTATTACAAAGATTTGATCGACCAGTGCCCGAGTTGTCTATGATAAGTAGCACTGTTGTGAATTATATTTATGAGAACCACACGAACCTTTTAGCTTGGACTTTCATTGAATGTTTCTCTTTCTTTCTTCTTAAAGCATTAAAATTCATTAAAAACAAGCTGTGGCTAAGAATATTGATGCAGAGCTGAAATAGACTGACCAGTAATGCCACTATTAATTGACATTTTTTCCACAGAGGGGAGGAAGCATAACGCCGGCATGCTTGCAGACTCAGGACTGCTCAGAGATCTTAGCCAATATGCTTTTTCTATTAGAGCGGACCCTCTCTGTTTGCATGGAGATTCTGCCTACCCTTTAATGGTTCACCTACACTGGTAATACTAGTAGCCAGTTTTTTGACCCCATTCCTTCTTCTCCGCAAGAATATTTTCAGTTGGGTCAATTCTTAAGTTCTTGGTCTGGCCATGCAAAAAGGTATAGTAAAGGTGTAGCAAGTTTAAAGGAAATAAAACAACACTATGTATTGAAACAAGAGTAAAGTTTGAAGGTGTTTGTTTATTATTTAGGGTAAAAACAACAAACCTCTGCAAATCTAGTGAGTAATTTATGATAAGTAGCACTGATAATGGCGAAGAAAATTAGAGTGCATTCTACATTGGTTTAGAACAATACCAACTAAATAGTTCAAACCAATATTAATCAACTAGTGGGGACTAAAGATGCTGTACTAATTTTGAACTATTTAAATTCATTCCAGTTTCATGCAGTCATACTGAATTTACTCTAGTATTGTGACATAAATTGGTCTATTTTTGTTTGGCACTGTCAACTCATTGAGACTGGGTGCATGATTCATAGTTTATTTAACAAACAACATCTGCTAAAAGAATACAACAATTTTATGTCAGAAAAAATCGGTAGCCATTGTTGTAAAAAGCGTGAACTCATGAACTATTAGAATCTGAACATATTTTCATAAACTCATCCACTGGACTAGTCAGTTTTGGTACATACAGTCAACTAAGTTTATTCACATAAAAAACAATAAACAACCACCGGGTGGATGCTAATAATTAAAAAATAAACAACGGCCAGTTCTCATCTTACTTGTTTTTCATTTGTTGCACTACTGACTCCATAAGTTTCATGGTGTTTTCTTGCATATTTTAATTAACAACATGAAATCTTGGTGTTGACGTTCGCATAGGTTTTGCTTTTTCGCATCAATTTCTAGCTGTTTGTTGTTTTAACTCGAGACCTTGCTCATTTTTGCCCTGTAGGTATCGATTGCTTCAGAACATTTTGATCTTTTTTTTTTCTCCCCACTTTCTTCTGAATCCGTTCGGCTCCGTTTTAGAGTTTCTCCTAGGCTTTCCATTACTTTTTGCCGCATAACAGCGGCAGTAGCCTTTCCTTTCTCAACTTTTCTTTCAGGCTCTTCATCTTTATCCTTATATTCTGATTGAGAATACTGCTCTTTCTCGATGATTTCCTCATGAAGCACATCAATCTCCGTCTCCTTTACATCTATGCTACAAGCTTTATCCTGCTCTTTCTTTTTAGCAATATGTTTCTCTTTTAAGAGACAAAATTTATCTTTCACCGCTCTTTGGGTAACTGTGAAGGTTGGATTCGTTACATCATTTAAATGAGCAACTACAGTATTCTACAGATTAATGCGCTGTTGAGTTCGAGGTCTGTATTTGAAGGGTTCCGTGGCTAAAATCTCTCGTAGAAGGAGGGTATGATGCTCATCGGTCTATTGCATTCTACAGAGAAGAATTACAAATCAAGGATCCATTCTATTTGCAGCCGAATTTAAAACACAAGTTCTGATTTTACAGATAAACTTACAAGGATTTGGCTGAACACTGTTTTTAACTTCAAGTACCTGTTGAAAAAAATTCTTCGTTTGAAATTTTTTCCACATGTAATCGCCTCACTAGAAGCCACGGCCGAGAAAAAGCGTAAAGTGGAAGATGCTGGCAAGAAAATGAACGAAATTAAAAAATTTACCTTGTTTATTAGGATTTGAATCTGTCGTTTGCTAATGAACCTCGAGTAGCCTGTTTTCATGTCGTTCACAGATCGAGCACGCAATCGCGTTCCCAAGGAAAAATTAACTTCTGGTAGCCGTCGTTCACTCAAGCCATCCTCAATCTTAAGGTGCTTAATTAATTCATTTTCTTTCAACTTCCCATCTCAACATCGGCTGTAACCATCTGCCGAGATCTGAGGACTCTCTACTTGAACGTTAAATGACGGAGGGTACTATCGATATCGTTGTTATCCTCAGTAAGTCTAGAGAGAAATTGGCCTGCTAAAATATCGCAACCCATACAGTATTTTCTAAAATAGCGGCTCCAACCTTTTATAAGTAAGCGAAAATCATGAGCAAATTGCATTGTAACCAGCTTTCGCAATTTTTGCCCATATTCACCGAACTTGAAGATCTTCGTTCGACTTGTATCGCCAACTGTGTCTTTAACGTTTTTCTTACTAATACCGCCTTCATGTTGAATATTGTGGCATTCTACGCCATACACAAAGCTTCAACAATGCCAAACACTTTGAAAACTCTGCTGTTAAGTCTTGCTTGCTCGGATGTTGCTGTTGGTTTGTTTAGTCAACCACTATACACTTTCTTTCTCATCAACTGGCTTCGACTACACAATCCTGGCTGTAACACTCAACAAGTGCGGACGATCTTCAGTGGTATATTTTCAGCTGCCTCGTTCCTTGGTGTTGTGGCTGTAAGTATAGACAGGTTCTTAGCCGTTCATCTTCATCTCAGATACCAGGAGCTTGTGACTCCCGTGCGTGTTCTTGTTTTGCTGATCAGCATATGGCTGTACAGTGCATTTGTTACTTTGATGAAATTGTGGGGGCATTTTAATGCTCAGGATCTTATAAGTGCAATTACGGCTGCTTTTGGTTTTATCATCACCCTCATGGTGTACATCAGGATATATTTAACTGTACAACGGCACAAGAATGAGATTCAGTCCATGCAAATACGGAACGAAGCTCAGTCTGAGGAGATAAAAAACTTTATTCTCCTCACTAGATCCACAGTTAGCATATTCTACGTATATCTCGTGTTTTTAATTTGTTATTTGCCCTACTTCATTTGCATGGCTGTTATTCGAATCTATGGCTCGAGTATCGTTTTAAAAAAATTGTATCTTTTCTCATTGACTCTCATGTATCTCAATTCATCTTTGAACCCTATAATTTACTGCTGGAAGATGAGACAAATTCGACACGCTATCATGGACATACTACGAAAGATGTCTTGGCTGAGCAATCGGCCATTTCGGATCCACTACAATCGGTCATCAGATGTCGTCCATATTGATAACTGATCCCCTCTGTGTGGCTTACAAAGACTGCGCGCAGTAATTGTTTACGACAAAGTAAATAGGGACATACAGGATCGTATAAAAACTTAATGATAAGACCAGGCAGTCAGGTGATTGCGTAGTTCCAATTTTAAGTCCAATAAGTCTCTAGTTTGGAAGGGATGGGGCTAATTTTAGGAAGAAAGCTGGTTTTGTCATCGATGAGTGGTGAAATTGTAATTGTGGATGCAGATGAAAGTGAGAGAGGAGACATGACTTATTCATATCAAGGTTTCCGTCGCTCTTAATTTCAAATCAGAATTATAACCAATAACGGTGGTTTCGGACTCGAGCTTCGGAAAAGCCTCTTTTTCCCTCATGTAAATTTTTCCTATCACTGCCAACTGTTTCGCCAAATCCCCTTCTCTTAAACTAACATTGACAAGTAATTGACGTGCCAGCTTCAAATAAAAAAAAGGAAACTTATGTCATCCATCCTTCTGCCGCAAAACCAGAATTTCCAAGTTACTCTGACTGTAATAGTGGGAAATGAACTTCTTCCTTTTTAATAACCAGTCAACCCCTTGACTCCCCTTAATGTGTAATTTGAAAAAATTCTCAAGCAAACAGGTAATAAAAATGACAGAGATGATCAATTTGGGGACATGGTATTGATAGTAAGATTCTCAGGACTAAACAACAAATAAATGTAAGGTATGATCATGAGTGAAGGGAATAAACTTGCACGTCTTTCATTATGTTAATAGTTGCAAACTCTAAATGATCCTACGATAAACAGAGTAAGGTCATATTGAGAGTGCCACGTTTTGCCCTCCAGAAGAAAAACAAACAGGAGCTAGTATTTGCAAGGGAAGAAAAATCGATCTTAATTATTGGCTAATGAGCGGATGGAAAACGAAAATGGATTGATCAATATCCATGAAAATTAAACAAATAACATAAAGCATCGAGTTTGTGTAAACACTTTTGAGGTAAAAACTTAGTCGAAGGAGAATGCTGCATATGAAAACGAAAACAGAGGTGGCTTTAGTGTTATTGATTAGCCCGCACATTGCAGGTGGTTCTTGATAATAACGGGAGTTTTGAGAACTTAAAATTAATTAAGTTTTGTTTACTTATTATTTCCTTTGTTTAGATGCAAATAACTGATAGGTTTTGGAATCAATTTGAGAATTCTTTACAATTTCTAGACAGCTTAACGGATCAAAAGTTTATTTATACAGATTATGGACGGCTTAAATTTCGGGCATATCTTAAATAATTACGTGGCAATTTGAATATGCCTTACAAAATGTCGGAGAATATTTCTAAAAGCCTCGATTTCTCCTGGTTTTCACGGGCAACAGACTGGGATCAGTCGCCACCAAGAGAAGGGGGGGGACTAAAGAAACTTGCCGTGGAGAATTTTTGCAACAGTGTCGATTTCTCGTGGTTTTCGGGGGTAAACAGGAGGTGGGTGATCAGTCGTCGCCAACAGAGTATGAATAAAGATTATTATTAGGAAATGAAATGACATTATTATTATTAAAAACTGACACGCTAACAAGGAGGAAGGGTGTAATACGAATATTACAGTCTTATAGGGGATATTGTTGTTTTTATCTTGACACAACCAAAATCCTCCTTAGGAAATGAATAAAACATTACAAAGTCTTCAAGATGATAACAATGCATTCTGAACAGTAAGCAATGTTTGGTTTAGTTACCTTAACCGGTAATAAGTTATGGAAATTTTGGTATCATCGATTTTCTAATACTGACCTCGCTTTTCCGAATGAGTTTTTGCAGTAATCGTTGCTTTTAGAAGTAAATGCGTATAATCGGAGTTTATACAGCAGAAAGCCATTAAAAATAGTTCATCTGTCATTTATTCTCCCAAGAGGCTGGTCATTATTTATCACATGTGGTGGGAAGGGGGGCGGGGGGCATTAGAGGATCTTCGTCGAGTCACAACAATGTTTACAAAGCCCCCCCTCCCCTCCATAAGATTCTCTATGATTCCTACGACACCTCCCGCCCTTGTTGATAGTTAATTGGTAGTCAATTTATTATAGTCCCCTATTAATATTCTGTTGGCGACGACTGAACCGCCCCTCCGCTTTTCGTTAACCCTTTAACTCCCAAGATCTGATTGTTAATTCTCCCCTCTACCTGCTACACATTTCCTTGTAAATAATTTACAATAATTTAACGTTAGATCAAGGTAACAACTTCTATCTGATTAGTTTAAGTATTCTCATGACCTATTCGCTGGATAATGTATGGATATTTTAGAGAGAAATTAGTTTTAAATCATTCGTGGGAGTTAAAAGGTTAAAGCCAAGAGAAATCGACCTTGTAACAAATAATCTCCGAGATTTTGAAAGACATCTTCAAACTATTACATAATCTTCATGGTAAGCCCGAAATTTGAGCCATCGATTATCTCTCAACAAGAGCTTTCAAGCACTTTCATTACGAGACTAACTTTTTGGCTACATTTAACATAACTGACCCATTAACTTGTCTAGAAATTGGAAAGAATTGTTAAATTATTTCAAAAACCTATTTGTTATTGCGTCTAAGCGAAAGGAGATTTGGAGGAAAAACACACTTAATTTTAAGCTCGTAAACTCCCGCTCAGCTTGTATTATGAAACATCTGCGGACTAATCAAATCAATAATTTTACAGCCACCTCTGTGCTTCTCGCTGTTTGTTTAGTTTCAAGTATATCGATCGATCTATTTTCGTTTTCCATCCACTCAATTGCCAGTGATAAACAACAATTTTTCTTCGCTCTCAAATACTTGCTCCTGGTTTCTTCTCATCCTGAGGAAAAAACATGACGCCCCAAATGTGACGCTATACCATTTCACGGAGGAGTCATTTCAAGCTTTTAACTTCTAATGAAAGAGCTGGAAGTTTATTCCCTTCACTCACGATCATAACATATTTATTTGTTGTTTATTCGTGACCATCTTAATATCAATACCATGTCCCTAAATTGATCATCTTTGTCATTCTCATCATCTGCTTGCTTTAAACTTTCTTTAAATTACACATTAATGGGGAAGTTAAGGAGTTGACTGTTTATTAATATGAGCACCGTATACTACTCCAACACGCTATATTTAGCCACTTAAATTATGTGCACCTAAATCTTCCTTCAAGTTATTATAAACCAAGAAAGAACTATATCTCGAGCAGCATGGTCAGGCGAGAAGTGAGCTGTCGCAATAAAATTCAATCATTTAAGATAAAAGTTATATGCTATATCATCGCGAAAAGTAAATTAGGTAAAACGCTGTAATTGCATGATCACAACCAGTTACTCAAAAGTTATTTTCGTTTTGTTTTGTTTTTTCCTATTTAATAACGATGAAAAATGTTTCTAATTGCAAATAGTTCACATCGTTACGATGATGCTAGCAATAAGCGTTGCCCTTCAAAGTGAAAAGAGGTAAATTGAAAGAAAAATACTGCAGGATCTCTGCTTGCAAAAGCGTCATCCACTCATCAAAATTAGTGCAAACAGAAGCTTTATAACTCTGAGCCCGTAAGAGTTTCTTCTCCTTAAGGTAAGAACAATTTTCTCCGCGGACCTTATCTCACTCCTTCTTAGGGTAATGCTTCTTTGGAAAAAATTGATTATATTAATAATAAAAACTCGCTTTTTCATGAGTTAAGGCAGCTTTTTTGAAGATGGTTCAAGGGAATTCCCCTCTTATCAGCATATAGCTCAATGAAAAATGACTTATCAAAGTTTTGAGCCATGTACTGTCATGAGCCTGAACAGTTTCGGTATATTTTAACCTCCTTAGAATAGATAATCAGGCCGAGGAAAGAGGCAATGAAGCTCGTTTGATTTGGAAATCAGCTAAAACACATTGATAACCAAACCAGTCTTCCTATTTAATGGGCCTCTTTCATTCCACTTGTAAGAATTTGATGTAAAGTGTATTTAAAATTCGAAATGATTTGCTTGCTGAGTCATATCACTAAGTTTGTCTACAATGTTCTTTCTCCTTATTTCCTTTGTCGTAAACAAACCTGGCACAGTCCTTGTTAGACACACAGAGCGGATTAGTTGAATAACATGTCCGGTCCCAGTAAAGGAGGAAAAGGTTTGGGCAAAGGAGGTGTGAAACGTCACAGAAAAATCCTACGAGACAACACCCAGGATATAACCAAGCCGGCCATAGGACGTTTGGCTAGAAGAGTTGGTGTGGAGCGCATGACGGTGACTGCCATGGACGTTGAATATGCGTTGAAACGACAAGGACGTACGCGGTATAGCTTTAGAGGCCGAATAATGAGGAACTGGCACGACGGAGAAACTTTAGAGTTAGCAAGCATATAGAAGGGAAGACTGAAATTTTTATGATAGCCTCCAGGAGGACTACAAGCTATCAATTATGTTTTTGTTTTGCGTACATTATTCATTTTCTCGTTTGAAATTAAAACAATGTACTATGTAATGTCTTCATTATTTCCCCAAGTGATACCAGCTTACTTTCGTCTCTTTTGTGTCTGTGTTTTTTTTTTCGCTGTAGCACGACTAAATGTTGTGCAAATAATGCACAGAGAATTAAATTGCCTCTTTCGTTTGTCCATGTTCAGTTTACCGCGCCTCATCTGTATCTATGGGGGGACTAAGGCGAGGTTGGTGTGGTGTTCGTCTTTGAAGTGCAAATTGGAAAGAGTGAACCTCAGGGAACCATGTTTACAAAATTCAAACACAAATTTTGGAATAAAGAAGGTTTCAATTGCGTGTCGAAAGAACAAAACCAGTCTAATCCACATGGGCAATCGGAACAGTGGTTCACATCACAAATAGCGAATGAGAACCCGAAACAAGAACAGGCGGACAGTAAAAAGAACGGAATAACCCGACTGATGCTTTTTGCGACATTCACTCTGACGAAAAGCTAACAGTTGAAACATCAGTTCTAGAAACTCTCCTCAGTGTCTAACTTACATTATCAACTCAGATAAAAGTCAAATTGTCTCGTAATACCCCCCCACCGAAGTAGCCTACAGAGCAGGCGTGATTTTGGCGAACGAGTGTTCAGTATTTTCTTAACGAAAATTATGGCCGCGATCGTTGATTTTAATGGCAGCGGAAGGCTGGAGAGAGAAAGAAATTTATACTAAGGGAGCGGCTGACGGACAAAAATAGGGAGAAGGGTAGGGTGGGGGAGTGATCGTTACGCCTGTTGCGGAGTTCCGGATTGGTGCGATTAAACTCCAGCCGTCAATCGCATGCTGTCAATCATTTGAGTGTATTCTAGCTCTTGCTGGAGAAATAGAAAGATGACGAACTCTGATCGTGAAGTTTTAGTTTCGATTCCGCTCTCTAAGGAAGCAATCAAGAGTTTTTCGGAATTTGGTGGGTCTCGGAACAAAAAGAAGCAATTGCTACACTGGTTTCTGGAAAAAACTGGTTTTGGGAAGAGCCTGATATTTCAACGGCTGGTTCCTAAAAAAGAAATAATGACGAGAAAACCTTCTACCGTAGTTATCGTTTGTCCGCTTCAGGGTATTGTTTATGATCAAATGGAAGAAGCATCTTCGATGGGATTGACGGCAGCTACGCTCACGGATTGTTGTTTGGAGGAAATTGAGTGCGGCAAATATAACCTCGTATTTGCGTCGGCAGAGGAGGTTTTGGCGAACCCATTTCTTTCCTTAATGAAAAAAGCAGCCACACCGTTTCACTAGAATATGTGTGCAATCATTGTGTGCAATCAAACGCAGTCAAACCAGAGGGGACAGAAAATTCTCACCTCATTCAAGAAAATTTTGTTCGAAAAACAAGCGAGCTCGTCCGGATTTACGCACCTCCAACATGCTTCCAGATTTCAAGTATTCGTCAAACTCAAGTGACACTAACTTGGTGATTCCTTTATTTAGTTCCGGCTCAATTTCTTCTTCTTTCTTCTCTCCATTGTTTGGTGTGAATGTTCTTCATCAATGTTTTCGTTTGGGAATCCTTGGGAATTCTCACAGTCACGTTTCTCGACTAATTCATGAACACGATTTTTACACCATCGTTTGGAAGATCTTCCACTATCAGTTGACTCAGCATCTCGTTTTCCTGTACGGAAGAAGTAGATGCTGTATTCGCTGTGATTTCGAAGGCGAGAGACTCTTTTGATCGCTTGGGAGGAACTTTCCCCGACGGAGTCTTCTCAACCGGGGAGCTAACACGTACAGATTTTAATTTCCTCCGCAGTGGACTAGCTTTATCTGGCGTGTTGAGATTTCCTTTGCTAGTTTTAACTGGAGAAGACGTCGTTGCAGTCGCGTTCTCGACAAAGTAGTACCACTGGCCTAAATTTCGAGTCCTACGGCCACATGGTTTGCAAACACGATTTGAAGATCTCGAGCTATCTTGCACCAAGGAAAATTCAACTTGACGAAAAATTTCGCTCAAAACAACCCCAAAGCACTCTTTCCGTTTCGAAGGTTTGAAAATGCGTTTTGATGAAGAGTGGCTTTGATTAGGGAGATTTCCCAAATGAATTTTGAGGAAAAGGAAACTTCGCAAAGCCTATAGTTGTCACTCGCTCTATTATGGGACATTACACAAAATGTGTTTGTTTTTGCCGGAAGTCATTGCCGAAGGTTTTTAAAGAAACTGATTTTTATTGGTTACCTGCCTATTCCGGAAATGCAATGAAGCGCAACTAATCAGGGGGTGTATGGAATTTTTAACAGCCTCTTCGGGCAGCTGCCTTTTCGCCCTTCCTCTGTCCCCTACCCCCACTGTCCACTTTAACTTCAAATCAAACATGGCCGTTCGGATAAACGATCGCGATAACGCTAGCTCGCTCCAGTAAGACGCTTACACTTCAGGCTATCACTGAAGTAGCATCATAGTTTCTTCGAAAGCGCACCCCCTTTGTTCGTTTGCAGTTTAGATTTCTGCCAAAAATTAACGGTTTTGCTCAAATTCAGTATCCTGCGAGCTAATCTCAAAACCAGATCCTACCGTTTCTAAACTGTAACTGAAATGTAAGTTAGAATCGCCTGGCCGTGAGAGGGTTTTGGTACGAGACTACCTCCAAGCAGATTTTCTCTGCCCGTGGGAAGACTTGAGACGAATCGGGGAGAGGTGTGCCAGAGGTCTGGCACCACTTGCAGACTTCTAGTTGAATACCCTTTAAGGAATGTAGAGAATTGGCTGCCATTGAACTGCTAATGAGGCAGCTAAGAATCATAAGAATAATACAGAGGCTTATGGGGGAGTCAGGTAAATTTTATCGTGACAACCAAAATCCTCCGACCCTCAATCCCCCCTTCCCCACCCGCTAAACACTGATAAACACTGGTCAGTCCGTAACTAAGCCACCTATTTTTTCAGAGTCTGTTTTAGAATTAACGAACATGAACGAGAAATTAAACGAGCTAGACAAATGAACTGTTACACGTATTAAGCGAATGGAGGTAATCAAGAAAAACTCATAATTAATTTATTTCCTTTTGACTTCCCATCTCAGCACCAGTCACAACCATCTGTTGAGATCTGAGGACTGTTTACTTGAACGTTGAATAACGGAAGGTGCTATCGTTGTTATCTTCAGTAAGGCTTGTGAGAAGTTGGCTTGCTAAATATCGCAAACCATTCACTATTTGTCTGAAATAGCGGCTTCTAGCGGATATCATGAGCAAATTGTTTTGTAACCAGTCTTCGAAGTTTTTTCCGATATTCACTGAACTTGAAGATCTTCGTTCGACTTGTATCGCCAACTGTGTCTTTAACATTTTTCTTAGTTACACCGCCTTCATGTTGAATATTGTGACAATCTACGCCATATACAAAACTTCAACAATGCCAAAAACTTTGAAAACTCTGCTGCTAAGTCTTGCCTGCTCGGATGTTGCTGTTGGTTTATTCAGTCAACCATTATACACTTTCTTTCTGATCAACTGGCTTCGACTTGACATTCCTGGCTGCAACACTCAACAAGTATGGACGATTTCAAGTAGATTATTTTCAGCTGCTTCTTTCCTTGGTGTTGTGGCTGTAAGTGTAGACAGGCTCTTCTTAGCCGTTCATCTTCATCTCAGATACCAGGAGCTTGTGACTCACATGCGTGTTGTTGCTGTGGTGGTCAGCATATGGGTGTACAGTGGATTTTATTCTTTGGTGATATTGTGGAGGCCTTTTAGTGCTTGGAACCTTATAAGAATAATTACTGCTGCTTTCGGTTTTATTATCACACTCGTGGTGTATATCAGGATATATCATACTGTACGACGGCACAAGAATCATATCCAGTCCATGCAAATACGAGACGAAGCTCAGTCTGAGGAGATGAAAAACTTAACAGTTCTCATTAAATCCACAGTTGGAATATTCTACGTATATCTCGTGTTGTTAATTTGTTATTTGCCTATTAACATTTGCACTGCTGTTATTCGCATGTATGGCTCGAGTATCGCTTTGAAGAAACTTTTTCTTTACTCTTTGACTGTCATGCATCTAAATTCATCTTTGAACCCTGTAATTTACTGCTGGAAGATGAAGCGCATTCGACGTGCTATCATAGACGTACTGCGAAGGATGTCTTGGATCAGCAATCGGCCATTTCGGATCAACTACAATCGATCATCGAGTGTCGTCCATATTGATAACTGATCCCCTCTACGTAGCTTACAAAGACTATGGGCGGTAATTGTATACGAGAAAGTGAAATGGGGACAAACAAGATTATACATAAACTTAGTGATATGACCCGGCAGCCAAATAATCCCATAGTTCCAATTTTAAGTACTCAATAAATCGAACAATCTGTATTGTGGAAGGGAAAGGCTAATTTGAGCAAGAAAGCTGGTTTTATCATCGATAGATAGTGAAATTGTAGTTATAGATGTAAATAAAAGTAGGACTTAATTCCTTTGAATGTGAAATTTTAAGAGACTCTCAAGCAAACAGGTAATAAGAATGACTCTTTCATTAGAAGTTAAAAGCTCTAAGCGATTCTACGATAAAACAGTGTAGCGTCGCATTGAGAGCGTCTCGTAATGCCCTTAAGAAGAAAAACAAACAGGAGTTAGCATTTATGAGGGAAGAAGAAATGGTTTTAATCATTGGCTGATGAGTGGATTCAAAACAACAATGGAATGGACGATATACTTGGAAATTAAACAAACGACGAAAAGCATCGAGTTTGCCTCAACACTTTGAGGTAAAAAATTAGTCAAAGCAGAATGCTGGGTATGAAAACAAAAGCAGAGGATGCTATAAAGTTATTGATTAGCCCGCAGATGTTTGCAGGTGGTCCTTGATAATAGTGGGAGTTTTGAGAACTTAAAATTAAGTATGTTTTTCCTTGTCATCTCCTTTCGCTTAGATGCAAATAACAGATAGGTTTTGACATCACTTTGACAATCGTTTTTAATTTCTGGACAAGTTAAGAGGCTGTCCGCGTAAGAACGTATAAGGCAAATTTCGGCCCTTCACCGATTTCCCTAAGATTTTCAGTGAAAGTCGATAATTCTATCCCATGTACAAATATCACATTTATTTTGATACTTTTTCATCCTTTTTCATTTTATATGAGACAATTTTAAAGGTCACCCCAAAACTTCCCAATTTGCCATCTGTAACCCCTATTATTAAGCTATAAATACCGAGCGCTATCAAATCCTTATTTCTCGATCTAAAAAGCTCATTATTTCACATATTTAAGAATGACTTTATTTCATTACTTTAAAGGTAAAATGATTGCATTCTATAAAATTTTTTTCGAGTTATGAAACTCTCAAAATACCTTATCATGAGCATTGAAATTTGTAAGGAGTGAGGTACATGCGGTTGAAAGCTATTTTCTCTTACGTGGGACCTGATCTAGAGTCAAGTCTATTGTAGCTTAAAAGTACTTAGAAAAAGCAAGTTAAACATAGAATAAAACTTTTGGGCACTCCTCATCCTGTACCGTAGAGAGCTTTGCGAATTTCATAAATATTCGCCATCTTGATTGAAACCAAGGATAAGGCGGTCCGACCTGCAGACAAGTTTCTAAAGCGTAACAGCCTAAAATACTTTGGAAGAAAGGTGCCGCAATGATTATCTGATGGAGTATCAAGATCGATATAATTCATCATTTTGGCCATTTTTTCACGAAATGGCTCAAATTTTCCGGAAAAATACTTCGTCAATAATTCCTATATGCAAATCAGCTTCATGCGTTCGTGTTATAATACGTGCCAAAAATAGTTTCCGACAACATTTAGCCGTTCAAAGAAGTGTTCCTATGAATGTGAAACTCATCTGTTGTATCCTTTCTTGAAAGCTTTACGTAAAATTTTAAGAGCCAATTCCTTTGAACACAATGCGCTAAGGGAATCCAGTTTGTTTTGACAACAAAGTTGTTAATTTCCCGCAAGCGTTTTTATCTTATGCATAATCTTTTCAGACCTCTTTTGCCGTTTTTCTTCAGGAAAAAAATTCACCCTTACTTGGGGAAAATTTCGTCTCACTATTTGTGAAAGTTGTTTAGATTGTGACCAAGTTGGTTCGCATGATTAACGCGGTGGAGTTTTTTCAGCGTGACTGTGGACTGCTGTAAACTAGGCTAGTCACGCAATACCAACATTACAAGATTGTCTCACGGCTGGAGAACTCAAATTAAGGAAACATTTAGTTCGGCAGTTTTATCATGATATGTTGATGTTTCTCTATCGAGAGTATGAAAATATCCCCAGAAGAAATTGAGAAATTATGCAACTGATAGAAATTGGTATATTTAATTTAATAAACGTTTCCAAAAGTAGGTAAGCGAATTTAGCAACTTAAGTTAAAGGCATAAATCATTGAGAAAATTTCGAGGAGGCAATAGAAAAAGTCGCTTTTGTAAATGCTCGTACATGCTGTAGAGTGAGGGTCAACATGACCCATGGTCACGGTAGGCTGTCGTTTGAGTAAACAGGGACTGGAGATACAAAATTGTATTTAGACTCAATGATATGTCTCAATGGCCAAAATTACTGCGCACTTCAATTTTTTTAATGAAATAATGTATGTGGGAATTGCAGGAGCAAAGACGGAGAGATTAAATTGAGTAGTAAAGCTGGTTTTACTTTAGTGAAATGTTGTAGTTATGAAGGTGCTTAAAGAGGAGGGAAATTGGAGACATGATATTATGTGCACCAAAGTTTTTGTCTTATCTTTAACATCAAAATAGAAAGTCGATGAGAGAGAGGAAAAAGACGAAATTACGAGCCTGATCGAAGACCTTAACTTTGAGTGAGGGTTTTGTCACTCGTTGTTCGTTTAACTCATGAATGCAATTTTTTTTGGTTGCATTCACACCTTGGGGCCGTAAAGGAACCTCTCCGTTTTGTAGATAATAACAGTCGATTCTCCTAAGCAGCAGTTTTCATATGCACTTGAAAAAAAAAAGCGATAAATTTGAAAGAACATCATCAACATGGATCCCAACCTAGACTCTTTTTTTCAAACAACACAAGCCTTTTATAAAGATAATAACAAGCCGCTGGGACTCAGGAAAGGGTGACCACGACTGCTTAACAGAGGTGACCGCTTAAAACTGGTGGAAATTAAAATAACTAAGAGGTAACAATTTCAGGACTCTAAATACAGGGTGACCGCTGATATGGTGCTGCTTCATACAGGTGCCACTGTATTTCTTTCTGACTCCTTGTAAATCGTCACGACAAGCTGTTTATACTTGCAAATTAATTCTTTGTTCCTACCGATCAGTATTTTGACAATTTTTTCTTTACTTAGTTCCTTCTTATTTATACTTTTGGCCAAGAGATTGTAAACAGTTAATAGTCTCTTGTTTTGGTCAAATCGAGAAATTAGATTCCCGCGAAATTAAAAACCACGAAAGCAAGTATTGAATGATTTATTATAGTCGAAGTTAAATGTCATATTATCTGTCAAAAGAAACTTCTAACGATTTTTTTACGAGGTTTGTTTTCAAATAGATTCATTAAACAAAAATCAGCCATCTTGAGTAATTTACAATCGTTCTTCAAGTGCCGTTCCACTGGCAGACTACTTTATGTGTTCGGGGTTAATTATTGCTGACATGAGACGAACAAAATCTTTGAGGGTTATGAATAAAGTTCTGAAAATTGCCGGTATATCTAAGTTACATCTCGGCTTAGACACGGGTAACTCTCAGGTTTTTGTGTTATAAAAGTTTTCTGATCAACTGGCTTCGACTAGACAATCCTAGCTGTAACGCGAAACAAGTGTGAACGATTTCAAATAGTTTATTTTCAGGTGCTTCGTTCTTTGGTGTTGTGGCTGTAAGTGAAGACAGGCTTTTAGCTGTTCATCTTCATCTCAGATACCAGGAGCTTGTGACTCACAGGCGTGTTGTTATTGTTGTAATTGGCATACGGGTGTATAGTGCATTTGTTTCTTTAATGATATTGTGGGAGCTTCTCAGTACTCGGGATCTTATACGTACAATAAGTGCTGTTTTTGTTTTTATTATCACACTCGTGGTGTACATCAGGATATATCAAACTGTACGACGGCACAAGAATCACATTCAGTCCATGCAAATACGAAACGAAGCTTAGTGTGAGGAGATAAAAAATTTTACTACCCTCATAAGATCCACAGTTGGCATATTCTACGTATATCTCGTGTTTTTAATTTGTTATTTGCCCCTTTTCATTTGCATGGCTGTTATTCAAATCTATGGCTCGAGTATCGTTTTAAAGAAACTTTTTTTTTACTCATTGACTCTCGTTCATCTAAATTCATCTTTGAACCTTGTAATTTACTGCTGGAAGATGAGACACGACACGCTATCATAGACATACTATGAAAGATGTCTTGGATTAGCAATCAGCCATTTCGGATCCACTACAATCGGTCATCGAGTTTTGTCCATATTGACAACTGATCTCCTTTGTGTGGCTTATAAAGACTATGCACGGCCGTAATTGTTTATGACAAAGTGAAATGGCGACAAGCAAGATTGTACATAAACTAAGTGATAAGACCCGGTAGCCAAATAATTGCGTAGTCCCAATTTTAAGTACACAATAAATCGAATAATCTCTGGTGTGGAAGGGAAGGAGCTAATTTTGGCAAGAAAGCTGGTTTTGTCATCGATAGATGGTGATATTGTAATTATGGATGCAAAGGAGCTAGTATTTACGAGGGAAGACAAAAATCGAGGTTAATCATTAACTAATGAGAGGAATCAAAACAAAAATGGATTGATCGATATACTTAAGAATTAAACAAACAACGAAATGCATCGAGTTTGTCTTAACACTTTTGAGGTAAAAACTTAGTCGAAGAAGAATGCTGCATATGAAAACGAAAACAGAGGTGGCAAAAGAGTTATTGATTAGCCCGCACATGTTTGCAGGTTGTTCTTGATAATACCGTGAGTTTTGCCGGAAAACTTAAAATTAAGTATGTTTTTCCTTGTTATCTCCTCTCCAAAGTCAGGCAAAATTTACTTGCTAGCGACTATGAAATACACATGGTGTACCTACTTGTCGCCACCGTTCATTGGCATATCGAGGCATAAATCACTCAATTTGTAAAAAAATCCCCTAAGCATAACACTCTTACGTTGTTTATTTACGAATTTGTAAGACCAATAAGCTGTTTCGGTTATTATATTACGCTTGAGGGGGAGGAGGGGGGGGGGGGGGGGAGAGGAGGCAATTGGAAATGGGTGAGGATACTTGTAGTACCTTTCAGGGGTCAAAATCAGTGATCTGGTACCTTTTACGGCGTCTCAAACTTTAGTGGACTACCAGAGACCTAGCTAGTACCTTTTGAGGTGTTTTTCGCTCAATACAATAACTGAAATAAGCATTACTAGGACAGTTTTAATGATCTGACTTGATCCTCTGGAGCACATCGATAAAAGAGTTCTTATTTTGGGGATTTTTCAATTTTTTTGTGTTTAAATTGGTACTTTTTAGGGGTAGACATTAGTTGTTGCCACTCCTACACGGATAAGACTCATGTACCTTTCATGATTTTATAGGGGTCATTTTCGAAATTCCCAGCGCGCATCCTCGCCCTCTTATGTATAGGGGTTCCCCGGGGGTTGCTGATAAGTACAGTGCACTTGAAATTTAGCAAGGACAAATTTTGATGTGATTTTCGGTGAAGAGAAAAAAGTTTCGTCAGCGTCTTGTAGTTACTGCGGAAGGGCCCTTTACCACTGTGTGCTTAATTACACGTCCCGCCAAACGGCGGGAATCCTACAAAGTGCTCAGACATTAGTATAGAAAACTCTGCCTCTGTCTGGATTTTTGGTAGCCTATTGACTAATTCCCAATCGAGGCCTTTTGCACAAGGTGTTAAGTAGCCAGGTTATATGAATTTTCCAGACGTCTTGCGTACTATCTGTAGTACACGCTTGCCAATTACCCAGTAGGCTTTTGGAATCGACTTAACCCTACCTTTACCATGGCCGTACACTTCTTTAGGCAATCTACATCTACTAATGGAACCACGAAAGCACCCAACACCGGTACCGAGATTTGATCTATGAGTGGGGCAAATTGTAAAATCATCGATATCTTTTGGCGTCTCGAAGATGCCGGCTAGCGACTAAATAAGATCAACTTCAGTTTCTGGATCTCCGCAAGTAACTTGAAGTGTTTTTTTTACAACTACGCAAGGGAACGACCTGAGATATGCAACGTCGGTCTTCTCGATAACTATACCCAAAAGTCCCACCAGCAGACGATTTAAATGAACAGCAAATCTCCTTGTTAGCATGTAAGATGAGACGCATATACAGCAGATCAATTAGCTAAATCAGTATGTAGCTTGTCAATCGAATTGACTTTTGCAAACATTCTCTGACTTCCGCCGGCAAAAGAATCATTGATGGATCTGGACATTTTAGTTTTCTGAATGCAGTAATTCTTGGATGGCTTTTATAGATATGAAAGGAGGGAAAAAAAACCCATCTCTTGGTAATTCGGAGCTTGATTCATCTTTGAATTTTTATGTGTCACGTTGTCACGCAACTGATATAATAATGTGGAGAAGATTTACAAACTGCAAATTAGATCTGGCTAAAATGTGGTAGAGGATGACTTGATCATCGAAACAGCCAATAAAATCCTAAATAAACAAGATAAGAGTGTCATGTTAGATTTCTTTTCAAACTGTAGTGATTTATGCCAATAAACAGAGGCGACAAGTAGGTACACCATGTATATTTCATAGTCGCTAGCAAGTATATTATGCTGGACTTTGAGTTCGTCTCACGATAGAAAAACACAAATACACAAGGAAATTTTTACAGTAACTTTAGAACCATCCTTTTGTCTTTTTAAAGCTAGAAGCTCAGTAGATTCTGTCATATCGGTCATTGTTAAAACTGTCTTTGTTTTGATGCTACTTTTCGACATAGAAAAAGTATGTCGGACAAAAATATTCACGAAAAAATAAATATTTCTTTGCCAGCTTCAATAATGACAGGGATTAAGTTTAGATGATAAAACAAAGGATTATGCCAACAGAAATACCGGAGGTCGAGTAAATTCGTTACATGAGGTCACACAATTCGGGTAATATTCACGGTGAAAATTTGCATATTGCTTCGTTTAAAATTTTTTCTAATATAATCGCCTCACTCGAAGCCATGGCCGAGAAAAAGCGCAAAGGTGGAAGATGCTGGCAAAAAAATGAACGAAATTAAAAAAAATACCTTGTTGATTAGGATTTGAATCTACCGGTTTCTAAAGAACCTCGAGTCGCCTGTTTTCACGTCGTTCACAGATCGAGCAGGCGGCTGTCCCCCTGTTCGCACTTGCGCAGTAGCGTTCCCAAGGAAAACTTTAGTTCCGGTAGCCGTCGTTCACTCAAGCCATCCTTAATCTTAAGGTTCTTAATTATATTATTTGCGTTTAACTTCCCATCTCAGCATCGACTGCAAACATCTGCCGAGATCTGAGGACCCTTTACTTGAACGTTCAATGACGGAGGGTACCATCGTTGTTATCCCCAGTAAGTCTTGAGAGAAGTTGGCCTGCTAAAATATCGCAACCTATTCAGTATTTTTCTGAAATAGCGGCTCCAACCTTTTGTAAGTAAACGACAATCATAAGCAAATTGTATTGTCACCAGTCTTCGCAATTTTTGCCCATATTCACCGAACTTGAAGATCTTAGTTCGACTTTTATCGCCAACTGTGTCTTTAACATTTTTCATATTTACACCGCCTTCATGTTGAATATTCTGACATTCTACGCCATACACAAAACTTCAATGATGCCAAAAACTTTGAAAACTCTGCTGCTAAGTCTTGCTTGCTCGGATGTTGCTGTTGGTTTGTTTAGTCAACCACCATACACTTTCTTTCTTATCAACTGGCTTCGACTACGCAATCCTGACTATAACACTCAACAAGTGCGGACGATCTTCAGTGGTATATTTTCAGCTGCCTCGTTCCTTGGTGTTGTGATTGTAAGTGTAGACAGGTTCTTAGCCGTTCATCTTCATCTCAGATACCAGGAGCTTGTGACTCACATGCGTATTGTTCTCTTGGTGATCAGCATATGGCTGTACAGTACATTTGTTACTTTGATGAAATTGTGGGGGCCTTTAAGTGCTCAGGATCTTATAAGTGTAATTACGGCTGCTTTCGGTTTTATCATCACCCTTGTGGTGTACATCAGGATATTTTTAACTATACAACGGCACAAGAATGAGATTCAGTCCATGCAAATACGGAATGAAGCTCAGTCTGAGGAAATAAAAAACTTTACTCTTCTCATTAAATCCATAGTTGGCATATTCTGTGTATTTATGTGTATCTTGTGTTTTTAATTTGTAATTTGCCCTATTTCATTTGCATGGCTGTTATTCGAATCTGTGGCTCAAGTATCGTTTTAAAAAATTTGTATCTTTTCTCCTTGACTCTCATGTATCTCAATTCATCTTTGAACCCTATAATTTACTGCTGGAAGATGAGACACATTCAACACGCTATCATGGACATACTACGAAAGGTGTCTTGGGAGGGTAATCGGCCATTTCGGATTCAATACAATCGGTCATCAAATGTCGTCCATATCGATAACTGATCCCCCCTGTGTGGCTTACAAAGACTGCGCGCAGTAATTGTCTACGACAAAGTAAATAAGGACATACAAGATTGTATAACAAATTAATGATAAGACCCGGCAGCCAAATTATTGCGTAGTTCCAATTTTAAGTACGTAATAAGTCCAGTGGTCTCTAGTTTGGAAGGGCAGAGGCTACTTTAAGCTAGAAAGCTAATTTTGTCATCGATGGATAATGAAATTGTAATTATGGATGCAAATAAGAGTAGGATACCACATATGCTTTCATTCATATTATGATTTATATCGCTCTTAATTTCAAGTCAGAATTAAAAACCATTAACGGTGGTTACGGTCTTGAGCTTCGGAAAAGTTTATTCTTTGGCTTGTAAATTTTGCCCATGACTGCCAACTGTTTCGGCAAATCTCTTAAAACTAGCACTGAGAAGTATTTTTTCCTTGTTATCTCCTTTCGCTTAGATGCAAATAACAGATAGGTTTTGGAATCAATTTGATAATCCTTTTTAATTTCCAGACAAGTTAATGGGTCAATAAAGTCAAATGTGTTGAAAGAATTAGTCTCATAACGAAAGTGTCGAAAAGTTTATTGGTACAGATAATCGACGGCTTAAATTTCGGGCATATCTATGATTGAGTGTCTTCCACATCAATAACTGAAATCTTCTGTGTGGCTAACAAGCGCTTTGTGCGGTTTGCTGTCGATAGAGTAAGCAGGAATAATGTGTGAAGGAATTGCAGTCGGAAAGACGGAGAGATTAAATTTTAAAGTTGTTATTATGAAGGTTCTCGAAGAGGAAGGAAATAGGAGACATGATATTATGTGCATCAAGGTCTTCGTCGTCTCTTTAAAGTCAAAATAGAAAATCGATGAGAAAAAAAAACAATAAAATGAAAGAACAGAATCAACATGGATCTCAACATAGACATGTAAAAGCAACAACAAGCCGTTGGGACTCAGGAAAAGGGTGACCGCCACTGCTTAACCCTTGACACCCTTAATTGAATAAAATATAAAAAAGCGCATTCCAGGTCTCATTTATGAAGAAACTCGCGGAGTTCTCACAGGTTTTCTCGAAAACGTGATATGCGACGCGGTGACATCTACTGAACACGCCAAGCGCAAGACGGTGACCGGATGAACGTTTTATACGCGCTGAACAACAATGACGCATGCTGTACGGCTTTAGAGGCCGAAGAATGAAGAACTAACACGACTTAGAAACTTTAGAGTTAGCAAGCATGTGAAAGAAAGATAATGTCGTGTACCTGTCTTTTTGATGTAGCCTATTTTTTGTAGCTGTAGCAAGACTTAATGCATACACAGAATGCAACGAGAATTAAATTGCTTCTTTCGTTTCTACATTTGTTTGTAGTCCATGTTCATTTTACCGCGCCTCATCTGTATGAGAGAGACTAAGGAGAGGCTAGGGTGGCGTTCGCCTTTGAAGTGCAAATATGTAGCGTGTAAACCTCAGGGAACCATGTTTAGAATATTGAAACACAAATTTAAGAAATAACAAAACCAGTCTTATCCACACGGGCATCGGGAAAGTAGGTAACACCATAAGTAGCGAACGAGAACCCGAAACAAGAACAGGCGGACTGTCAAAAGCACGGAAATGCCCGAGTGATGCCTTTTGAGACATTCACTCTGACGAAACGCAAACGGTCGAAACCTCAGTTTTAGAAAATCTCCTCAGTGTTTAATTTACGTTATCAACTCGGATAAAATCAAATTGTCTCGTAATACCCTCACCGAAGTAGCATCACAGTTTCCTCCGAAACGCGCCCCCTTTGTTCATTTTCAGTTTAGATTTCTGCCAAAAACTGAACGGTTTCGTTCCAATTCAGTTGCCTGTGGACTACTATAATCTCGTATTCAGATCTTACCGTTTATCTGTAAGGGAAATGTAGGTTCCAACCGCTTGGCCGTGAAAGGGGTGGGTAGGAAACTATCTACGAGCATACCATCTCTGCCCGTGAGAAGGCTTGAGACGAATCGGGGAGAGGTTTGCCGGGGATCTGGCACTACCTGCAGACCTCTCGCTGACTACTCTACAGAGGACAATAGAGAATTGGCTGCCATTGAACTGCCAATAAGGTAGCTAAGGATTATAAGAATATTACAGAGGCGTATTGGGGAGGCAGATAAATTTTATCGTGACAACCAAAATCCTCCGACTCCCAACTCTCGTCCTGCGAAAAACAATGATCAGTCCGTCATTAAGCCACTAATTTTTTCAGTGTTTGTTTTAAAGTTATAGAACATGAATGTAAAATCCAACGAGCTGTACAAACGCACTGTTACACGTGTTAAGCGAATGGTGGTAATCAAGGAAAACTGATAATCAAATTATTTTCTTTTAACTTCCTATCTCAGCACCGGCCGCAACCATCTGCCGAGATCCAAGGACTGTTTACTTCAACGTTGAATGACGGAGGGTACTATCGTTGTTATCCTCAGTAAGGCTTGTAAGAAGTTGACCTACTAAAATATCGCAAACCATTCAGTATTTGTCTGAAATAGCGGCTCCAAGCGAAAATCATGAACAAATCGTATTGTAACCAGTTTTCGCAATTTTTGCCCATATTCACCGAACTTCAAGATCTTCGTTCGACTTGTGTCGCCAACTGCGTCTTTAACATTTTTCTTAGTTACACCGCCTTCATGTTGAATATTGTGACAATCTACGCCATACACAAAACTTCGACAATGCCAAAAGCCTTGAAAACTCTGCTGCTAAGTCTTGCCTGCTCGGATGTTGCTGTTGGTTTTTTCAGTCAACCATTATACTCTTTCTTCTTTATCAACTGGCTTCGATTAGAAAATCCTGGCTGTAACACTAAACAAGTGTGGACGATTTCAAGTAGTTTATTTTCAGTTGCTTCTTTCCTTGGTGTTGTGGCTGTAAGTGTAGACAGGTTCTTAGCCGTTCATCTTCATCTCAGATACCAGGAGATTGTGACTCACAGGCGTGTTGCCATCGTTGCGATTGGCATATGGGTGTATAGTGCAATTAGTTCTTTGATGATATTGTGGGGGCTTCGTAGTACTCGGGATCTTATAAATACAATTATTGGAGCTTTCGGTTTCGTTATTACATTTGTGGTGTACATCAAGATATACTTAACTGTCCGACGGCACAAGAATCACATTCAGTTCATGCAAATACGAGATGAAGCTCAGTCTGAGCAGATAAAAAACTTCACTGCTCTCATTAAATCCACAGTTGGCATATTATACGTTTATCTCGTGTTTTTAATTTGTTATTTGCCCTGCCTCATTTGCATCGCTGTTATTCTAATCTATGGCTTGAGTATCGCTTCAAAGAAACTTTTTCTGTACTCGTTGACTCTCGTGTTCCTGAATTCATCTTTGAACCCTGTCATTTACTGCTGGAAAATTAAACACATTCGACACGCTATCATAGACATACTGCGAAAGATGTCTTGGATCAGCAATCAGCCATTACGGATCCACTACAATCGGTCATCGAGTGTCGTCCATATTGATAACTGATCCCCTCTGTGTGGCTTACAAAGACTATGCGCAGTAATTCTTTACGACAAAGTAAAATAGGGGCAAACAAGATTGTACATAAACTTATTAATATGACCCGGCAGCCAAATAATCGCGTAGTTCCAATTTCAAGTACACAATAAATCGAACAATCTGTAGTGTGACAGCGAAAGGCTAATTTGAGCAAGAAAGCTGGTTTTTTCATCGATGGATAGTGAAATTGTAATTATGGATGTAAATAAAAGTAGGATACGACACAAAATTTTATTTACATCAAGGTTTCCGTCGCACAAAATACTCAAACCCAAATTACCCTGTAGTAGTGGAAATGAATTTCTTCCTTTTAATATGCAGTCAACTATTTGACTTCCCTTAATGTGTAATTTGAAGAAATTCTCAAGCAAACAGGTAATAAGAATGACATAGATGATCAATTTGGGGGCAAGGTATTGATTCTCAGATTCTTAAGATTCTCAGGACTAAACAACAAATGAAAATAAGGTATGATCATGAGTGAAGGGAATAAACTTCCAGCTCTTTCATTAGAAGTTAAAAACTTCAATTGATCCTATGATAAAAAGGTATAGCGTCACATTGAGAGTGTCTCGTAATGCCCCCAGGAAGAAAAACAAACAGGAGCTAGTATTTACGAGGAAAGGAGAGTCGATGTTAATCATTAGCTAGTGAGTGGATTGAAAACGAAAACGGATTGGTCAATATCCTTGAAAATTAAACAAAGAACAAAAAGCATCGAGTTTGTCCTAACACTTTTGAGGTGAAAACGTAGTCGAAGTAGAATGCTGCATATGAAAAGCAAAACAGAGGTGGCTTTAGAGTTATTGATTACCCTGGAGATGTTTGCAGGTGGTTCTTGATAATAATGGGAGTTTTGAGAACTTGAAATTAAGTTTGTTATTTCTTTTGTTTATATGCAAACAACAGATAGGTTTTGGAATCAATATGAGAATTCTTTGTAATTTCTAGACAAGTTAATGGGTCAATAAAATGAGATGTATTGAAAACAAAGTCTCGAAATTAAGGTCTTCAAAAGTTTGTTTATTCAGATAATCGACGGCTTAAATTTTTGGGCTCATCTATGATGATTACGTGGCAACTTGAAAATGCCTTTCAAAATCTCGGAGAATATTTCTAAAGCCTCGATTTCTCCTGGTTTTCAGGGGCAACAGAGTGGGGATCAGTCGTCGCCAAGAGAGTTTCGGGGGGGCTAAAGAGACTTACCTTGGAGGATATTTGTAACAGCGTCGCTTTTCAGCTTTCTTAAAAACTAACAAGGCGACAAGGCAGGAGGGGGTAATAAGAAAATAACAGTCTTATGGGAGATAATGTTGTCAGTTTTTATCTTGACACAACCAAAATCCTTCTTAGGAAATAAATAAAACATCAAAAAGCCTTCGAGATGAAAACAATACATTCTGAACAATAAGCAATGTCTGGTTTAATTATCTTAACCTACGATAAGTTAAGGAACTTTTGGTATCATCGATTTTCTAACACTGACCTCGCTTTTCCTGAATGAGTTTTCGTAGTAATCGTTGCTCTTAGAAGTAAATGCGTATAATCTGAGTTTCTACAGCAGAAAGCCATTAAAAAATAATTCATCTGTCATTTATCCTCCTTAGAGGCTGGTCACTATTTATCGCATGTGGTGGGAGGGGGTGTTAGAGGATCTTGATCGAGTCACAACAATCTTTACACAGCCCCCCCTACATAAGACTCAATAAGATTTCTACGACCCCTCCCTCTCTTGTTGACAGTTAATTGGCGGTCAATTTACTATAGTCCTCTACTAATACTCTGTTGGCGACGAGTGAAACCCCCCTCCGCTTTTCCTTAACCCTTTAACTCCCAAGATCTGATTGTTAATTCTCCCCTCTACCTGCTGCACATTTCCTTGTAAATAATTTTCAAGAATTTAACGTTAGATCAAGGTAACAACTTCTACCTGATAAGTTTAAGTATTCTCATTACCTGTTCGCTGGATAATGTCTGATTATTTTAAATAGAAATCAGTTTAAAATCATTCCTGGGAGTTAAAAGGTTAAAGCCAAGAGAAATCGACGCTGTTACAAATAATCTCCGAGATTTTTAAAGACATCTTCAAATCATTACGTAATCACTATGGATAAGCCCGAAATTTGAGCCGTCGATTACCTCTCAACAAAAGCTTTCAAGCACTTTTATTACGAGACTAATAACATACATGGAAAAATTACTCAGTTCTGATTGGTTAAGATAAATGCAGTTTTCAGGTAATTGAGTGCTGAAGAGAGTTAATTCAGTGCAGAAGAGGGTTAATTCGGTGCAAAGAAAGAAACAAATCAGACATTCTGATTGGTCAATAATCAAAGAAACTCACAGAGAGCCAATCAAATACGAGCCTTGGATGTCGCAACAAAATTTGAAAATTTGAAAATTTGCGAGCGAAACAATGGCCGGCGTTTTAAGTAGGTTTTCTTTCGCCACCGCTGCTGAAAGACAGCTTAAATAACGAAAACATTGTAAAAAGCACTGCTTTTTGGTTGTCCGTTTGGAAAAAGTGGTGTTTAGAGAAGGGAATTGCCGAGGAAATCGAAAATTACGAGCCGATCCAGCTTAACACTTTTCTCAAGCGATCCAACGCCGAAATTTAAAACAAACATGGTTAAACCTCGGAAACGACGATTCCATTTCATCGAAAGTGATTCGGACACGGACTGAACAATTCCTTGAACTGTTAGCCGGACTTCGATTTTTTTTGCACCTTAAAGATATGAAGATATCATTGCATATTATTGTTTTGATCGTACGCACGGTTTGAATAATTTATTTTTTGCACTTGATGCACGCGCTTTGCTTATGTTTAATTATGATAGACCATCTCGTATTTTCCATGTATATTATTAACACGTAATCACATGATTTTTCTTGTGCAATTTGGAATAAACAAGCACTTGTTAATTTTTCCAAAGACCACAAATTGCACTCGCCCTACGGGCTCGTGCAATTTTGTTAGTCTTTGAAAAAATTTACTCGTGCTTATTTATTCCGAATTGCACTCGAAATCATGTGAATACCTATCCTATTTTTTTTTGACCACATTTTACAGAACTGACCCATTTACTTGTCTAGAAATTGGAAAGAATTGTTAAAATATTTCAAAAACCTAATTGTTATTGCGTCTAAGCAAAAGGAGATTTGGTTAAGCTCATAAAATTCCCGCTTAGCTTGTATTATGAAACATCTCCGGGCTAATCAATAATTTTACAGCCACCTCTGTGCTTCTTGCTGTTTGTTTAGTTTTCAAGTATATCGATCGATCTATTTTCGTTTTCCATCCACTCGATAGCCAATGATAAACAACAATTTTCCTTCCCTCTTAAATACTTGCTCCTGGTTTCCTCTCATCCTGAGACCCCAAATGTGACGCTATACCATTTTATCGTGGGATCATTCAAAGCTTTTAACTTCTAATAAAAGAACTGGAAGTTTATTCCCTTCACTCATGATCATACCTTATATTTATTTGTTGTTTATTCGTGACCATCTTAATATCAATACCATGTTCCTAAATTCTCATTACCAGCTTGCTTTAAACTTTCTTTAAATTACACATTAACGGGGGAGTTAAAGAGTTGACTGTTTATTAATATGAGCACCGTATACTACTCCAACACGCTATTTTTAGCCACTTAATTTATGTGCACCTTCAATCTTTCTCCAAATTATTATAAACCACGAAAGAACTGTATCTCGATCAGCATGGTCAGGCGGTAAAATTCAGTCATTTTTAAAAGATAAAAGTTATATGTCATATCATCGGAAAAAGTGAATTAGGGAAAACGCTGTAATTGCATGGTCACAACAAGTTACTCAAAAGCTATTATCGTTTTGTTTTGTTTTTTCCTATTTTCCACACAAGCCTAGTTAATCGTCAGGCTTGTGCAAACGAAAGCAATAAAAATGAAAATCTTTTTAATTGCAAATAGTTCGCATTGTCACAATGATGTTAGCAACAAATGTCACCCTTCAAAGTGAAAAGTCGTAAATTGAAAGAGAAATACTGCAGGATGTCTGCTTGCAACGTGATCCATTCATTAAAATTAGCACAAACAGATGCTTTCTAACTGTATGCCCGTGAAAGTGTGTTCTCATTAAGGCGAGCGAAATTTTTCTTCGCGGACTTCTTCACTCCTTCTTAGGGTAATGCTTCAAAGGTTTCCTCGTAAACGTGATACACGACGCGGTGACATACACAGAACACGCCAAGCGCAAGACGGCGACCGCCATGGACGTTTTATACGTGCTGAAACGACAAGGACGCACGCAGTACGGCTTTGGAGCCTGAAGAATGAAGAACTGACATGACGGAGAAACTTTAGAGCTAGCAAGCGTGTTAAAGGAAATACTGAAATTTTTATGATAGCCTTCAGCAGGACTGCAAGCTCATAATTATGTTTTACTTTTGCGTACATTATTCATTTTCTCGTTTGAAATTAAAACAATGCACAATGTAACGTCTCCATTATTTCCCCAAATGATGCCTGCTTAATTTTCAAGATTGAGACATTTTGTCCCACAAACTGTATTTCTTAACATATATCTAACCGTTATTCAACCTTGCTTGTCTTATGGGAATGCAGTCTGAGGCCAAAGTGCCCAATCAAATTTGGAAAAGGTGTTGATTTTTCAAAACGTGCCCTCCACATAATATTTTTCAAACCCTCTAGATTGTATGCTGTACCTTCGTTCAACATGTCAAACATTCTTCCGTTTCAAAACAATCTGTTCTTTTATGCATGATTTCGTCGACAATCTAACGCCTCCTAACGTTTCAGAATTATTTAGTTATTCTTCAGAAAAACACCACTACTGTATAAGGTCCACAGCGGCTTTCCCTCTTGCCTCGATTAGCTTCGCTATTCTGCGGGTAGGGATTGTTAGATATGTATTTTTATTGCTAAAATAAATAAATATTGTTGTTTAAAAAAAATGTTGTTCTTTTGTATCTGTGCAGTTGATTTTGCCTATTTTTTAGTAGCTGTAGCATTCGTTTGTAGTCCATGTTGATTTTACCGCGCTTCATCTGTACCTATGGGGGAGCTAAGGCGAGGTTAGAGTGGTCTTCGCCTTTGAAGTACAAATTGTAGCGTGTGGAACCTCAGGGAACCATTTTTAGAATATTCATCCATAAATTTTCGAATAAAGCAGGTTCCACATGAGTGTCGAAAGAACAAAACCAGTCTTATCCACACGGGCGTTCGGAACAGTGGTTAACATTATAATTAGAGAATGAGAACCCGACACAAGAACAGGCGGACTGTCAAAAGCACGAAGTAGCCCGAGTGTTGCTTTTTCAGCCATTAAGTCCGACAAAACGCTGACGGTCGAAACGTCAGTTTCAGAAACTCTCCTCAGTGTCCAATTTACATTATCAACTCAGTTAGTATCAAATTGTCTCGTAATAGCCCCACCGAATTAGCATCACAGTTCTTCGAAAACGTACCCCCTTTGTTCATTTGCAGTTTAGATTTCTGCCAAACTTAACGGTTTCGCTCAAATTCGGTAGTTAATATAATCTCGTGCCCAGATTCTACCCTTTTACAGTAACGGAAATGTAATTTAAAACCGCTTGGCCGTGAAAGGGGTGGGCACGGGACTACCTACGAGCAGACCTTTTAATTTTATTTCCGGTAGCCGTCGTCCACTCAAACCGTCCTCAATCTTAAGGTCCTTAACTAATTTATTTTCTTTTAACTTCCCATCTCAGCAGCGGCCGCCGCCATCTGTCAAAATCTGAGGACTGTTTAATTGAACGTTAAATGACGAAGGGTACTATCGTTGTTATCTAGTAGGTCAGGCCTTACACAGTAAGGCTTGTGTCGCTCAGAAATTGGCTTGCTAAAATATCGCAAACCATTCAGTGTTTGTCTGAAATAGTGGCTCTAACCTTTTATAAGTGAGCGAAAATCATGAGCAAATTGTTTTGTAACCAGTCTTCGCAATTTTTTCTCGTATTTACCGAACTTCAAGATCTTCGTTCGACTTGTATCGCCAACTGTATCTTTAATATTTTTTTTACTTACACCGCCTTCATGTTGAATATTGTGACATTCTACGCCATACACAAAACTTCAACAATGCCAAACACTTTGAAAACTCTGCTGCTAAGTCTTGCCTGCTCGGATGTTGCTGTTGGTTTGTTTAGTCAACCATTTTACGCTTTCTTTCTTATCAATTGGCTTCGACTAGAGAATCCTAGCTGTAACTATCAACAAGTGTGGGTTATTTCAAGTACTTTATTCACAACTGCTTCGTTCCTTGGTGTTGTGGCTGTAAGTGTAGACAGGTTCTTAGCTGTTCATCTTCATCTCAGATATCAAGAGCTTGTGACTCACAGGCGTGTTGTTGTTGTGGTGGTCAGCATATGGGTGTACAGTGCATTTGTTTCTTTGATGATATCGTGGGAGACTTTTAGTACTCGGGAACTTATAAATACAATTATTGCAGCTTTGGGTTTCATTATCACATTTGTGGTGTACATCAGGATATATCAAACTGTTCGACGGCACAAGAATCAGATTCAGTCCATACAAATACGAGATGAAGCTCAGTCTGAGGAGATAAAAAACTTCACTGTTCTCATGAAATCCACAGTTGGAGTAGTCTACGTATATCTCGTGTTTTTAATTTGTTATTTGCCCTATCTCATTTGCATGGCTGTTATTCGAATCTATGGCTCAAGTATCGCCTTAAAGAAACTTTTTCTTTACTCGGTGACTCTCATGTACCTGAATTCATCTTTGAACTCTGTTATTTACTGCTGGAAGATGAAACAAATTCGACACGCTATCATGGAGATACTGCGAAAGGCGTCTTGGATCAGCAATCGGCCATTACGGATCAACTACAATCGGTCATCGAGTGTCGTGCATATCTATAACTGATGCCTTCTGTGTGGTTTATAAAAACACTACGCAGAATAGTTGTTTGCGACAAAGTGAAATAGGGACAAACAAGATTGTACATAAACGTAGTGATATGACCCAGCAGTCAATTTATCGCTTAGTTTCAATTTTGACTACTCAATAAATCGAATAATCTGTAGTGTGGAGGAGAAGGGTTAATTTGAGCAGGAAAGCTGGTTTTGTCATCGATGGATAGTGAAATTGTAATTATGGATGTAAATAAAAGTAGGATACAACAAAAGATTTTATTCACATCAAGGTTTCCGTCGTTCTTAGTTTCAAATCAGAATTGAAAACCAATAGGGATGATTGCGGACTTAAGCTTCGGAAAAGTTTCTTCTTTGGCTTGGAATTAAATCAGTTCTGTCCATGACTGCCAACTGTTTCGCCAAATCTCTTGAAATTAACATCGACAACTAAATGACATGCTAGTTTCCAAAAAAAAAGGAAACTCATGTCATCCGTCCTTCTGCCGCAAAACCAGAATTCCCAAGTTAATCTGTAATAGTGGTAAACAAACTTCTTCCTTTAAATAAACAGTCAACGCTATGACTACCTGTGATGTGTAATTTACAGAAATTCTCAAGCAAACAGGTAATAAGAATGACAGAGATGATTAATTTGGGGACATGGTATTGATAGTAAGGTTCTCAGAACTAAATAAAAAATAAATATAAGGTATGATCATGAGTGAAGGGAATAAACTTCTAGCTCTTTCTGTAGAAGTTAAAAACTTCAAACGATCCTACGATAAAACAGTATAGCGTCACATTGAGAGCGTCACCTTTGTCCTCAAGAAGAAGAACAAACAGGAGCTAGTATTTACAAGGGAAGAAAAAATCGATGTGAATCGTTAGCTAATGAGTGGATTCAAAACGAAATGGATTGATCAATATACTTGAACATGAAACAAAAAACGAAATTGCGTTTGCCTTAGCACTTTTGAGGTAAGATTTTACTCGAAGCAAAATGCTGCCTATGAAAACGAAAACATAGGTGGCAATAGAGTTAGTGATCAGCCCGCAGATGTTTGCAGGTGGTTCTTGATAATACCGTGAGTTTTGAAAACTTAAAATTAAGTATGTTTTTCTTTGTTATCTCCTTTCGCTCAGATGCAAATAACAGATAGGTTTTGCAACCAATTTGACAATTGTTTACAATTTCTAGACAAGTCAATGGTCAATAAAGTGAAATGTAGTGAAAACAATACTCTCGTTATAAAAGTGTTTAAAAGTTTATTTGTACAGACAATCGACGGCTTAAATTTTGGGCATATCTATGATGATTGCATGGCAATTTGAAAATGTCTTTCAACATCTGGGAGAATGTTTGTAACAGCTTCGTTTTCCCCCGGCTTTAAGGAAAAACGGAAGGGTCACATTGAGAGTTTTGATAATTGCATCATACTATCAATACCATGTCCCTAAATTGATCATCTTTGTCATTCTCAATACCTGCTTGCTTTAAACTTTCTTTAAATTACACAATAATGGGGGGTTAAGGAGTTGACTGTTTATTATTATAAGCACCGTATACTTCTCCAACACGCTATTTTTAGCAGATTATTATAAACCAAGAAAGTACTATCTCGATCAGCATGGACACGCGATGAGTGAGCTGTGGTGGTAAAATTCAGTCATTTAAGATAAAAGTTCTACGCTATATTATCGGAAAAAGAAAATTGCGTAAAACGCTGTAATTGCATGGTCACAACAAATTACTCGAAAGCTATTTTCGCTTGGTTTTGTTTTTAATTATTTTGCAAGCAAGCTAAGTTAGTCGTCAGACTTGTGCAAACGAAAGCAATATCGATGAAACTTTTTCCAATGGCAAATAGTTCACATTGTCAATCTGATGTTAGCAATAAAAGTTACCCTTCAAAGTGAAAAGTGGTAAATTGAAGGAAATTACTGCGTAATCTCTGCCTGCGACGTGATCCATTAATTAAAATTAGTTCAAACAGATGCTTTATAACTCTATGCCCGTAAAAGTGTGTTCTCATTAAGGTAAGAACAATTTTCTTCGCGGAGTTTATCTCACTCCTTTTTAGGGTAATGCTTCTTTGGAAAAAAAAAATTATTATATCGGTTATAAAAACTCGCTTTTCCATGAGTTTAAGCAGCTTATTCGAAAATGCTTCAATGAAATTTCCTTCTCATCAACATATGGCTAAATAAACAATGACTTATCAAAGCTTTGAGCCATGTACTGTCGGGAGGATAAACAGTTTTTGTGGAAAAGGTTTGAGTAAAGGAGGCGCGAAATGTCACAGAAAAATCTGCCTCATCCGTATCTATGGGGGGACTAAGGCGAGATTAGTGTGGTGTTCGCCTTCGAAGTGCAAATATGTGGCATGTAAACCTCAGGAAACCATGTTTAGAATATTCAAGCGTAAATTTTATAATAAAGCAGGCTCCACATGCGTGTCGAAAGAACAAAACCAGTCTAATCCACATGGGCAATCGGAACAGTGGTCAACATCATAATTAGCCAATGAGAATCCGAAACAAGAATAGGCGGACTGTCAAAAGCATGGAATAGCCTGAGTGATGCTTTTTGCGCCATTCACTCAAACGCTCAAAACGTCAGTTTTAGAAACTCTCATCAGTGTCCAATTTACATTATCAACTCAGATAAAATCGAATTGCCTCGTAATACCCCGACCGAAGTAGTATCACAGTTTCTTCGAAAACGCGCCCTCTGTGTTCATTTGCGGGCTAATATAATCTCGTATCCAGATTTTACTGTAACGGAAATGTAAGTTACAGCCGCTTGGCCGTGAAAGGGGCAGGCACGAGACTACCTACGAACAGACCTCTGCCCGTTGGAAGACTTGAAACGATATTGGGGAGAGGTATGCCGGGGATCTGGCACCACTTGCAGACTTCTATAGAGAATTGGCTGCCATTGAACTGCCAATGAGGTAGTATTTTAGGAGTATTACAGAGGCTTATGAGGGAACCACGTAAATTCTATCGTGACAACCAAAATCATCCAATCCCAACCCCAAACCCCCCTCCCCTCCTCTCCTCGATAAACAATTATCAGTCCGTAAATAAGTCACTTTTAAGTTACATGTGTTAAGCGAATGAAGGTAATCAAGGAAAACTGATAATAGATACCTTAAGATTGAGGACGGGGGCTCCTACCGAGAACTTCATGACGGAGGAGAGCCTGGCTAGAGTACGGCGTCGTTTACGCAGGAAATTTGGTGTCAAAATCCACTCGATCAATTACGTTTGGAATTTGGAAGACGTCAAACTATCCTGGCTAATTTTAGAGAAATGCGTGATCTTTTCACACTTTATCATTCATAAGAGGTCATAAATGGTGAAGAGTTCATTTTGCTGTAAAATACATTGATTGAAAAGGTCATAGAGAGGCCTACACAGACTCCCCTGTGTGGTTTTACGTTTGCGACGCGAAAGCCTTTAATTAAAGCTTCGCTCTGACGAGTATGTCTTTGAGCGATTTACCTCTTTTGTATGATATAATCGGAGGCGTTTTGTAAATTGTTTTCAGCAGTGGCTGATTTTGGATGAGGTTCCATTCTTGCATCAGTATTTGTTTTAAATTGTTAACCCCTGGGTGGTATGCTATCACAAAAGGCAATATGTTGCCTTTAGTTTTTTTGGTTTGTTTTTTAGGTGTCGACTGCCTTGCGGCAAACGAGAACTCAGATGGGTGACCACGTGCTTCAAGTCGTGTTTTGAAGTTACACGTGGCCTCCTGGAAATTGCTTTCCGAGGAGTTTGTTCTTAGAAGTCTGATAGCTTCTCCTTTAATAAAGCCTTTCTTAACACCTGGCGGGTGGCAAGATGAATAGTGTGTATATTGAAAGGTCTCGGTCGGTTTGTAGTGAGTTTTGACGTCGAGGATAGCTTCGTTTTGGAATCTTTCACCTTTGTAGACAACCGTGTCTAAGAATGTGATTTCAGTCTCTGAGATTTCAGCCGTGAACTTTATAGTTGGATGGAACGTGTTAGCTTGTTCTATGAATAGATCAATGTCTTGTTTACGAACATCCCACAGGGAGAAAACGTCGTCAATGTAACGCTTCCATACTCTCGGCTTGATACTGCTTTGGTGAAGCAGTTTTGTTTCAATTTCTGCCATAAAGAGATTGGCGAAAGCAACCGCCATTCGTGTTCCCATGGCAGTTCCAAAACATTGGAGATAGTTTACTCCATTGAACTGGAACAAATTTTCTTTCAGTATAAGCCCGAGCATTTGTTTTAAGTAGTGGGACGGAATGGGAGGGCTGTTATTGTGGTATTTTTCGTATGCTTGGCATACTATTGTGATACCCTCTTCTTGTGGGATGTTTGTGTACAAGCTTGTTACATCCATTGATACTAAAATAGTATCATTTGACACTTGCGTTTTCTCTATAAAGTTGATGAAATCAGTCGTATCTTTGAGATACGATTTTTGCTTTTGAGCAATAGGCTGTAATAAATGATCCACAAAGGATGATATCCTTTCAGTTGGTCCTTCGCAGCCCGATGTAATCGGTCTACCCACTGGCAAAGGTTTGTGGATTTTTGTAAAAGTGTAGAAAATCGGTATTCTGGGCGGATTGGGAGTCTGTGAAAGCCACTTTTTTGTCATATCGTCTATATGTTTGCCATTGTGCAGTTGAGCAATAAGCTCATTAACTTTTTTTAATGTGTCAGTGACCATGGGATTTTCAAGAAGTCGGTAGTGGTCTCTGTTGTCGAGCTGAACCTGGGCCTCTTGAATTTTGTCCCTCTTGTTGAGAATCACTGTTGTGGTGCCTTTGTCAGCACGTTTAAGGTTGATGGCAGTATTGTTTTGCAGTTCTTTGACTGCTTTGTGTTCGTTGTATGACAGGTTGTGTTTTGGCTTTGTTATTTCTATTTCAGCAAGGCTTAACTTGATATTTTCGAAGTAGCGTTCAAGGGCAATAGAAGGTTGTACTGGTGGTATCCAGTTTGATTTGACGTGGAAAGGATGTGGTTCCTTGTCATTCCCGTGGAATATATATCTAAGTCTCATTCGCCTAGCGAATTGTTCGAAGTCACGCAACAATTGTTGCCTGATCCTATTTTCATTTGTCACGGGTGTTTTAATAAATTTAAGCCCTTTTGCTAACACGCTGACTTGGTGATCAGTTAATGTATTGTCTGAAAGGTTTTTAAGGTATTTTTCATTTTTCTCCCTTTCTGTAGTCACTCGCTTGTGTAGTGTATTTTTTCTACGCTTTTTGCGTTTATTATTCTTGGATAGCCTTTTTGCTGCAGTGGGTTTGGCGACTGATTTTTCAGAGATGACACTGTTGTACTTTTCGACATGTTCATTATCACTCTGAAAGCGTGTACATATAAGATCTTTCAGCTCTAAAAGCTGATTTTCTATTTTGTCTATCCTGTCGACATCAATATTTACAGTGTTCCTCAAGGGCGAACGTGATCTTTCACGTGTATTTACATTGTATTGTGATCGAGACTTGGCAATATTAGCCTTTTCAAGTTTGTTCTTGTGACTAACAAGTCTACGCTGATGGAAGCAGGAAGAAAAACAAACAGGAGCTAGTATTTACGAGGGAAGAAGAATCGATGTTAATCATTAGCAAGTGAGTGGATTGAAAACGAAAATGGATTGATCAATATCCTTGAAAATTAAATAAAAAACAAAAAGCAACGAGTTTGTCCTGACACTCTTGTGGTGAAAACGTAGTCGAAGTAGAATGCTGCATATGAAAAGGAAAACAGAGGTGGCTATAGAGTTATTGATTACCCTGGAGATGTTTGCAGGTGGTTCTTGACAATAACGGGAGTTTTGAGAACTTAAAATTAAGGTTGTTATTTCTTTTGTTTATATACAAATAACAGATAAGTTTTGGAATCAATATGACAATTCTTTGCCATTTCTAGACAAGTTAATGGGTCAATAAAATGAGATGTATGGAAAACATTAGTCTCGAAATAAAAGTGTTCAAAAGTTTGTTTGTGCAGATAATCGACGGCTTAAATTTCCTGCACATCGGTGATAATTCCGTGACAATTCTAAAATGCCTTCCAAAACGTCGGAGAATATTTTTTCTTTAAGCCTCGATTTCTCCTGGTTTTCAGGGGCAACAGAATGGAGATCAGTCGACGCCAAGAGAGTTTCGGGGGGGAGGGGGAGGGGAAGACGAAAGAAACTCACCTCGGAGAATATTTGTAACAGCGTCGATTTCGCCTGGTTTTCGAGTGTAAACAAAAGGTGGGTGATCAGTCGTCGCCAACAGAGTGTAAAGGGAGATTATTAAAAACTGACACACTATTAAGGAGGAAGGGGGACATAAGAATATTACAATATTACAGAGTCTTATGGGGAATAATGTTTTTTTTATCTTGACACAACCAAAATCCCCTTAGGAAATAAATAAAACATCAAACAGCCTTCAAGATGACAACAATACATTCTGAACAATAAGAAATGTTTGGTGTTAGTTATCTTCACCGATAATAAGTTATGTAACTTTTGGTATCATCGTTTTCTAACACTGTTTTTTTCCCAAATTACTTTTTGCAGTAATCGTTGCTTTTAGAAGTAAGTACGTATAATCTGAGTTGATACAGCAGAAAGCCATTAAAAATAGTTCATCTGTCATTTATCCTCCTAAGAGACTGGTCATTATTTATCGCCTGTGGGGGAGGTGGGGAGGGGGCGTTAAAGGATCTTGGTCAAGTCACAAGTTAGTTTGCCTTAACACTTTTGAGTTAAAAACTGAGTCGAAGCAGAATGCTGCATATGAAAACGAAAACGGAGGTGGCTATAGAGTTATTGATTAGCCCGCAGATGTTTGCATGTTTTTCCTTATTATCTCCTTTCGCTTAGATGCAAATAACAGATAGGGTTGCAACCAATCAGACAATTCTTTACAATTTCTAGACAAGTTAATGGGCCAATAAAATGAAAAGTAGTGAAAACACTAGTCTCGTAATAAAAGTTTTCAAAAGTTTATTTGTACAGATAATGGACAGCTTAAGTTTTGGGCATATCTATGATGACTGAATGGCAACTTGAAAACGTCTTTCAACATCTCGGAGAATATTTGTAACAGTCTCGTTTTCTCCTGCCTTTAAGGAAAAACAGAAGGTTCGCACTGAGAGTTTTGATAATTGCAATACCGTGTCCCTAAATTGATCATCTTTGTCATTCTCGTTACCTGCTTACTTTAAACTTTTTTAAAATTACACATTAACGAGGGAGTTCAGGAATTGACTGTTTATTAATATGAGCACCGTATAATACTCCAACACGCTATTTTTAGCCGCTTAAATTATGTGCACCTTCAATCTTCCTCCAAATTATTATAAACCAAGAAAGAACTATCTCTCGATCAGCATGGTCACGCGAGAAGTGAGCTGTCGCAGTAAAATTCGGTCATTTAAGATGAAAGTTCTATGCCAGATCATCGGAAAAAGTAAATTAGGTAAAACACTGTAATTGCATGGTCACAACAAGTTACTCAAAAGCTATTTTCGTTTTGTTTTGTTTTTTCTTATTTTGCAAACAAGCCCAGTTAATCGTCAGACTTATGCAAACCAAAGCAATAACGATGAAAATCTTTCTAATTGCCATTGTCACAATGATTTTAGCAATAAAAGTTGCCCTTCAAGGTGGAAAGAGGTAAATTGAAAGGAAAATACTGCATGATCTCTGCTCGCAATGTGATCCATTAGTTAAAATTAGTGCAAAAAGATGCTTTATCACCCCATGCCCGTAAAAGTGTTATTAAGGTAAGAAAACTTTTCTTCGCGGACTTTATCTCACTCCTTCTCAGTGTAATGCTTCTTTGGAAAAAAAGTTATTAAATTGGTAATAAAAACTCGCTTTTTCATGAGTTATAGCAGCTCTTTCGAAGATGCTTCAAGGGAATTCCCCTCTTATCAACATATGGCTAAATGAAAAATGACTTTTCAAAGCTTTGAGCCATGTACTCTCGTGAGCACACGGGCAATTTGAACAGCAGTTAACATCATAATTAGCGAATGAGAACCCGAAACAAGAATAGGTGGACTGTCAAAGCATGGAATAGCTCGAGAGATGCTTTTTGCGCCATGTACTCGAACACTCCAAACGTCAGTTTTAGAAACTCTCCTCAGTGTCCAATTTACAGTATCAGGTCAGATAAAATCAAATTGTCACGTAATACTCCCGTCGAAGTAGCATCACAGTTTCTTCGAAAACGCACCCCTTTGTTCATTTGCAGTTTACATTTCTGCCAAAAACTAACGGTTTCGCTCAAATTCAGTAGCTTGCGGGCTAATATAATCTCGTACCCAGATCTTACTGTAATGGAAATATAAGTTACAACCGATTGGCCAAGAAAGGGGTGGGCACGTGACTACCTACCAGCAGACCTCTAGCAGGATCATAAGAGTATTACGGAGGCTTATGGGGGAACCAGGTAAATTTTATCGGGAGAAACAAAATCATCCAACCCCAACCCCCTTATTGTATTATGTATTTGAAAGGTTCCATGGCTAAAATCTCTCGCAGAAGGAGGGTATGATGCTCATCGGTCCATTGCATTCTACAGAGAAGAATTACAAATCAAGGATTCATTCTATTTGCAGTCGAATTTAATACACAGATTCTGATTTTACAGGAAAACTTACAAGGATTTGGCTGAACTTGGCTGCTTGTTAGCAAACATTGTTTTTAACTTCATGTACCTGTTGAAAAAATCCTTCGTTGGAAATTGTTTCCACATGTAATCGCCTCACCAGAAGACACGGCCGAGAAAAATCGCAAAGCTGGAAGATGCTGGCAAAAAAATGAACGAAATTCAAAAATTTACCTTGGTTATTAGGATTTGAATCTGCCGTTTTCTATAGAACCTCGAGTCGCCTGTTTTCACGTCCTTCAAAGATCGAGCACGCGGTTGTCCACCTGTTCGCAATTGCGCAATAGCACTCCCAAGGAGAAATTTACTTCCGGTAACCGTCGTTCACTCAAGCCATCTTCAACCTAAAGTTCCTTAATTCATTTCTTTTCTTTTAATTTCCTATCTCAGCATTGGCTGCAACCATCTGCCGAGATCTGAGGACTCTTTACTTGACCGCTCAATGACGGAGGGTACCATCGTTGTTATTCTCAGTGAGTCTTAAGAGAACTTGACCTGCTAAAATATCGGAAACCAATCTGCATTTTTCTGAAATAGCGGCTCCAACGTTTTATAAGGAAGCGAAAATCATGAGCAAACTCTATTGTAGCCAGTCTTCGCAATTTTTGCCCATATTCACCGAACTTGAAGATCTTCGTGCGACTTGTATCGCCAACTGTGTCTTTAACATTTTTTTTACTTACACCGCCTTCATGTTCAATATTGTGACAATCTACGTCATACACAAAACTTCAACAATGCCAAACACTTTGAAAACTCTGCTGCTAAGTCTTGCCTGCTCGGATGTTGCTGTTGGTTTGTTTAGTCAACCATTATACGCTGTCTTTCTTATCAACTGGCTTCGATTAGACAATCCTGGCTGTAGCACTCAACAAGTGCGGACGATTTCAAGTAGTTTATTTTCAGCTGCTTCGTTCCTTGGTGTTGTGGCTGTAAGTGTAGACAGGTTCTTAGCTGTTCATCTTCATCTCAGATACCAAGAGGTTGTGACTCACAGGCGTGTTGTTATTGTTGTGATTGGCATATGGGTGCATAGTGCATTTGTTTCTTTGATGATATTGTGGGGGCTTCTTAGTACTCGGGATCTTATAAATACAGTTATTGGCGCTTTCAGTTTCATTATCACGTTTGTGGTGTACATCAGGATATATCTAACTGTACGACGGCACAAGAATCAGATTCATTCTATGCAAATACGAAATGAAACTCAGTCTGAGGAGTTAAAAAACTTTATTGTTCTCATTAAATCCACAGTTGGCATATTCTACGTATATCTCGTATTTTTAATTTGTTATTTGCCCTATCTCATTTGCATGGCTGTTATTAGAATCTATGGCTCGAGTATCGTTTTAAAGAAACTTTTTCTTTTCTCATTGACTCTCGTGTATCTAAATTCATCTTTGAACCCTGTAATTTACTGCTGGAAGATGAAACACATTCGACACTCTATCATAGACATACTGCGAAAGATGTCTTGGATCAGCAATCGGCCATTTCAGATCAACTACAATCGGTCATCGAGTGTAGTCCATATTGATAGCTGATCGCCTCTATGTGGCTTACAAAGACTATGCGCAGTAATTGTTTACGAGAAAGTGAAAAAGGGACAAGTAAGATTGTACATAAGTTAGTGATATGACCCGGCAGCCAAATAATCGCGTAGTTCCAATTTTAAGTACACAATAAATCGAACAATCTGTAGCGTGGAAGGGAAAGGCTAATTTGAGCAAGAAAGCTGGTTTTATCATCGATGGGTAGTGAAATTGTAATTATGGATGTAAATAAAAGTAGGACTTGACTCCTTTGAATTTGAAATTTAAAGAGACTCTCGAGCAAACAGGTAGTAAGAATGACAGAGATGATTAATTCAAGGACATGGTATAGATAGTAAGATTCTCAGAACTAAACAGCAAATAAATATAAGGTACGATCATAAGTGAAGGGAATAAACTTCCAGTTCTTTCATTAGAAGTTACAAACTCTAAACGATTCTACGATAAATCGGTGTAGCATCGCATTAAGAGCGTTTCGTAATGTCCTCAGGAAGAAATACAAACAGGAACTAGTATTTATGAGGGAATAAGAAACGGTGTTAATCATTGGCTAATGAGTGGATTCAAAACAAAAATGGATTGGACGATATACTTGAAAATTAAACAAACAACGAAAAGCATCTAGTTTGTCTCGACACTTTGAGGTAAAAAGTTAGTCAAAGCAGAATGCTGCGTATAAAAACAAAAGCAAAGGATGCTATAAAGTTATTGATTAGCTCGCAGATGTTTGCAGGTGGTCCTTGGTAATAGCGGGAGTTTTGAGAACTTAAAATTAAGTGTGTTTTTCCTTGTCATCTCCTTTCGCTTAGATGCAAATAACAGATAGGTTTTGACACCAATTTGACAATCATTTTTAATTTCTGGACAAGTTATAAAGAGGCTGTCCACCTAAGTACGGATAAGGCAAATTTCGGTCCTTCACCGATTTCCCTAAGTTTTTTAGTGAAAATCGAAAATTCTATCCCATGTACAAACATCACATTTATTTTGATAATTTTTCATCCTTTTTCATTTTTTATGAGACAATTTTAAAGGTCACCCCAGAACTGCCCAATTTGGAATCTGTGACCCCTATTATTAAGTTATAAATGCCGAGCGCTGTTAAATCCTTATTTCTCGATCTAAAAAACTGATTATTTTACATACTTAAGAATGACTTTATTTCAATAGTTTAAAGGTAAGATGATTGCATTCTATAAAGTTTTTACCGAGATGAAATTTTCAAAATACCTCATCGTCAGCATTGAAATTTGTGAGGAGCGAGGTATATGCGGTCGAAAGCTATTTTCTCTTTCGTGGGACCTGATCTCGAGTCAAGTCTATTGCAGCTTAAAAGTACGTAGATAGAACAAGTTAAACATAGAATAAAACTTTTGGGCACTCCTCATCCTGCACCGTTGAGAACTTTGCGAATTTCATAAATATTCGCCATCTTGATCGAAACCAACGATATGGCGGTCCGACCTGCAGACAGGCTTGTAAACCGTAACAGCCCTAAAATACTTGAAGGTGCCGCAACGATTATCTGATGGAGTATCAAGATCGATATAATTCATCATTTTGGCCATTTTTTCACGAAATAGTTCAAATTTTCCAGAAAAATACTACGTTAATAATTCCTATATGCAAATCAGCTTCGTGCGTTCATGTTATAATACATGTCAAAAATAGTTTCCGTAACAACATTTAGCCGTTCAAAGAAGTGTTCCTGTGAATGTGAAACTCCTCTGTTGTATCCTTTCTTGAAAACTTAACGTAAAATTTCAAGAGCCAATTGCTTTGAACACAATGCGCTAAGGGAATCCAGTTTGTTTTGACAACTAAGTTGACAATTTCCCGCAAGTGTTTTTATCTCGTACGTAATCTTTTCAGACCTCTTTGCCGTTTTTTTTTTCAGGAAAATAATTCACCCTTACTTGGGGAAAAATTTCGTCTCACTATTTGTGAAAGTTTTTTAGATTGTGAGCTAGTTGGTTCTCGTTCTTAACGCGGTGGAGTTTTTCAGCGTGACTGTGGACTGCCGTGAACTAGCCTAGTCACGCAATACCAGCATTACAAGATTGTCTCACGGCTGGTGAACTCAAATTAAAGAAACATTTAGTTCGGCATTTATATCATGATATGCTAATGTTTCGCCGTCGAGAGTACGAAAATCTCCTCAGAAGAAATTGAGAAATTATGCAACCGATAGAAATTGGTGTATTTGATTTAATAAATGTTTCCAAAAGTAGGTAAGCGAATTTAGTAACTTAAGTTTAAGGCATAAATCATTGAGAAAATTTCAAGAAGGTAATAGAAAAAGTCTCTTTTGTAAATGCTCGTACATGCTGTAGAGTGAGAGTGAACATGACTCACGGTCACGGTAGGCTTATAATTTTTTTTGTTTTGAAATTAAAGGCATGACTACAAAATAACAGGCGCCAATTTTAAAATGATTTTCACGGGCTTGCTTACATGTTAATCCTTAACTTCAGCGCAACATTGCCTATTCATTCTTCCTTTCTCTAGATCATCGACAATCATTTCAATTTTCTGGAAACCAGCAGAGCCATCGGCAGCAGTATTGTCGAGGCCTTGTAACGACTTTCTGTGTTAGGCTTGTCTGTCTTCTAGGATCTTGAATAAAGTGGTGCGGCTGAGAGGTTCAAACTTCTCCTCCTGACAGAATTGTATATACTGGCTTATCATCGTAGACCGCGTCACAGTACGCACCACGTTCCGCATCTCGATGGTTTCCCCACTGTCTAGCTTAAGGAATTTATTTCCGTAAGACACGTCTTGATAAAAGTATGGGCGATTAATGAACTCGACGAAATGATCTACTTTGGTCATATCAATGCGAACACGATGACGTATCTTCTCCTCAGGCACCTGGTTGACTGAACCTTTGGTACAACTGTGCCATCCCAAACCCAAC